CTTCCCGGCTTCAACCCTTTGTTGCGCCTTAGGAAAGTGCACGCCGAAAAACCCATGCCACAGAAATTGCGGGCGTGACGGCATGACGGCCGCTATCATTTCCGAGACTTCTTCAGCGGGTCATGTCTGATTACGGCATTATATCTTACCGTTCCCATGTCCTCGGTGCCAAATGCAACGCTACGAGGCTGCGGGCTCAGCGCGCCTCGAGTCGACCAACCCGGAGAAGTGACTTTTCCGTCCTAGCGCTGCGATTGTACGGGCGCAAAGCTGCCCCTTGCGAAAAAGAGGATATGCTATAGTACACCATAGCACCACAGCTGTTGCTCTCTCCCTGCACACAACCGTTTATGCTATGAACATTTGAAGCACTACGCCACAGTTAGCCGCGTGTTCTGCATCACTGGAGAAGCGTACCGGCCAGCCTCGTAGCATAATCAGCATGCAGCCTGACCCGTCGTGCATGGACCGCTGTATAGCATAGCAGCGCAATGCGGATGGAGATACTGTGCAGTAAGCGAGCGCCTTTTCACCGTCACAAATTCTCCGATACGGTCTACGACCCGCCGACCATGTCTCTTGAACAAATTTGCCATTCAATCCAGTAGGTTTCCAATGAATCCCGGGCTTCCAGCAACGTACAGGGACCAGATTCCGAAGCACAATGATCCAAGACGAATCGGAGAATTTAGCTTGGAACGTATGATGGTACTCGACTGTCCACCCAGAGGCTCGGCAACTATCATGCAGGTCCTGACAATGAGCCCGTATTCCATACCGTAGGAGCACACAGTACGGGCGCCAGGGCCGTTTTTGAGGGTGGCCACCGCACTGACGCTGCAGTTGATCGATACCTCAATCTGGCCTGTGAGGAAGAACAAGAAAAAAAGCGCCCCACTCACTTGCATTACCATTCCATGGGCTCGTTGTCGGCTTGGCTGCTTCTTCCCTGCTACTGGCAAGCAGGACATCCGACTCCGCATGCGCCCTTTATTTTTTTTTGTTCTCTTCGGATGTCCACGGGACATGTTACACTGAAGCTCTTTTGGTACTCATGGAAAGGTGCTCAATGTGACATCGCATGCCCTTGAAAACCCCTTCAGATCCCAAGGTTACGTGAACAACCTGTTCGATGCAGCCGGCATCGGCCATGCCACTGCTGGCATCATTCCCGGGGACTAGCAGAGGTCTGCCGTACAACCCTATGCTGGGCTTTCATCTTGTAGGTTGGCTACCCAGCAAAGGCACGGCAAGTGAGTTCCGAAAGCCAGATTCTCTCACACACAAGTATAATCAGAATGGACTCTCGGTCGACGCATCCTGCCCTGAACAGCAGTTTCAAGAACGGACCAGGGTTCGAACAATACATGTTGCCCCCCCCCCCCCCAACTCCCCTGGGTGCTGCGCCTCAACATGATGTATCTGCCCACGCTGCCCTCGCATGGGGGGCCCCATCGGCAGAACAGGGGCTCCTCTTTCGCGACGCAGAAAACAACATGTGCTCGATGCGGCCAGGACAACCTCCCCCAGTGTGGATCATTTGAGTTCAGACGATCATCTGACGCGGTGGACAACAGAACCAATCTGATGCACAGGGATGTGATTCCAAAACGGCGCCGGCAAGTGGATGCACTAACGTCAGAGAGAACCGAAGGACGTGTATCACCTACACCCATCCATCCCAGAGCAGCACCATCCACTCCGTCCATCCATCCATGATCGAGAATGAGGGACCATCTCGCCTTGTGAGGTGCGGGCGCTCAAGCCCCGGCCAAAACCTCCCCAGTGGAGAAGTCTAGACACGTTCTCTAGACGCTTCAGTCAATGCAAAGATGGCGCTTTACTTTGCCTTGCCGCAATTGGAAAGTTGCCCCCTTCACAATCTCCTCTCGCTCTCCCTCTCTCTTCGTCTCTTCGTCTCTTCGATTTGTTGTCTTGTTCGTGAAATCTGGTATTGCTCTTCCATCGCCCCGAGCTGGCCTCCCCCTGCCCTCTTCGATTCACTACACCAGACGCCTTGTCTTGATTCTTCAGGGGTAAGTGGTCCAGGGCCTTGTCACTTGCGCCTGCGCTCATGAACTAGACTCCCTCATGTTCCCCGGATAACCATATCCTCGTCCTCAGATCGCCTCACAGATCTCCTTCACAGCCACGCTACCGAAACCCCTCAATTCATGCATCGTTAGCACTGCTCTTTTTTCCCCCTTCCTTTTTCTTACCTCCTTCTGAATCTCCTGGCGCTATTGTTTGTCCACGGACCTCCGTCCTCGCTGTATTCTCTGCTACACGGGCCCTCGACTGACCCTTGATCAGAAGTTCCTTCCATTGTGATGCCTCACCAGAGTCATACGTCCACCATTTAGTCAAGATCCTCACGAACATTACATCCTGGGTTCCTTGATCTTTGACCATCTCTTCTGAACCCGGATCGGCTGTCTTGTCGACCGATTCTTATCTCGTCCAAGGTTGCTTGTTGTAGTGGCTTTCCATCTGGAGGAGACATCTTTTGGCTCGGCTCCAGACTCGTCATCCCAACTCAGGACTTTCCGTCTCAAAAACGCACCAGTGCCACTTGCCAGGACAGGAGGTTGATGCTCGTTTCTTTCGGCTCGGTGGAGATCCGATTCAACTGGGACAAGCCACATGTGTGTGCTCATGACCTGCCATTTTGGATGACCATTTCTTGCTCTCTATAAGTTACTGGGTCAGTGGTGTTTCGGGTGTTTCAATCTACGTCGAGACGGTCAGTGCGACTCAAACGTTGGTGCTGTTCTCCGGATTTCGACAACCTTATTTCACGTTGCTCACCCCTGGCCCGAGCTGAGGTACAAAGCATCGAGCGATCCCATCTTTTATCAGTCGGGTCACTTCGAGCGGGACTCGCCACGTTTTCTTAATTACTCATTCGTGTCATCGGATTAACCCACCGGATTGTCATCACGGTCGTCATCATCATCATCATCATCCCAGCCGCCACCTACCTCCACGCCCGGATACACTTCACACAGGGAGGAGAACAACGACGACGACTACATCTCTGCCAGACCCTACCCTATCGTCACTTCGCTGGCTGCTGGTCAATCTGCGAAACATTCGACCACGGACGACTTGGTCAGCCGCCGGACAAACACTTCCCGACAGATCCCGTGGCCCTCGATGGGTGTTTAGTGCTTCTTCGATACCGGCCCTCACTCCAAGGACGTTCGAAGTGGGAACGACGACATTATCCTTTGCGGAGATTCTTGTACGACTTGTCAGTAGACAAGATTGTTTGTTCGCTGATCGGCTGGTGGATCCTCCTCGGTGACCCGATCTTAGGATCAGGTCTTGGTGGTGCGGGGATTTGTTTGTGGTTTTCTTCATAAGACAGCTGGCTGCTCGAGAAAGCCTCAGGAGGGCTCGCCCCCAAGAATTGCTCCACGAACGCAAAGATTCAGCAAGCAGGACTTGGAAACAAGTTTGCTGCCTACATTTCCTCCTCACCTGATTAGGTGACTCAAATCAACTAGTGTACTCGAGGTTCGTCACCCCTCTTATTCTTGCTGGTCGAGGCGTGGACGGTGGTGATTTTAGCGCAAAGTGACATAGGCTCATACTGTCGACAGATATTTGCGAGACGAGCGACCAAATGAACGTCACGTCACTTCTGAACTCCTCTGCGGCTGCGCAAGCCGCAGGTGGGAGACTCCCTATCGACCAATCCGGAGATGGCAGTATGGCCATGTATCAGACACAGGAGAGAGCGGGATCAATGAGGACGTCCAGTGATTCGCGTTTGCCCAACCGCAACAGAACGCCATGGGATGCCGGCGGCTACTCTCTACCCTTGACGCTGAATGTCAAGAGCGCGCAGACACCAACAGCATCGCGGCCTTCAGTCAACACTAATTTCGACTCGCTACCGGCCGAGAAGGCTGGTTCGACAAGTCCGAATTCGCCGAAACATAAGTTCTCCGACAGTCGCAGCAGCCTCTCGTCGTATACAACCATATCCTCCAGCGCATCATGCCATTCTCGATCGCATTCTCGGATCTCCTCCCTGTCAACCGTCAGTGAGTACCAGCCTCTCAGCACATTTGGCTCAGACTCGACACCCACAGAGAGAAGGACGTCTGTACCGGAATCAGGCATGACCTGCTCTCCTGTGGTGGAAATAGAGCCCCCTTCTCCTCGAAGGCCGGGCCTGGACGATGTTTCCCCATACATGTCTGATAGCGAGAGTCCGATGACTTCACATCGCGCCAGGTCGCCTTCAGATGCCATGATGATGATGAGAAACAGAGGACTCACTGGAAGCGCAAGGTACGTGCCGAACAATGCTGACCCATTCTCCATCTTGTACACATTGTGTTTTCTTCCCTCGACCACTCTTCACGAACCCGAGCCTGTAATGCGAATGTGTCACTGGACTTCCATTGTCAGAGAGTGATAAGGTGTCCGGCAGGGTTATTGTCTCTATTGTCTTGCCAGCTATCTGCTTTGGCAGTAGATACAATTCCCCACCTGTTGCCACCTCCACTTGGTTACCTTGGAGTTCTGTTGCTGGGGTCAAGTTTCTGTGTGGTTCTAGAGACGCGTGACTGGATGGCAACGCGTAGTCAGTCCATGGAACTACCACTAGACCTCAGATCACAGTCACCAGCCATCTGCTTCACTATTACACTGCCTAAGTAGGCTCAACTATTTCAGACCAGCCAGCCTGAACTCTTTCCCACCCACCTCTTTTCCATCCTCAAGAACAAATCAGAATACCATCACCACCACTAAGCTTGGGGAGCTCCAGCTGACCAGCTCGATCAACAGTCCAACAGAGTCCAAGAGGAGTACATTCCTCCATCCAGATTCCCCCACAGGAATCTCTGCAAGAATACACAAGCGGACTGTGTCAGCCCCAGACTTCCCTTCTCTGAGCTCTCTAAACCGACCTCATTACCCATCCTTTGGCCCAATGGCTGAGCCTACTCCTCCCAAGTCCCCTACCCAGGGCGACAACTCTCAGAATGAGGACAACCTTGCCATTAGCACTGACCAGGCTGCCCAGTCTGAGGCTGCCCTCGACGCTGAGCCTGAACAGCCCAAGTGTATGTTTGTCCACCCATGCACTACAGGCTCCTCCCTGCGCAAGGCCATTTCACACATCTTTGGCCGCAACAAGCTCTGCACCAAGTCGATTCCAGCCCACATCTGGGTCCACTACTGCCGCAAGCACTACCAGAGATCTCGCTATCGCAATGCTACAGACTACGCACTGCGCCAGGTTGACCTGGTCCTCCTGCAAGTCACAAAGGTTCAGGAGTGGTCTGATGACAATGTCAAGTGCAAGCGACGGGGCGCCGGTGTCCTGAAGCACTGGACTCTCCAGGCTAGGAAGCGTGAGGCAAAGCGCCTTCAAGACACCGAGTCTCGCAAGCGTCGCTATGCTGAAGAGGAGGACGATGATCCGAGCCTCGGCAGTGTTGGTACTGCCATCCCCATCTGGCTCCAGCCCCGTCTCAACCAGGACTACGACACTACTCACATGCTCGAGATTGTGGAAGAGATCAAGGTCCACATGACCAACGGCGAAATCACCCAGATCCCAGACATCGAGATCCTGCCAGAGATCACCACTGACGGTAATGAGTCCCGCCCCCGGACCACGGTCCGCCGTAGCAGTAGCGCTGGTGGCCACCGCAAGACCCAGAGCGAGGCCTATCGCACCCCTCCTGCCATGGGCGCCTACAGCAACTCGTCTCGCATCGGCTTGTTTGCCCAGGACAACAAGCGCATGCGATCTGGACCCTACAGCCTCAGCATGCAGAACCTGCCCCACCGCCCTGTCATGGGCATGTCACAACCGCAGCCTTACTCGTACCAGTTCCCGCAGAACAATGCCTTTGCGACCATCGCCGAGAACCAGGCAGACCACAGCTACTGGAACGGTGGCTACAGCAGCAACTCGGTCCTCCCGCAGCCTGTCCACCAGCGCAGCGGTGCAGTGCCCAACCTGGATCACAACGCTATCCAGGAGCAGCAGCAGTCGCCTTATGCACCCCAGGGTCGCCCTTCCATGCATGCTAGAAGCATGTCGGAGAATCCTGGTCTGCGCACGAATGAGTACGGCAACACCGAATTCCGCTTCCCTGCCCAGCCCGGCAACGGCTACCAGCAGCAGCAACAAGATGTGTTCGGCAACCTGAACATGGGCCACGGCCAGGGCCCCCAGGCTTATGGCTATGGGCCCCCCACCCCTCAGGGGTATGGCAACCCTTATGGTATGAGCCCTCGTGACGGCCAGGACAACATCTTTGGCTCCTATTACCAGCCCGACTGGACCGGCCCTCGTGGGCAACACTCTCGCGTCCAGAGCACCCCCGCCGTGCACCAGCAGCACCACCAGCAGCACCACCAGCAGCAGCCAGTCGGCCCTCCCCACATGTCTGCCGTCAATGGCCAGCAGGGTATGCTCCCATCCATGAACAACATGGGCCCGCAGCACCAGATGTACCAGGGTGGACAGCAGCACAACGGCTTTCAGGCACCGCGTGTGTTTTAGCACAACAACCCGGTTGCGAAAGCTCTATTCAATGCATTCTTCCGCCAAGAGCTCGAGAGTCGCGGCATCGACATGAACATGCTCGCTCCTGGCGCAAACCTTGGCCATTGTCCCGATTGGAACGTCATCCGTCAGGCGATGACGAGCGCTAAGTGTTCAGTCTTTGAACAGCTAAGCGTTCGTGGAAGCAACCACAAAAGCATTGCTGCCGGCTTGGCCCCGAACTCTCCGTCTTCCTGAAGGCTCCTTGATGATGAGGATCCTTGGCAGGAAGCTGAGGGGTCTCGAGCAGGATGATGCTGACATCGGAGGTACTATTGTTGAAGTCCTTGGCTGAAGCTGTACGCTCTGGCAGATAGCAGCTCTCACATCACTTTGGGACTTTTCAGAACCCTCCATGTCTAGTATTGCCTCTGTAGCCCAGTCACAGTGCACTAGCACGAAGGAAAAGGAAGAAGAAGAAAACGGAAAGGTATGAAAATATCACTCATGCAGCACAGGGTCTTGTCTGGTGCTGACCTGTGACTTTTTTTTCTACACAGTTGCAGAAATACCCTGGCGTTCAGGATTCGGTAAATGGTGGGCAGAAAAGGAAGAACCAGCTCATTCAAACAGTAATGACTCCCCAAATATACCATTGTTCATGGATCTGGGCTGGTTCATTTGGTTTGGTTGGCAGTACATGTTTTTCTTTTTTATGAACAAATTAATTGAGTGGACAAGGCTGGAGGAGGGGCCAAGGGACGAAAGAGGGACCCCTCTTAATGCCCCACCCCCCCTTCTCTTCTTGAATAGAGTACTTTTCCACTAGAGGCATAAAACCCACTCACTAATCAAGGACTTTATTTTTGAAATTTCACTCGGATGGCTGATGTGACTTGTGTTGTATTACATTTTTGGTGATGTTTGGGTAGGTAGGAGGGGGCCTCTCCACCTGCTAGAGATAGGCAAGAATGAACAAAGTTTGTAGACCCTCTACCACGGGCAGAAGTCATCTGTGTGTATATCCTCAGATCTATGCCAGCCAGCCAGCCTAGCGACCCTGACCAACGACCCCTCCTTGCAACTTGAGTAGAAAACGATGCCTTGGCAGAACCGCCCGCCCAAAGTATTACTGCGGCAAACATGGGTAACAACATGTCATGTCGACTTGGGAGACAGGAGTATTGGAAAGGGACGGGGAGGCACAAAGAAAGACTATGTCAGGTTCCTGACGTGATTTGACAGTCTACAACACTTGACAACAGAGGCAGAAGGGAAAAGAAGGAAGGAGAGAAAGGAAAAAAAGGGTTAAGAAAGAGAAGAGCGAGAACTCAAAGGAGATGTCGTCCTAGAAATATCTGCTCGTCCACGTCCTTTGGAACGTTCTCGAGGGAGGCATCGAAAGCATCCTCAGTCCTCTTCTACCCTACGACGACGTCGAAATAAACTCTCCCGCTCGGGTCGCACCGCAGTGGAGATTTTGTCTCTGGAGAGGTGGGGCTCAAAAGCCAAAGGGAAGAAAAGAGACAGGCAGTTCAGGTAATCACCGTCATAGCCAGGGATTCAGCTCCCTTTACTTCTGATGGGCGGCAATGATCTAGGTTCACGGGGGCTTGACGGGCATGCAGAGCCCTTTGTGGGGGTGGCGGGCTTCGAGGATAGCCTCCTCTGCGGCGCGCTTCAGGTCATCAACGTACACAAGAAGACCACATGCTCCTGGAGCAGCGAGGAGGGGGACTTGAGACAACTGGTGTGATCCAGCCAGCGCCAGTTCAGGGGACAGAAGGGGGCTCGAGGCGGGGTTTGTAGCAGGGCACTTGCGTTTGTATCGTGGGGCCGTTTCAGTGGGCGCAAGGAGCCAAAGCCAACTGTGGGCGGGAAAGAAATAGGAGAGAAGAAAGAAGCTCAGGGTCACATGTCGTTGACGTTCGTCGCGCTGCCCTTGGACGTCCTTACCAATGTGGGGACCCTTCCTCTCCACGGCAAACGACAAGTGACAACAACCTAATCGTAAACATTTGATGAGGAGTGACATATTGCCATCTCGCCAGCGCCGGCTGTGGCTTCATCCGTTACCCTTAGCGTGGTGCTGTGAAAGATAACGACTGGGCTGCTGGGGTCTCGCTGTGCTCCACCCTCAAGCGTGTCAGGGGGTGTACGAGATTCGAAACATGGGTTCCCCGACTGAGACAAGTCCCCTCAGTAGACGCTACCCTCCACTTGACGTCAAAGATTGGGGTCCGTATGCAAATGGTGCCCCCCTAAAGAAAAAGGAAAGGGGAAAAAAAAAAAAAGAAAACCCCTCCAAAGAAGAAAACAAAAAACAAATCATCCCTCGATAATTGGTCAATCAGGGTATGGATTGGGCTGAGCTGCACATGTGAAATTCGTGGTGATTGCTTGCCTCGATTACTTCCTATGGACGAACAGCCTCGTACAACAATTGCTGTACACCATTGACCTACCTCGATCGTTTCTTGCGGTTCGCGATGCCATCGACCTCTGCGCTCGTCCTTCTGGGCAGCTTGCTTGCCTATGGCGTGTTCTACTACATCCAGGGGCTGCGGTCGAATCTGGCTGCTGCTCGTCGTTCAGGACTTCCATATGTCGTAGTGCGTAAGTAAAAGAGAAAGAGAGATACACATCTTGATGAGCAAAAGAATGTTTCGTGCTGACACCGGGTTGGTTCTATGTGTAGCTACGTCGCCGTTCAGCTTCCCGTGGCAGTTGACATCTGGGCTGTGGACACCGCTCATCAAGCTCCTGCCGAGGTCTTGTTGGGAGCAATGGCTCGAGTACGCTGAAATACCCTCTTCTCCAAGCGCGTACGTATATGCATGCTGACTGACTTCCTCGTCATCCTTGCAGTATTCTGCAGCCAGACTGGTCATTCCGCTACCTGCGTGGGCCCTGGGACCGCCTTGGTGATACCTTTCTGGTCGTTTCCCCGCGGGGCATCATCTTGTACACTTGCGACGCGGAGGCTATCTTCCAGGTCACCTCCCGACGTGAGGCTTTCCCTAAGCAGACCGTCAACTATGAGTTGCTGGCCATCTTCGGAAGGAACATGATTTCCACCGAGGGCCCGGAGTGGAAGATGCACCGCAAGGGGGTCTCGGCAAGTTTTAACGAGAGGAATGCCGCCCATATCTTTGTCGAGTCCATCAAGCAGACACAGGGGATGATTGCGTATTGGATGGATAGTACCGCGGATGAGGAGGCACGAGAAGAAAAAAGAGCGAGCAGCGGTACTATCAATACGTTGGAGCATGACACAATGACGCTCGCGCTGAATATTATTGCGCACGTGGGTTTCGGGCTACGCCTGCTCTGGCCGGGCCAGAAGATGCCCGCGGATATGGACCAGAGGAGCAAGCAGTACGCCAGCCTGGAGCCGCCAGAAGGGCACTCGATGACCTTTGCGGACTCGCTGGCCACGGTGCTGGAGAGGATCCTGCTGCTCCTCATCGTGCCTCCTTGGCTTCTCAAGGCTGTCCCCTTCAGCGCGGCGAGATCGGCCGCGAATGCGCGTTGGAACTACGAAAAATACATGCAGGAGTTTCTGCATAACAAGATCGAGGACGCGCAGCATGAGGAAGACAACTCGGAGGATCGAGGTATGGACATCATGGGACAGATGGTTCGCGCGAAATACGGTAAAAAGAGTCAACAGAAGAAGACCGCCAACGGCAAAGGCAGCGAGGGGGGTTCCCCGCTTTCGGACTCGGACATCTTCGGCAACTCGTTCGTTATTCTCGTCGCCGGACACGAGACCACCGCGAACACGCTGCACTTCACACTTATCGAGCTCGCCAACAACCCAGCTGCGCAACGTGCCCTGCAGGCGGACGTCGAGCGCTTATTGGGCAAGGACAGCGACCCGCTCAATTGGGAGTATGAGGGAAACATCAACGCGCTGATGGGGAGCAACGTCGCGGCGTGCATGAACGAGGTCCTCCGACTCACGCCTTCCGTCGTCGATATTCCCAAGGAGCCTAATGGACAAGGCCAGAGCATCGTGCTCGCAGGGCACCGGCATGTTGTGCCGCGCGGGACGACGATTATACTGAACAGTGTTGGGGCGCAGCGAAATCCGCGGTACTGGCCAACCAAGCCGGGCAAGACTGGAGCCAAGGACGACCTGGACGAATTCGTGCCCGAGAGGTGGTACCGACCGTCACTGCATACCAAAGCTGAGGCCACGGCGGCACACGACCAGGAAGAGGAGGAGGATTTTGGTGGTTTCAAGGGTCCTGATACCAGCGCACAGCTGTACCGACCGGTGCGCGGGTCTTTTATCCCCTTTAGCGACGGCGCGAGGTCGTGTCTAGGCCGACGAATCGCGCAGGTCGAGATGGTTGCTGCTCTGGCGGTCTTGTTTCAGAGGTACAGCGTTGAGCTGGCCGTGGACGAGTGGGCCTCGGATGAGGAGGTGGAGAGGATGGGAGACGACGAGAAGAGATCTCTGTACGAGAAGGCGAGGAAGAAATCGCGGGAGACGGTCAGGCAGGCCAGCTCGTTGTTGACGCTGAAGCTGCATGGGCATTTGAAGGTGCCTGTGAGGCTTGTCAGGAAGGGGGAGGAGAGATTCGTCGGACTGGTGGATACGTAAAGAAGAATGCAGGATGGATAAGTGAATGTGGACATTTTCGGTTGCATATCCGGAGCGTTGGTCTTGGCCTGGGAAAAAGGGAGAAGAAGAAAAGGGCACCTCTGCAGGGCACTGTATTCTATCAAGGATATACTATCAATCAATTCATAATATGCAGAATTCGTAATGTCTCAGGAGAATGAATGTGATGTGTCTATGGGATTCATACAGAGATTGGTTCTCATATGGAGAGGACTTCGACTCTGGGTTCCAAATCTCTTCTCGAGTTCAGAATCGTGCCAACTGTTACTTAGTACGGAAAAGTCATTGAGTCTAGACCAGATGCACACAAACAGTATTGAGTGTACATATTAGACAAAGTTTCTGTAATAATCTGGGGAAAAGATGCTGAGGATGCTGATCATTGGCATTCCAGTGGCTGCAGAGCGTGAATCAAGCCTCGACGATTTTGTGTGTTGGAGATGATCCGAGCATACCAAGCTGATCCTGTCTCCTCAATGTACCTTGGTACCTTATGGCCCAAGCTCCTTTGGGTAGACCCACCAGCCCACCTAGCACCTGCACATTTTGCGGAGACAGCTCGCAGAACAACACGCCCCCCGGAGATCAACAATAAACACAGCTCACTGCTCCAATACTCCCCCGCCCACCACACCCCCCAACCCTATTCCCCCGTCCTTGTCCTGCTTTGATGCTATTGACAACATCGCGATAGAGGGTTCTACTGCACCAACCCACCTCAAGAAAAAAAAATATCAAACCAAACACCTTGTCTATACAATCATACAAAGACATCCTTAAAGTCAGATTATCAGTACACATCTGACACTGACATCATGGCGACCACCACCAACAGCTATCTCCGGGGACAGCGCAAGTCTGACCTCCTCGAACTGGCTGAGGCTGTCAACTTCAAGGAGTACGTACATTGTTTTGTTCCCCCAGAAAAATTCTGTTCCTGCGGCAATTTTGCAAAGAAATATACAATAGTGGGCAATTATCGTCATCATCAAGAGATCGCGGCGGGTTTCCCTTTTGCGCTCTGACCTCGTCGCGTCCTCGTCGCTTTGCGACAACACCAACCACGTTGTCCGCACCGCGACGAGTCACGACGGAGCCCGCGTCTTCAGGCCCCATGAGCGCGCACAATAATTGCCCTTCCTCGCGCAGAGCTCTACAGCCAAGTCCTCTAGCTAACGCGTCTCGGCGCATCAGGACTGACGGCTTGAAGAAGAGCGACCTCGAAGCCGCGCTCCAAGACCACCTTGCCGAGCACCAGAACCTCTACGGCAGTCACCCCAGGGCTGTGCCATACTACCAGTCGCGTGCTCGAGCAATAGGCTCGCCCGTCAAGAAGGAAGGGCCAGCTGGGGAACCCAAGAAGCGGAGAAACACATCCAAGTCCGCCGAACCACCCAAGGTCATCGAGCAAGCCCTTGCCGCTCTGGCCGAGTAAGTCTAGTCGCCTCCCCGATTATTTGTCGTTTGTTTTTCTCCCTTTCCCCGCGCGCCCAACCGCGTTGCGGTTGTCATTCACTGTTACAATGGACATTCTCTGACAGCCTGATTGTATCAGTGATGACTCCGAGCACCAGTCTTCCACCGCCACGCCGGGCCCGTTGACGCTTGCTCGGCGCATTCCGCTGCCCACGTCGCCGGCCGACGTCGCGCGTGTCGTCGACGAGCGCACTCTCGCTCTGCGGGAACGCGTCTCGACCCTGTACGACGAGTCGGGAATCAAGGAGGCTACATACAACACGCGTGATGCTCTGTCCACGGTGACCTCGATTCTGTTCTGCATCAACGCGTTCGAGCTGTACAATCTGCGCAAGGAGATCTTGACCGATCGCTACGCGTTCACCATCCCCGCGGTCAAGGCTATCGGGACTTCGGACTATGCTGTGGAGATACCTGACATGTTCCTGCTGCTGACGAGCTCGTTCTGGAACCCGGCGCTGCTCTGGGCCTTCACCAGCATCATCCTTCCCGCCTTCTTCGGCTTCTACTTCAACCTGTCAGCTGCGCACCAGAGCACCAGTCGCCGCAGGTCCGGCCAGCCCGACTATGTCATCGACCCGCTGACCTTCAGCATTGCCAAGGCTGTCATCACGTACGTTGTCTACCAGCAGGGTGCTACCTTTGGCGGCTGGGTTGACCCCGTGTCCGTTGCCCGCATCAACTCGGCCATCTATGGCGGGTGGAAGGGCGTCCTCACCGGCGCTTTCATCAGCGGCGTGGCGAGCTTCTACGATGCTGTATTGCGCAAGTAAAGCTTTTCATGAGGAACACTAAGTGATGCTTCTCTTTGTTGCCGACGACAAGCTCGGACACAAAGTAATTGTCGCCTCGCCACCCGTCAAAGCAGTTTTTTGAAGAGCTGCAGTGGACGTACATTGATCTTGTTTGGCTGAATGACAGATTTTGGTATTCTCGGAGGAAAGGCTTTCTAGGGGAGGGCGTTTATGGCGTTGCGGCGTCGCGGCCTGTGGCTCCTCATGCGCGCAAGATACCTCCTTGTCTTTTGAAAGGGCCTCCCGTCGCTTTTACTTCGCTTCGCGTGTATGCGTCTAATGGGCCAGAATATTTGTCGGAACGGGAGCAACGGTATATGAGAAGACTCCCTGGTTTTGTCTCTGAATTTGGCAATTGTTAGCTGAGTAGATTTGTCCTGTATACCTTTTTGTTTTTCTTGGAAAGGTCGTCGGTGGTTGGTCTGCAGTATCACGTGTCTTGGACGCCTCGCATACTCGTAGTTTGGATACTCCTTTTGACGCTTGGGGGTACGGTTCTTTTCTTCTTTCTTTCCCCTTCATCTCCAAGCAATGATCTTTGCGTGGTTTGTCTCCATGTGGTCGTTGATCAGATATTGAGGCGGGGGGCCCCCTGCGAAGGCGGGGAGGGAGGGTGGAACAGGGAAAAGGGGCCCTCATGACGAGTCTGGGTTCTGACTCTAGTCAACGAAGCAGTCAGTGACTCAGCAACATGCGCGGCCAACCCCCCCCCCCCCCCCTCCTTTTCCTTATGCTTTGCTGGTGGAAATGGACGCGGGCGATGGTCGGTAGTTTAGGGGCAATCATGGACACATGAAGGGCATGCTTAGGTTTGGTTGGAAAGAAATAGGGCTGGGTCATTCACACAAAGCTGAATCTTTCAACGGATTGTTCTTGATACCTCTTGACTCGATCATCCCTCGACCACTATCTATCATCCATGCCGTGCGCAAAGTACCTCTTGACTCTGCTCACACAGCAGTGCGTAGCGTCTCAGATACGTGAACATAGTCATCCTTGATGATTGTGTGAGACTAGCGGGAATCGAGGCCACAAGCTTCTCGCTTTTTTTCCCTTCTTTCTTCAGAGACATGCTGACCGCTGCTTGATCATTCATTTATTCCCTCCCTTGTCTTTCTTCCCTTTTATTTCTTCTCGTTTTCCAACGAGTCACACAATACTAGTTTGAAGTTCGTAAGCGGCTGCTTGGCTGACTGCATGGCGTACAGACCGCTCCGCTGGCTCTCACTTCGACAGTCCAAGGTTTGGAGCCAACTGCCCGCCACCATCAATGACCTGCTCCGGCAGATAGATAGATGACTGAGAGAGTGAGAGGGAGAGGGCGGGGGGGGGGGGGGAGAGAGAAGAGAAGAGAAAACGCCTGGTGGCCGCCATTGCAAGGATGGAGGGCGATGCGTTGGTTTCTTTGCACACCGATGAGTTGAATACGTGCGTGCATGCTGAGACTTTTACAGAATGTCGTGCGATGGTTGAGAGAAGGAGGAGGGAAGTCCTGGGTTGTGCTTGTCCACCTACTCGCCCCCACGTTGCAAGGGAATGTCTCGCGCAGGCCGACCTTTTTTTACCTTCTTCTCTTTCCTTTGCGTGTCGAACACAAACGCACTGCCAAAATAAAAATAAAAATCACACGAGACCTATGCATACGTGCAAACATACATACTTACCTACGAATAGACAGATAGAGATACAGGATTCGGGTGTGCTGATCGGTAGAGGATCAGCGTGGCTATCCCGTTCTCGCTCAACCCCCAAATCGCGCTGAATCAAGCCGTGGTGAGGCAACAAGGCATCTTGGATGGATTTCGCCAATAGGGCATACTGCACGAGGGTTTGGGCGGTTGCATCTCAAACACGCCTGGATGACATGCATCTGAAAGGGCGAGGGGGGGTTACAAAATGCGTCGTTGCTACGCAGCCCCCAAGCCGTGGTTCTGGGGTTTCTTTCGAAGGGCTCGTTTGTATACCAGTCGGGAGGACGAAAAGGAAGAAAAAAAAGAAAAAGAAAAAAAAGAAAGGAACACGGGCGCTAAATTACTATACAGCACTTGGTCAGGCACGCATGCATCCTCTTACCTTGCTCGGCCTACCAAATTGAGTGCTCTGACTGTGTATGCGCGCCAGGGCAATCAATGGCTTGCATAAGGTAGTATGCGCGGGTTGTGGCTGAGAGCGTCTAATAACAGGGACGCCAAAGATAAAACAGCCCTTTCTGAGGCTGTGTGTGTGTGTGTGTGTGTGTGTATGTCATGCAGTGCGGTGATGGGTGCAGGAGGCAACCTGTGTTCCCCTTTGGGGCATAAGGTTATTTCTTTTTCTTTTTTTCTTTGAACTTTTTTATATATTTTTTAAATATGAAAATATAAGTAAATATCATCTTCTATTGTTCGTTTGTCCTATATACGACGCAGGCACTGATGATATTAATAACACTATGGTGGGGGTACATGGGAGAATATTTGAAGTGGTTGCTTACTTTTAAGTAGTAGGCAAGGAACAACATGGCGCACTTCGACTGGTCCTGAAATCTGCGGCTGATGTGCTCTGCGCGACACATGCAACACCAGGGAGCATTTCCATTGCAAGAATTGTAAGCTGGGAGGAGGGGAGGAGCAGCAGCAGCAGCAGGACAAGGAGGAGCTTGGTTGGGACGGGTTTGGGACGATCAATTAGAGTTTGGGCAGGTTGCCAAAGATGTCATGCCATTCGCAGCCAGTATCGTCATAGTCGTCACAAATCCGTACGGAGAGGACGGATGCGCTGCTTTGCCTTGAGAAATCTGCCCCGACAATTTTTTTCTCTTCTTTTTCTTCTGTTAGAATCACTCCTATGTGTGTGCAGGCTTACGAGGCCCTACTACACTGTACGATTATACTGATAAGTTCCCTCATACAAATGCAGGAAGGATTTGCCCTTTGCATAACTATGGGGTCTGGTTGGACAAGTATTACCGAAGAGGGGTAGAAATTTATTCAAGCCCAGATGACACATTATAGCCCTTGTTTTAGGTCAGTCAGGTGTTAGTGCTTGGTTCCCGGTCAGTGGTCAAGTAAGGTTTTTGCTTCTGTCATCATCGCGCAAAACAAGTTTGGTTGTCGACCCTCCCGCTTCGTCATCGCAGGACGTGGTGGATCTTCTGGCGGTCCTCCAAGTTTAATGGCATCCAGCCCATCTGTTGTACGTATAGGGGGGCCCTGGGCACACCGTGTCCCTCAATGTGCCCCTCCCCTCTTCTTCAGGTTCCCCCTCCAAGACCTTTTTCAGGGACCTGACCTGTTCCTGCCTCGACCTGTGCCTTGGCGACCCCTCTTCCCACTCTCAGCCAAGCGCATCGTACTGTACTTAAAAATAAAAATAAAAAAGCACCCCTAGGACAGCTTCTCTCCCGCCATCGTCAGCTCCTCACAACGTTCCACAATACCTGTCAGGGTTCCACTTCTACTTGCCCCCAGTCGGGTTCAGTCAGTCAGCCAGCCAGCCATCCGTTGCCGCTGGTACTATTTACTACTGCATGTTGCTGCTGCTGCGCCTTGGGAATCTTGCATGCACCTGCAAGATCTAGCCCTTCCGTAGCCAAGTGCCACCGGCATACAGTACTACTCTCTGTATTACGAAAAGGCTACTGCATTTTTCTTCTTCCTTCTCTTCTTATTATCCCGACAGAACGCACCTGGGTCCCTCACAGACTGTATAATTACACACTTCATCCAAGCGCCACAGACAACCGACCTCCAGTTACTTCTTCTACAACGAGGCGAAGCCTGGACCGTTACGGATCAGTGCTGCCAAGCTAAGCTGCATCACAAGTCACCGGCAACAAACAGATAGCGCTCACTTTCGTCAGCGGTTTCCGTGCTCACTCTTTCCAGCCTGCCCACGTCCAGACCGTACGTCCGACCCCAGAGAGGACGCTCCCGCTTTGTCTCGTGTGTGCGCGTGGTTTCGCGACAGACTGAAGTGGATCAAGGGCCTAGAACAAGGGGAGACCTTTTGAGGTAGGTGTGATCAAGAAGACGAGTTTCTGTTATTCGTTGCACCCGGGTTCCGACTCCTCTCTCATCACCGGCCACCCGTCAGATCCCGCCGCTCGTGACCGGTTTGTTTTTTTCCAACCCCCCCCCCCCTCCTTTAGAGATAACCCGCATCCTATCTTCCCATCACTTGTCAGATCTGTCACTCCACCTGTCGTGCTGTCGAGTGGGAATTGTGACGGTATCGTTGCCAATCCTCAGGAGATAACATCTCATTGACATATATCTGTTTGATCTCGCAGGCTCCGCACCCGTCGAGCTCGTAGCTCCTGAACCCAAGAAGACAATCCATCCGCCTAACCACCCGTCTATTCCATCTTTGTCCATCTTCCTAGGCACTGCAAACGCCAACGGTATCTTCCGACGATTCAAGAGACGACCGCATTTGGAGTCATCGCAACCACACATCCCAAAGACATAACTTCTTACAATGAGTCTCGCCGGTACGGCACCACTGCAGAGCGGGGCCTCCACCCAGCCCGCATTAGCAGAACCATTCGAGCCTGCTTCGACGCAGAAGGGCGACAAGGTACGAGAAAGAGGAGTTGGACTAGATACTACCGCACTGGAGACTGACGAACCCGCTAAGAAGAACAAGATGCGAGGACTATTCGGCATTGGCAAGAAGAAGGCAGACGAATCCGCGCAGGCAGCATCACGCTCAGACCCGGCTTCCACCTCCACCACCGCCACCAGCTCCAACCGGCTCACGAAGCAGCCAAGATCGACGACATCACCCGCCCGAACCCACAGCCCTGTCCCTGGTATGCCCTCGTCGCCGAGTCACGGCCTCTCTTCTCCGTCACCAAGGCTGTCTTCGCCGGCCGGTAGCCAGATATTTGAGCGCGACGTCCAAGAAGCAGCACTAATCCCGAACTCGCCCGCCATCCCGAGCCATATCATAACGGAAGATCATGTCCCACCTGTCCTGAACGCCTCTTCCGAGGCAATTACCGATGATCATCTTGACCCTGATACTGTCGAGATCATCACACATGCCAACCACCAGCCTGCTGGCGTTGCGGTCAACGTGGCAGGGATCCCAGACAACACGTCGACCAGCTGGCAGGATGACCTCGCCGCCAGCCTGTCCGCAGCCGACTTCAGGGCGCTGGCAGACCCCATGGACACGGGCAGCAATTCTGGTAGCCCCGAGAACAGCGTAGACGTGCGCCGTCTGAGCTTCATCAGCTTCGCAGACGTCGTGCAAGCGGAGCACCAGGGCCACGCAGGTCTGGCAGGCTCACGAGATTCGATCCATCTCGCGGGTCTCACAAGCATCCCCTCTATGGGCGGCATAGATCATCGGTCCCCGTCCCCGATTCGCTCGCCCGTCTCCTCGACGACTGGCGGAGCAGGCACCTCTCCGCCGAACAGCAAGTCCGCGTCGCTGAGGGGCACGGAGACTTCGCCTACCCGGAAGCCCCTCGGTAGCCCCGTGTCCACGAGTCTGTCCATGTCCCCGTCTATCCCGCCCATGGGCATCCCTGGCGAGGTCAACGTAGAGACGATGACCCAGGCACTGCGGAGGACTGGGTCAGGCGACCTCAGTGGGGTGAAGAGCCATCCTACGAGTCCTATTGACGGCACATCCTCGCGTTAGCTGCGCGTCGTGCCTTGTGGCTATGAGACACGCAGGAGTACTTATCCTCCTCACTTTGGGTCTAGGAGCTTAGGAAGCCTCCCAAGACCAGCTTCTGTGCCGCCAAAGTTTTGACGTGTCTGTTGGGAAAGTGTCGTCGGATCACCAGCCAGAGAGGGGGGGGGCATCGTACCAACTTTCTCCCTTCTTCCTCTTCTTCTTCCTTTTTTATCGACTTCGAATTTGGACAAGATCAATCGTGTCGGGCCCCAATTCTCTGCACGGCGCAAGCTCCCCGTTCGATACTTCTTACAACATCTTATTCTTCCCAATGATTGCCGCAACTTTGACTTTCTGGACATCATACCCACATTTACGAGTCGATTACCCATTTGATTTCGCTGCAGCCACTGCTGCTTCTCTTGTCGACAACGACATCACGGCTGGTAGTTATTGTCTTCTTCTTTTTGCTGCCTGGTGAATATCAGTCGAACTTGCGTTCATTTGCCTTGAGGGCCAGAAGGAAAGCTTGGGAGGGGGAACAGGGCTCGGAGAGGAGGGGGGTTGGTAGGAAGTGACTATTTCCCGTTTGCTTTAGCTGGATGAATTGTTAGGCTTGACGTTTCTTGATAACTTTGCTTCTTCTTTTCTGAGTAGGGCTCATCATCCTGGGTATAAATTGTGAGATGGGAGGCTCTCGTTTTTACATCTTGTCCTTTTTTCGTTTTTCTTTTCTTCTTTTCTCTTTCTTTTTTTTTTTGGCTTGCTTGCCGTGTCTTTTCAAATGGCACCTGATTGGCAGCCCAACGTACTTAGAGATACCTACACATATGGGGGAGATGAGAGGCAAATTGAAGAATCATTTTTCTGGCCTGAATCATTTCGGATCCAATCTCACCTCTGAAGTGAGATCAACTTCCGGCTCAAAGCAAGATCTCCTCGTGAGCATCCAGCAGGACGGGCATGGAGGGTATCAGAGGCTGTCCCGCAGACCCACGAGCAGGAAAACCCGGTCTTCTTTCGGAACGTGCTGTGGTTCCACGCCGATAACAAACGATGGTCTGAAAGCAATGGTGCTCGAGAAACTGCGAAGGTTACATGGTAGATTTTGACCATCTTATTGCGCTACACGAGATGGACCCCCCTTTAACGGCATGCATACATGTATATGTGTATGCGCGCGCCCGAATGTGGGTGGGAGGCGAGCGGGCAACTTGATGGGAGTCTTGCCTCACCAGACCTGGACGAGGCAGGGGCAGGATGTGCTGTCTGGAGAAATCTGATCTTGTATGTGCAGAATGGCTACGTGGCTCGAGAGGTACAAAGATCTGCCATTTGACAGATGACTGATTCCCCGGATGGATGGTATGTTGGGGCTAACACGGATAGCCGGATTGGAAGGGCCGGTGCGGATGTCAGCCAAACACGCATGTCTCCGGCCACGACAGCGCAAGGCGTATTTACTCCGTAGTCGGCCAGTTTCCGATCTCTTTTCTTTTTCGTCTGTGACGACATGCCCTCAAAATAGTGCACATCATCCATGTATTTTCCCCTCTGGATTTCAATGAGGCCTTTTAGGTGGCGGTGGTAGTACTCATGGGGGAGGCAAAGGAGAGGGCCGGCCAATTATGACCCCGCCTGCCAATCAGAACTCACGCGATGACCACTGCTAGGCTCAGAAGCTGGTCTAAAGCTCACCGCGATCGGAATGATGCGCCTATGATTAGTTGCATGTACGTCGGGACTCGGGAGAACAGCTGGCGTGCGGACTTGTTTTTCCCCATGGTTCAGGCACCTTTCTACGACAATACTACTATTACTTGTATTTACTACTTACTGTCTATATACTAGAGTATTAATTATCTGCACGAATTCACCTCCTCCTTTTGACGATGCCTCACGCTTCACATCTTGTGGACTATGTACCTATTATATGCTTTCCTCACACATACAGGCTCCCGAAATCTGGGGGACATGTCGTGTACGCAAATAAGATCATGAAACTGGAGAGCTGCTGCCACACACTGCAGGCAGGCAGGCTTGCCCTCTCCCCTCGAGCATCAGCAGCAGAGAGTCCAGACGGCGTGCAACCATCTGTTCGTTCACCTGGTTGTCTGCCAGCTACTGTACCATGTAGCATTTTATACGGGCGTTCCTTCTCAACTCCTCGAGCTGGCGACTGACTGCAAGTGTGACCAAAGTTACAAGCACGACCACGATGCGAGCGGCTGTTCAATGGGAATAAGCCGTAAATATGCAAACGCTGGGAACAGGAACCTATGCCACAGAGGGGCCTACCATGGACTAGAATGACGGGTGTGGCCCATCTTGACGGGTCTCTCTCTCCCTTTTCCCAACAACCCGGCCAGCCACTCCCGCCTTGCCGCTCCACCACCGATGGTCGGACAGGCAAGCGTATCAGTCCGGGGAAAGAAGGTGGTGGGGTGTGTGGGCGCCCTTTCGTCGTGTCGAGGGCGTTGATACGGGAATTTGCTCGACCGGTACTGGATGATGACTCTTGGTCCTCTTGCGTCCATCCACAGGAGATTTGCTTTTTGCTGTCGAGAGAACGGCCCGGACGTTGCGGTCTCGGGTCTGGCTTCATGCAGGTTTTTGGGGACGATAGGCAGATAAGAGAGAACTTTGCCTTGCCATCTTCTGGCTGGTTTCCTTGTTCCTGTTTCCTCTTCTTCCTCTTTTTCTCTTCTTCTCTCTCTTCTGCTGCCATTCTCCCCTTATAATAGCCGAATCGATCGAGGTGATCGACTCTTCCTCGGTTTAGTTGTTCCCCGACGTGGATACTGTCTGAGATCCGCTTTGAACAGCTTGACTGCTCGAACCCACTCCTTCCTTCATCGTCACGATCCTCATCGTCACACTACGCACATTTTCATGTGCCTACTCGTCAAGCGAGGTCTGGTCTCCTCACTTCCAGAGTGCGAGGTGTTGCCTGCTATGCAGTCCTTACTCTTCACCATCATCCTGAAAAAGAAGGCGCTCTAAGCAGTTTCATGTCCCAATGGCGGCCATGATCAAGAATGAAGCCGATGGTGTCAGTGGCGGCGGCAGCACCACCAGCACATCACCGGGTACTATTGCTGCTCCTGTGAACCAGCAGGACATCGAGAAGTATAGGTGTGGTGAGAAAGACGAAATCAGTGACGACCTAGAGGCGGGACGAAAAGAGGAGGAGGAGGAACACCATCATTGGACCACGACGCCGTCAGGTCAGGATGACGGTGACGATGACGGCGACGATGGCTCTGACGACGACGACGATGATGACTCCTCGACGACATCAACCCACCACAGGAGCTCGACACATCACGAGCAGCGAAACTCCAGCCCGCCGGTGAGGCGCATCCCCACCAACGTCTCCCTTGGCCCAGACAACCCCGTCGAGCATTACACGTCGTTTGTCGAAGTGCCAGACTCTGTCTATGACAGATTCTCCAACCAACGAAAGCTGGTCATCGTCGTCTTGCTATCCTTCTGCTCGTTCCTGGCGCCCATCTCGTCGACCACTGTACTCTCAGCCACGCCAGAGGTGGCCGCCGAGTTTCATACGACGGGGTCTGTTGTCGATGTTACCAATGCGCTCTATATGCTGTTCATGGGCATCTCACCCATTGTGTGGGGTCCCTTCAGCGAGGTCTGGGGGAGAAAAACCGTGAGTGAACCGCTCTGCCGTCGGGGCTTTCAAAACTTCCCGGACAAGGGCCTATACTGACGGCCAAGACAACATCTTCCCCCATAGATCACATGTGTTACCGCATTCCTCTTCTTTGCCTGCAGTATCGGAACAGCCCTGGCTCCGAACCTGGCTGCCTTCTTCATCTTTCGTATCCTGACAGCATTCGAGGGCACGGCCTTCCTCCTCGTCGGCTCGGCATGTCTTCAGTAAGTGCATTCATATATCCTGCGCAATGGCAATATGCTAGATCTCCCGCCCGACTGACTTCGTCATCCTTGCCAGAGATATCTATCGCCCAACAGAACGGGCCACAGCCATGGGCTGGTTCTTGAGCGGCACACTGATCGGTCCTGCCATCGGACCTTTTGTCGGCGGCATCATCGTCACTTTCACCTCCTGGCGCGTTATTTTCTGGGTACAGACAGCCCTGTCCGGTGTCGCGGCGCTGGGTGCCTTCTTCCTCCTCCCGGAGACGATCCATCATAAGAAGTATGACGACCTTCGGGGCTTGAGCAGGAAGAAGAAGGCAGCCGTGCTGGGAAGCATGGTGAACCCGTGGAAGGTGCTGAAGTTGATGTTTACCTATCCTAACCTGTAAGTCTGGCTTCGCTTAAAGTAGCACAAGAAAGGAAAAGAGAAAGAGAAAAAGGAGAAGAGGAAGAAATCAATCATCGAAACCCCCCTCACCTACCTTTTATTTCAACAACTACGCCTGCGTCGCATTCTCTCCGCTCAAGGAAAGCTAATACTGGACCCGGCCTGTTCACAGCTTACTCGCGGGAATTGCCACCGCGTCCCTCGTCTGGAATATGTATTCCCTCCTCACGCCAATCCGCTACGTCCTCAACCCGCGCTTCCACCTCACGTCGCCGATGCAGTCAGGTCTCTTCTACCTTGCCCCCGGCGCAGGCTACCTGACGGGGACCTTCATGGGCGGCCGATACGCCGACCACATCGTTCGAAAGTACACCAGGCTCTCGCAAGCCCGGATTCCCGAGGATAGGATGCGTTCCGCGCTGCCTTTCCTCGGTGTGGCCATCCCGGCGTGCGTACTGGTGTACGGGTGGGCGGTAGAAAAGGATGTGGGCGGGATTGCCCTGGTTGTGGTGACGCTGTTCTTGCAGGGGGTCGCGCAGCTCTTTTGTTTTCCCAGCCTCAACACGTACTGCCTGGATGTGATGCAGGGCCGCGGGAGCGATGTCATTGCTGGCAACTACTTTATGCGGTACCTCTTCGCCTGCATGGGCACTGCCGTCGTCCTACCCGCCATCGAAAGGGTCGGCGTCGGCTGGTTCAGCACCATCAGCGCCGCCTTCTTGGTAGTGAGCGCACTGGGCACGTGGGCTACCATCATTTGGGGCCGTGGCTGGAGGGAGCGCGTGGACGCCAAGAGGAGGGCCAAACGCGGCATGGGAAAGGGTGAGAAGGGCTCTGGGAAGAAGAACAGCAACAACAATAAGAAAAGGAACAAGGTTCACAGCAGCGATGTAGGTGGGCTGGACAGAGACATCGAGGCTGGCGGGTCCGTGTGCGTCAACAACGAGACTACGATTCACAAGCAGGGACTCATGGGGAAGCGTCCGGACCGGGAGGAGGAGGAGAGAGCGGTGGCTCAAGGTCGGGCAGACACGGGGCCGGTGGAAAGTCTGGAGTCTGGTGCCGACATGCCAGCTGCTGGCAGAGAGCAGACTGGCCGGTCAGAAAAAAACGCAGTAAAGACACTGGAGATAGGAGAGGAGAGGGTCGACTGCTGAACAGCAATTCACTATACAGGCCGAGCAGAAGGCGCTGCTGGGTAATGAGCAGGGCAGGGTGGTGACAAATGTCTCCCAGCCCCCGTCTCGGCGGCATCTTTGGCTGTGATAGCCTCACACATCTCCCCCCTCGCGGTCTTAACGCGACGTCTTCCAGTTGAGGGGCTTTGAACCTTGGTGGGTGCCTTGCCTTCAATGGCGCAAAGCGGTAGATCAGCGGCATGCAATAACAGCAAGTACCAATACGTACCTCAGCATAACATCTCCATCTACGAATTCATGCATATACGGCCAAAAAAAAAAAAGAAGAAAAAACACCTTCTAAGTCGCCAAATTATAGCAGTGATAAAATTATGATGGACAGGAAGGCCCCCCGCCCCCCCCCCCCTCTCCTTTTTTACCCCCTCCCCCTTCTTCATTTGACCTACATCCTTTAGAAAATCGTTCGTGAACAATCAACCAAACACCCAAGATTGTCGCTCGCCTCGTCAGCCAGGCCATCTATCTGATGCCACCCAGCCGATCCTATTTGTCCGCAATCTATATTTCCTGCCGACAAGGCAAAGCAGGCGGACGAGCATGGGTAACGTCAGCAAGGCTGCGGCGGCGGCAATGGGATTTCCGAAATCTCGGTTTCTATGCAATGGCAAGGGGGAGAGGGGGGGTAGGAGTGTTGGGTGGCAAACGAAGGGGAGGATTGGGACCGTCGTCGTCGTCACTGAAGGCACCTTGCTAGCCAATGCTACCCGTTAGAAACCTTTTTTTACTCCTTTGTTTGGGTGTTATGATTTTTTATTATTATTAAACTACGAGGATTTGTTTTATTTTCTTTCCATTTGCATTGAGTATACATACGATTGGTCACTTTGGGCCTAGCTCTGCGAGACTCGAGCTGTGGCGGGGAGAGTCTCTGGATATCGCGCTTGAGACACAGCGAGTTGGAGGGGCTGGCTTGGGAGAGAAGCGGGCAAACTTGGAGGAAACATCAGACAAAACCTTTTTCGTTCTCCTTCTCTTTATTTTCCTTTCTTTCTTGTCGTTATTGTCACAGAAAATGTACTGGAAGATTCTCGTAGCCGATCCTCAGCCCCTGCTTAGCAATGCAGAGTATGGAGGAAAGATTCGTCTTATTTCTTCCCGTTCCCTTCCCTCCATTCTCGGTTTTGGTCTTGCGGGTCTGAACTTGCTTTGTCCGAGGGGTGTGGGTAGAGACAGGGCTGTGCCATAGACCAGAGTATGTTCTGTCTGGCTCTTCTCTCGGAGGATTGTGCCGCCTCGCTTGGGTGGTGGGGGGGTCATGTCACTTTTCTCTCGTGCGCGCGGGACAGTATACATAGTTGTGAGTCTCCAGCACACTACAATAATTGGTACCAACGTGTCCATTGGCGGAGCCTGTCATCCTGTAGGCGCTGCAGGTGAGCTGACACCATGGCCAGGTACGTCTTTGAGCTATGCCTCCATGTGCTGTGTCTAGTACCAAGCTTTTAACAGGCGCATCTAGTGCAAAACCGTACATAGGAATTTCAATGGTAGGAAGAAGAGGAAAGATAATTTAGTACAAATAAAAGATGCGAGATGAAGTAGGGCGGGTTAGCAAACCCCGTGCGAGGTAGCAACCCGGTCTTGACCTGGTACCTAAGTGCCGCTACCCGTGGTTTGGCTTGATGAGATACGTACCTCGAAACGGGAGTGTCTAATTATGGCAGTCAGCCAAAAGGGGATGATGAATGCAGATGTATCTCTCTCGATGCGGGTGTCCACGGCAAAAAAGGGGAGGGGGGGGGGCGGGAAGAAGCTATGAAAAAAGGTCGCTGCAGAATTGACTGATAGTTGGGAGACAGAAGGGATGGCTGCGACGAGTGATAAGCATCAAGGTGGGCGCAGATCGTCTGCGGCCTTATTCTGAGGGCCCTCGAGTTTCCGAGAATAACCCATGCGGGATTGGGATGAGGTTGGCTTGGTTGCTCCAAAAGTCAAGACGATGAAGGTCTCGGCTGCTTGACGCGAAGCTCGAGGCACGTTTCAGCCCTTCCCCACGTCCCTCTGGGCTTCTTACCTCATCGGGGCAGATGGCGCTCTGATCGCCTGGCTTGTTCCCTGTGGCCAAGTAATTTTAATTCTGTCTGGTTGTCCAACAGTGGTCAGACCCGTGGTCAGACTTTGCGCCATCGAATCCTCGAAATGTGTGTCCAGATCATTTCTCATCCTCTCCAGGCCTCATGCAAGTTACACCTAATGGTTCCTGGATGACGTTGTGAGATGGGTGGGCAGGAGAATACAGACCGAGACGACGATCTTTGCTCTTTTTTTTTTTTTTTTTGGGCTCCAGAAAATACAGGCCCACATAGGACTGAGTTATCTATATGGTTAAGAAGCAAAATTCCGGGTTAGCTTTTCGTGCGACACTTCTTGGCAGCGAACAGCAAGGGTTACCTACGCAAGTTACAGCGTTTATCGGTCACCAACGTACTGTGTGTGTTAGCAGCGCCTTGTAGGATCACAAGCTCACTGCCCCCACCCCTCCACCCTCCTCCCCCATCCAGGCTCCGCCAGGGGGAGGGTGTTCCAGAAAGCTTTTCCCCGAGGCTCTAGGTGATCGCACGTTGCGCTACCGCTCGGCACTCATAGCGGCTTGGCCATTGGCGCCATGACAGACGACAGACCAAGCCGCATCAAGATTGTTTTGGTTTCTGATACAGCCTGAGTTCGACATTGCTAGAACACTATCCAACAGCTGCTGCAGCCGCTGATCCGAGCCGAACCAGCCATAGAATCGTCTGGTGTGTTGTGGGAATAAGAAAAGAGGCCACAAGGAATTCTTGATTTGCTCAATCAGGACCTCCGACCGGGGACCTGCATGGGGCCATAGGTGAACTATCTGCTGCGGGACGCGTTGCCTGTCAGCCGCCACCCGACTTATTGAGATCACACAGTACAGAACCTCTGCAGGTGGACAGAGGAATCGGTCTTTTGTTTAGGTTCTGGCACTAGATCTTGGACTGGCTCTCGCACCCAGCGACGACCGCCACACAGGGAAACCGGTATGAACGCACAAGCTGAAACCTGACCCCGGATTTCTCGAGGATGTAGATGCAAAATCAATCCCGTCTTTTCATTCCCGAGAGCACAAAGTCTGGTAGCACTGCATCCGCGGTGTGATGTCTGTATGGCGAGGACTGTGACACCATACTGTGGTAGTGATTGGGCCTTCGGCCGAGCCTGCGAGAAACGGAGTTTCGTCGGCTTGGATTTGTTCAGTACATCACATCTCCAGGGCAGGAATGACTGGCCATTTCGACTCCTGTAGGATCCTAGGAATTTCCAAGAACTGCTCTGACGCAGTCAGCTCAGGCCGAACAGGTGGTCTCCTCTGGCTTACGGTACATGTCCCATGTCCGGTCCAGGGAGTGCTCGCAGAAGGGGGTGGGGGCCAATGAACAGGGCGCAAATTGATTTCATGATGCTGGAATAAGAAAAGTGGTGTGAATGGTGTGGACAGTTGCAAATCTTCCAATAATCCAATTGCATCTCCAAGCCAAGCTAGTTATGTGGTGTTGAAGCTGTGAATAGGTGCCCTGGCCCGAACGAGGCTCTGGAGATGCAGGGCCCTCAGGCGGGAACTAGCAGATCTGCAGTGGCCCAAGGTACTATGGTAGCTTTGTGAGAACCGAGTGGGGTGGCATCCCTGCTAGTCTGCGGCAGGGGGTTGAGTTCCCTCTGGTATCAGTGCGCACAGCTTATCCTTGTACTCAAACACACTCAATACTACTGCTGAGTACTATACTATAGTACATGCATAGTAATTACTGCGTGTATGGATGGTGGTACCTCGCTCGCACCCAATCCAGTGTTACAGGTTTGGCTGTATTGTCCTAAGGGTCCACTGAGATTGTCCGACTACTGATGTATACATAGTACAGCTAGTACAGCCAAACCACCAACACCACCCCCCTCGGACCTCCTTCCTTTCGCTGCCAATTTCCCCCCTGTCTTGTTGTTTTTGTCGTCACTACATCCCAGTCAAATAGTAAACTGGAGCCTGCACATGCCCCATCATGTAGTAGAATTTCCGATGTTGCAGAGTGCTCTGCATGGCAGCCTCGAGTGGGTGGAGACTTTGTCACAACAAAGTACCTTGTATTTTCATTGAATTGTTTGGCCCCGTCTACTGTTTCCCTCAACACTGACACTCCAGCTTTTCATGTTCTTGGTTCACGTTCACTTTTGTAATTTCAATATCAGCACCTACCTTCATCTGAAGTTAGACTGTTTCTTTTTCTTGTGGCAGACACAGACTGCCCAAAACTCTAGCCAGGCCTTGGGGGTCCATCTATTTTGTGCCGCCACCCCCCCTCTTCCTCCCACCCATCCTCATCCTCACTTCACCTCGTCTCTTTTTCTTCGCTTTGGTTTTTTCCCCGGACCTCATTTCACAAAATTTCAATTCCATACACACTCACGAAGTCTGCTTTCCTGTCTTGCATGTTTGACGGTCACTGCAGCATACGCCCATCTCTTACGTCAAATTTAATATCGAGGACGGCCCGTCATCTTCATCTTCCTGACCCTTTCCGCGTTTGATCGACGACATCCACCCGACCGTTTCTTAGTGCCTCGACATTTCCCTTTGCACCCCTTCGATTACGTTCCTTCCCTGTGGCAGCAGACGAAGTGACGCAGGTCTTCCTTCACTTTTCACAACTGAATTAATTTTGTCATACCTTCCTTGCCTTAGACCTGGTCGAACTGGACCAGGTAAGGTACTCGACGATCAAGTCATCTTCCTCAACTTCGACAACAACTTTTGGAGGCTGCTACACGGTCAACTATCGTGACCTCGTGTATGTCAGCCTGGGGAGTACATCGTCGCTGAAGCTGCTCGTTGCTCCCACGAGTACACCCCCCACCCTTCTTCTTCCTCGAGCAGCTTCAACCTCCTCTTTCCCCTCCTCTTCTTCAACCTCTCAACCATCTTCACATACACCATGGAGCAGCGCTCATGTCTACCACGATCCAACACATCGTCGAGGAACTCGTCACCCTCATCACGAAAGAGCGAAGTCATGCTACCCCTGCCGGTTCAGTCTTCGCCTAGAATTCCTGTCCGCGCACTCCTCAGCCACTGCTTCTATCGGCGCGTCATACTATGGGCCATCACCGCTACCTTTATGTTGTGCCTCATGCTGTTTTCCAGCGGGGTCAACACCAAGCATAGCAGGATCCTAGATCACCTGGTCGATTTTGGCAAAGGGGACAACGTCAAGTCCACCACCGATGGCAGCAGCAGCACCACCATTACAACAACCAGTGCATCCACAGGTGGTCTTGGGGACAGCAGCACGGGCCTGGACAGCATCGAGAGTACTTCTGAAGATACGGCCACTTCCGACATCCAGAGCTACACGAAGGGCAACCAAGGCTCCACTACTGGCAATCAACAGGGGAACAGCAATGGCGGTGGCGTTCACTGGCTGAAATACAAGCAGTAAGTCTGGTCCGAGGTTTGCTGCCGGCTTAGTACACTTGAGGCTAATGAACCTACTAGCATGGACGGCTTCTACAATGGAATTAAAACCCTTGTCTCGCTGAAGGACTATATCCCCGAGTTCCCTGTCAAGGCAGCCACTCCTCCGACCATCACTGTCGAGGTCAGCGATGAGGTGCCAACTCCAAGGCCCTACGCACCCCATCCTGACTACAACTCATCCGAGTATACCGACAAGTTCTATCCCGTGGAGACATGCTACCTTGATGAGAAGAAAACCATTCCTGTTCCCGATTTGTATGTCTACGACGGTGTCCCGCAGGGTGTTGCCCAACCGGCAATCGGATCCTACAGCCTGCTGGGCCTTCGAGAGGACATATGTTACGATCGTTTTGGTCGCTACGGACCGTACGGACTGGGCTACAACCTGAAGGACGGCGGAGTCGGAGAGGGCATGGACACCGAGAGCCAGGGCAGCGAAGTTGTATGGAGCAAGACTGGAAAGATTGACTACCACAAGGTGGACTGGGGAAGGCTGCAACGGCAATGCCACGAATCAAACCAACAACGATTTCTGAACGCTGAGGAGCTTGGTGAGAGTGATGAATCGACCAGCACCAAGGACGCACAGTCCCGTCTTGGCTCTGATGGCAGGGCGAAGATTGGCCGCATTGCGGTCGTCATCCGAACTTACGTCGGCTTCCAATGGACGCATTTGACCATTCTGAACTTCCGGGCCATGATTTCCGAGCTGTCGCTGAGATCAGGTGGGGAGTATGACATTCACTTCCTGCTTCACGTCAAGGACAACTCAATTCCCATCTGGGCGGATGGAGAGATCGTGCAGGCCGTGCTGGATATGAATATGCCGGGTGAGTTCCACTCGATCACGACCCTCTGGTCCGAGGACCAGATGCGGCTGCTTTATCCTGGCTATTGGGGAGAGCCTGTGGAAAACCCATCCCAGAGCGATGTCTACGGGGTCTACCGGTCCGCGCACATGCCACTACAGCATTTCGCCATGATGCATCCCGAATACGAGCACTTTTGGAACTGGGAGATGGATATGCGGTACTCGGGCAACTACTACGAACTCTTTGATCGGCTCGGGAGCTGGGCCAAGAAGCAGAGTCGCCAAGAGATGTGGGAGCGCTCGGAGAGGTACTACATCCCTGATTTCCATGGCAGCTGGGCCAATTTCACAGAGAAGGTTCACGAGGAGGTTGTGGCCTCAAGCCGACGACCTGTCATGGGGCCTGTCTTGTTCGCTGGCAAGCAGCCTCTCCGCTCTCAGGAACGTGGCCAGAGCTTCTTGCCGGAGTCCTGTGCCGTTGGCTCCGATATGACAAAGTGTGGTGTGGGCGAGGAGGCCGACCTCATCACGCTGAACCCTCTCTTTGACGCCGATAACTCCGGCTGGGTTTTCGAAAAAGATGTAACCGGCTATGACCTCAGCTTGCCAACACCTCCTCGTCGCTGTGCGATTGTCACGGCCTCGCGCCTGTCCCGTCGCCTCCTAGAAGTTATGCACGAAGAGACATGGCGTCGGCACCACAGCATGTTCTCCGAGATGTTCCCTGCCTCGATGGCACTGCATCATGGACTGAAGGCGGTCTACGCACCTCATCCAGTCTACCTTGACAGAAACTGGGACATCGAGGCCGTCGATTGGGCTTTCAATGGCGGCAGAGATCACACTACTGGTGGTCCCGGTTCTCCCTTTGACGACGACAACGAACACAACCATGCAGGTACGAGCTGGTACTACAACAGCGAGTTTGCGGGCCTGTGGTGGCGCCGTTGGCTGGGCTACTCCCAGTATGACGGTCGCGGCGAAAATGGCGGCCGTGCCGGTGAAGGAACCCTGCGCGGTGGAAAGGCGGAGGAGAGTCGCAAGGACAGCACAGGCCGGCTGTGTATGAGGAGCACCTTGTTGCATCCTATCAAGTGGGAGAACCCGAGCGAGAGGGCATGAGCATTGCCTGCGTGGCGGCAAACCAACACGGAAATGTGATTGCATTGGCGTCGGAGAGCTTCTTCAACATCAAAAATAGCCCTGCCGGAGAGTGGGCATATACCAACAAAGCCGGTTATCTGAATGTACGACACGACGGGTGCTACGAACTTTGTCCAGGGCAATGTTTGTTGTCGGGACACGGCAAACTATGCAGATGGCATTTACATTGGCGAATGACGCGGCAGCAGTCTCATATTGACTGCACTAGAATTTCTTGTACAAAAGGTTATGTACATATAGCTGACCACTCACGGTTTCCGCCCATGGACGCGAATCTCGGAGCGCTTACGCAACACCACAATACGACCTTGAATCAACCCTCCCTGGTTTACATATTATTATAGATTGAGGATAATAATTGTTGCAAGCTTCGAGAGCCCAGTTTTTGAGCGCGTCTGAGCGGACAGATATGACAGAGTAGGGCAGAGTGGACCTGAAACCTCTATCCATTTCATCATAGGTGATCCTTCATAGAATCCCAATTTATGAGAACGAATTCAAAAATGAAAGAACAAGAAGAAAGATAAAGATAGGATGACCATTATGCGAAGGTGTTGGTTCCATTTCGCTTCTTGTAAATCATGGGACAGACTGACTTTGATGCCCAAGTGGGACGAAGTCGTTCATGTCCTACGTCTTGTCGGCACCATGCTTAAGCCGATTCTAGACAATTTGACAATCACATTGCTTCCGCGAGGCGAGTGGCTTAGCGGTTCTAGGCAATAAAATATGAGAACACTCATTCCTAGCGCTGCAGATTGTGGCACTTTCATTCGCATCATCCATTCCGTTGACTTACTCGAAGATGGGCAACGCGGCACACTGCAACAAGCACGAGTCAAAACCACCTAATCTCTGTGCTCCTTCATCTACCACAACGTTAATTTCGACATCACTGTTTCTGGGGTCGTGAAACAAAATCAAAGATCTCGTACATATGTATAGGACGATCCGTCGTCCTCAGTAATGTGTCTTGACTATAGAAAATGGGAGGACCTAGTAAATACAGAAATTTGTCCATATAATAATACATTGATCTTTCAGAAACCAGATCTTTTACCGGATCATCTTATCATAACAACCAAGAGCTTCCTCCCCTACTTTCTTCTTCTTGTCTTCAACTCTTCAACCCGCAAAACATCTCTTCAAAAGACGTAACCCTGCATCCTCTGGGCGATGTCTGAGACGTAGTACCTGTATTTCACAAACAAGTCAGCACTCAGGAAAACAACTCACCAGTTCTCATGTAAATAATTGAGGACTGTCAGAGACGACTGAGGAAAACCAATTGGATAAATAGGTCAGCAGCAGTGACTCACGGGTTGCCTGCTCCATTGGGAGCAATAGACAGGTTGCCCTGGTCGACCGAGCCGGAGTTGTACTCGCGCAGGGCAGGATAGATGGTCGCCACCGTCTGCTGGTCGCCAAAGTCGCCAAGGTTGGTTATGAAATGTTGCGTGCCACAGTGCACCATCGCGAATACTTCTGCCTAGATCCATTCATACACACACATCCGTCAGCCCCTTGACTCGCCATCTGCACCCCCCTCTTTTTTCCTCTGTATTCCTTTTTGAGAAAGTTAGATACTCACTTTGGGCAAGTTCGTCTTCCCATCATATCCCTCGCAACCGCTGGCCTGCATCAGGCCGCCTGTGGGCACACCGTCCGCATCGTAGGTCGTCTTGACGCCTACGTAGCCACTGCTCTCCTGGATGACGATGCCGAGGATCACCTGCTTGTCTACGCCCAGAGCCGCGGAAACACTGCTGATGGCGGTGTAGATGTTTCCGACATCATCTGTGGTGGATCCAGCTTCGACCATATACGAAGCGTAGTCGTTGAACTTTTGGACACAAAGTTGTCAGTATATCTCAAATTTTTGGTTTATGAAATTCCCCCCTTCTCTCTCGGTCACTGTGACCTTGCTCACCATCGTGCTGTAGTCGACCCAGGTGTTCTGTGCCGGGAAGTCTATATATGGCCCGCTGTAGTATCCGGGCGCGTTGCTTGTGAACTGACGGCCTTTGTTCGCCTCTGTGCTGTTGTCGGTGGCCCGCAGCTGCAGAAGCAGATCTGCGTGGGCACGCATCGTCCCCAGCGGAGCGGGGAATCCGGTGGAGAGGCTCAAAGCCGTGAGGATGAGGAGTACGATCTTCAGGAACGCCATATCTGCGCTGGAAAGTGTGAAGACTTCAAAAGGTTGAAGACTTGAAAGAAGGTTGTGTGATTTGTTTGTAATTTGTTTAATGGTAGAGTTTGCAGAGTTGCGTAATGTGTTTGTAGCTTGGTTGATGCTGGAGTTTGCGAAGGAGAATTATGTTGTTGCAGTTATTTGCTGCTGCAATAAATAGTAATTGTGTCTTTGTGAAAGATACGATAGACTATCATTATCAAAGCATCCATCTCTTGTGATATATGAAGTACTGTCTTGATGATGGTTTTGAAAAGTGAATTCATCAAGATCCTGGAGGTGAATTGCCCTCATGGGAGGGATGTTTGAGTAGCTACTTGAGTATGTTTATGATCTCTAATTAGCATAGTGTTCATAAGAATGGTAAAGGTTTCGACTATAATCTACACACTATTTGAATCTATTAGCATGTAGCCAATGAATTGGGTCGTTGCATTCACACGGCACATGGAATGAAATGTCCATCTATCACTTGTTGAGTGACCTCAGGATGGATGCAAACAAGCTTCACAACCACACTTTATCATGTCCTCAGTAAAGCATATAATTTCCCTAAGATTGTGCCTCTGAATCATCTAACTGCCTAAGTAAGTATTTTTGGTATCCTTCTGCTGATAACAGCCTTCTCAGCTGGTCGGCCAGTGCATGTTTGAGCTGGTCCGATTCAGTACGTGCAGCAGATGCTGCTAGATCCTTACACACCTGACTTTCAGGGATACACTTGAGCATGAAAAGGTGATGACGTTGTAGTAGGCTATTATGAATTATCTATTGGATACATGTAAGTATCCTCTTGTTCATTTGATGAGGGCCTGTGGTCAGCCTATGCGCATGGCTGAATGAGGAACGGCCTCAGAGAGTGTGGCTGTCTAATCATCTCGTCAGAAGTTTGCATCAAATGTGCTATGGGCTCATAATGTGCTTGTCCTGTTATCAAACATGCCACTGAATAATGGACTATACCGGTATTCAGGCATTGTCGGTCTACTCACAATAGTCCTCACGCATGCGAACCTGTTGCCAGCTTCAAAAAGGAAAAAGAAATGAGTGCGTCGAAAGTTTCAGGTGCTCACCCACACAATAATACTCATACTACACTGATAATTCTTGAGTCAAGGCAGGCGACCAGTCAATCAAGCCTCGCAGGTAGACGAACGATATTAGCATACATATTATGCAGCAGAAAGAAGGAGAGTGAGTTAAAGATTGTAATGCCATCCCTCAGTCCTTCTCATTTGTCATGATTCCTACGAAATTTTATTCCCTAAACACCTTGAGTATCTATCCGGCCGACCGAGGAAGAATAAAACAACTCCTCGGGTTCCACGTAGTAATGCAGAGAAAAGTATTTCAGTTTGCTGCAGCCCTTTACAGATCGACAGCAATCACCTGGTCAAGAAAGGTCAGGCGATCATCCTCACGGACTGGAAAGGCTGGCTCCCTGTATGAGTCGAGCAGGTCCAGCCCCGTAGTCTTGATAGCCTCAAGGGCCTCAGGGATTGCCTGAGCCAGGGAGCTGGGAAAAAAGGTCAGTCATCCGCTGAAGTCAAATATGGGGCCCCGGAGACCAGGACTTTTGCTACAACAGCTTCGGGCAAAGGCTTACCCAAGGTGTCCCTGGATAATGGTGGCGTGATTCCGGGCCATGGCCTTGGCGAACTCGGCCTGGTGGTTGTCCATGAGATTGGGGTTGGCGACAATGATCTGGGCGACCTGGACCTCCGCGCAATCGGCAATGGTGCCCGTACCTAGTAAGCTACAGTCAGCGACCTCCGGTACCAAAACAAGGTAAAGGTCCAAAATTGGTGACAAGTAGAAGCGCCAGAGTCAGAAGAAACAAGGTCGAATTTACCTGCATGGCTGATGACAATACCAGCAGGCTGAACATTGGCCTCGCCACGGCACTTCTTCATCTGCTCCTTGAGGTTCGAATCGAAGTCAAAAGCGTTAATTGTGAGGTTCTCATGCTTTGTATTGACTAGCTTTTGCAACACTTCACCATGATAGGTGCCACACTGTAGAAGGAGAGTGGAGAAGCCGCTGCGTTGGAGAGCGTTTAAAAAGTCGGCAGCGAGAGTCTCGTCGATGAGCTCCTTGAAGACCACAGTGGCGCCTCCAGTGACTAGGGCCACGCGGCCGTCTTCGACTCGATCCATGATGTGGTTGATAGGGTGGGCTGGTTTGTTGTGGGGGAAATCAACACATCGTCAGGCAGTGGACGGCTGAGGATTTGCTGGACTAGGTCTTGCGAAACTTGGCATTGATCTCGATACCAATGCTGGTAAAGAGCTTCTGTATGAGCTACTGAATAGTTTTGGCGAAAGAGCAGATGAGGAGGAGGATGTAACAGTATTAAACGCTGGTTATCCTCGAGAAAAGACTCATGAAGATGAATCTCAAGATCCTGATGAAAGAGGGTGGAGGGTGGAGAGAGCGAGCTGAAATATGATGGTCTATATCATCAAGCGAAGTCGGACCTAGCAATGTTTGGCTACTCTCGTCTTATTTCGTCAAATAGTCCGGGCGTGAGCTGGCAGGACAGGATAAGAGAATGGCCACCACTTCGGTCAGGTCTTTGGTTGTGGAATTGTAAGGATGAATTTAGAAGTCACGCTAAGGCCGATGTAGAAATTAAGTCTCTGACCAGGGTGTCATTTCGACTCCTCGACTCCAGCACAACGACCGCCAGTGATGGCCTCGTCACCTTGCCCGACCACAATCCTCGTCTAATCTAATTTACAAGATAACTATTCGACCAACTTCAAGGACCTTATCAGCTTTGATGAATGGCAACATTATTTACTTTCACTGATGATCGGTCGCAGGCTATCGTGTAAGTGAGCACGGACCAAACGGTAAGGCTATTGATTAATGCAGACTGATTGGCTCACGCGGATCAAGGAACGGTCCGAGATCCGACGCTGGTTGGCCGCTGATTAGAGAATCTGAGGCAGGGGCTTGGACAAGAACATACTTGTCAGTGGTGGACCCACTTAAAAGAGCTTCGTTCAAAGTTGACTTCTGCGGTTCGGAAAGCAGGCCAATGCCCTCCCATGAATTGATCACCACGCCCTCAATCTTCGAAGATGGCATCAGCCGCCAGATCCCTGCGGCTGGCGTGTCGCAGCTGTAGGAACCAGAGACCTGCCTACAATGTCGGCCCCCGAGTCTTTGTCGCGTGGAAATCGGTGGGGGGTGGCTCCTTCAAAGAGGCGAAGACGTCGGACGATGGCCCGGCAAAGCCCAGCGTGTTCGACCATTGGGAGGAGGAGGATCAGGCCGAGGACCTCAAGTACCGCAACATGCGCCCAAGCCAGATCACAAGGTCTCTGTTGGCCGAAGAGGACGAGTTCGGTGTGCTGGACGCCCTCCAAGCCGACCTTGCTACCATCGATGACGCGGGTCTGGCCAAGGTGACCGATACATATCAGGAAATAACGCGACCTTTAAGGACGATCGTTAAGCCTAATAAGGATGCGTTCTGGGACGAGGACGAACCGGACAACGACCTCATCACCAATGATGACAATGACGAGTTCAGAGAGAACGACATGACCGACATTGCGCATGCCAAGTTGGAGGAGCACCGCGAACAGAGAGCATATGCACGCATAGCCATCTGGGAGATGCCCCTGTTAGCAAGTGAGCATGAACCCGTTGTTTCGTATGGGTAGATTTGTCTATCACGGACGGCTTCGTGGCTAATGTATTGGTTCTCTAGAGTTTGCGAAGCCTTTCGAGCCCCCGACGATGAATGAACCCCTTCGATTCCGGTACACATCCTATATGGGCGAATATCATCCAGCCGAGAAGAAGGTGGTCGTCGAGTTCAGCCCCGCGGATTTCGGTCTCACCGACATCCAGCAAGAAAAGATGAAAAAGCTCGCCGGCCCGCGGTACAATCCAGAGAAGCAGACTATCAAGATGAGCTGCGAGTCGTTTGAGCACCAGGCTCAGAACAAGCGCTATCTGGCTGAGACGGTGGAGAAGCTGGTCGCGGATGCAAAGGTCAGGGATACACATGCCTGAAGCCTCGATGTGGCACCAGAAGGAACCACCCTCACTAACGTGGCTTCTACTTGCAGGACCCCACGGATGATTTCGCAGATGTTCCCTTGGACTTGAGACACCACAAGATCAAGGCCAAGCCCAAGTTTCCCAAGGAGTGGCGCATGTCAGAAGAACGGATGCAGCAGATCGTTGCATACCGCGAGGAGGCGAGGCGGCTGGAGGAGGTAAAGAAGGCTACTGGGATGTTCATTGACGGCGTTCAGATCATCAACAAAGAACTCGCAAGCCGGACGAAAACAAGCCAGGCAGTCCCCGAGTTAATAGCGGTTCGGCCGAAACGCCAGCCTCGGAGCAGGGCTTGAGACCAGGCTCCGTTCGCCTTTAAGACTTCGGCGTGCCTCCTTGGTGTAATTTTAGCTAGGCGAAGGTAAGAGTTGTGATGGACATCTGCTACACTAAACCAGTGTAACCTGGCCAAACTGCGCCCTACAACACTGGCGCTGCGAGGAGTGGCCTCAGTCCAGGGCTAGGATGCGAGCTGTGTGCAGATCTGTACATACAGAACATAGACGCTGACATAAAAGAAGCAATAAAATATTAAATGATACCATTTGTGACGAACACAGGAAGAATTGGTGTGCAGTACATCAAACATTTGTGTGTTACCCAGCGTTGCCTGCAGTGACTCCAGTGCCTTCCAGCCCTGACGTTGCCGAGTCGAGTGAACGCCCACATATTTGTACACCCACGCTAAATCGAAGTCGCCCCTTATCTCTGGAAACGCATTACCCTGGTAACCGGGGATAATAATGAAAATGTCTCTAATGCCGGCCACTCTTGGTTTCCGAAGCTGCTGGTTGACAGCCCTGCGAGTGTGAAGGCTTACGTCGACAGTGTTGCCCAAGTGGCCAAGCGCGAATGGAGGAAATTGTCAATTATAAGTATGGTACTTGGCTAATTATGTCTGTCATTTGGAGCTGACAGTCGGTTGAATGCACCACGCACGTCTTTATCTGACCCATGTTTGTTCATGCTGCAAAAAGTGTGGCGATGCAGTGGAGATCCATACCCGCTGACGAGTACAAACGGGCTTAGGCAGACCACAGTGGAAGAGAGTAAGAGGGGTGGTGAGAGAGATAAGAAGAAAAGAAGTGCTTCCCAGCAGAAAGGCATCACCCGCTAGTAGATTCAACTATGGCTCATAGGTGAAGTTGTTTCACTCCCATGCGCAGAATGCAGCCTTGCGCCAGTTCTCGTCATACTTTGGTACTAGCTTGCTCTCAGAGGGAGCTTCAGAACATGTAGCCCAGCTTGCTGCATAGGCTACAGCAGCGATGGCAAGCCACACAGGCCTCGCCACCATTCTGACGCGGTAGCCGACGATCTTGCTCGACTTGTTCCGCCCAGGCGGCTGGTGAATCGCTATGTCTACCGTACCCCTTTTTGCCACGAACCAGGTTCCCGGGGCTCCTCAAGGACGGGACAACTGAGACGCCTCGAGGACAGAACTGCCCTGGGCGGCAGTCCGCGCTGAATCTTTCCGATTCGTCCGACATGGGGTGGTGGGCGTGGGACGCGGTAAATGGCACAGTAGTAGTAGCCTGCGCAGCAGTGGCGTCCATGTTAAGACGTAGATGTCAGGTACGATCGAAGCTCATGCTTTGTGACCCGCGTCATGTAGTGTGATGTGCATCCTGCACGTAATTCCGATCCTTATTGCCAGCTAATCTCGGGAACAAAACGAGGAACAGAAGGAAGCGAGTCTCGGCCGTAACTACTGATAGAACTTAGTAAGCAGTTCAACGACATCTCCTCAACGTCCAAGAGGATTTCGCGATGCTCTCAGTCAGCCGTTAATAACGTCTGCAGTCTTGGATCCCGTAGGGGTTGTGTGTGCACCGCTGTGTGACATATTTTCGCTTAGAAGGGGCCTACCCGTTCCAGAATTCTGTCCACGCCACCTGGCAACTGGAAACGACGCGATCACGAAGGCTTCGAATCAAGCAGGTAGTCCGTGCTTTCGACAAAGAAGTGTTCACTGGCGCAGCCTTCTCCAGCAACTGATTAAGAGAGGATATAGGGTTGACAAGATGATATGGCAAGATACCTTCCGATTCTCGATTTTCTCTTCTTGGACTATACTTACCGATAGGACGAGGACGCGCCAGCCTCCAAGGACGATACATACAGTGTTTTGTGGGTGGTCTACCCTTTGTTGAGACAGTGATAATGCCATTGTGTGCCAGTAGCCCCCGAAACCATGACCACGAGAATATCCAACGACCAGAATCAAGATTTGACGCTGAGCGCGATGCTGAGCAACAGTCCTGACCTTTTCCACAGATCTCGGGCGAGGAGCATCGGCATTATATCCGCTAGGACCAAGACTGAAGATGCTCGACGTCTGCCCTTTTCTATTTTGGAAAATGCAAAATCTACAGGAGCAAAGCAACGTTACTACCGTGGAAGGCAGTCGCATACTGGCTAGACAGTCTTCGAACAATGTATGGGCCATCTAATCTCTCATATAAGCTGTTTTTCCTTAGGATTCACTACCAGAGGTCATTAGTTTGGTCTTTCACATCGTGGCCAAGAGCCTCGATGGCTCACCTTTTCGTGAAGACAGAAAGCTGTTGTTTTTCGGCCTGGGCTGCTTCTTATGCTCGATATCGTGCTTACTCGTCTGTATTTTGTGGGATCATTTTTTCCATTCAAGGAATTTTACACAGAGACCCTCAGTATCAGAATCTAGAAGACTCTCATCTTAGTCCATCTACTATTCAATCAGTAAACACAAAGCCCCCCGTTCGGGGGGGGGGGGGGTCCCCCGCCCCCGACCCCGACCCCGTTAGCATGTAGTCAACCGGCACGACACTCTGTTCTCAAGTCCTAGAGTATGAGAGTGTCTGGAGATAGACGAGCTTGTGGAAAGTCGAGTTAATCGCAGAAAAGGATATTGACCCTACCCGAGCTTAGCGACGCGTCTCGAGCCCGGTGTTGCAAATGAGCTAGAAACATCCTGCATATTGGACCCTGCCGAGAAATGGTCGCATCCTCTTCAGATCCTGGTTTTGCCTAACTCACTATTGCGTATCTGCTGGGACCCGATGACAACCTGATCACACCCTCTTCATCCGACACGAATGTGCTCGGCCATGCACTGAGTCGCTTTGCATTGGTCAAGGGCTGGTCACAATCTGATATCCAGTCATAGAGTGCACGCTAAAATGCAACACACCGTCTTCGCGACCAGAGTATAGCCTATCTTGGTGCTGATCCCGAGGCGGTGTCCAGCATCTCGAAACCTGCACGCGCTGTCCCCTCGACCAGAAAATTCTGATATATCAAATCAACATGATAGAGTCTATAGAGAGCCGCCGTATCCTTGAACGACTGCACGCTTGGAACCCCAATCGACGAGTCATGGAAGTTTTCTAGAAACTCCAACATAAGGTTCACTGGATACTTGAATGCGGGTTCGCCAGCTTGCTGCATGATCACATGAGCCAAGGTTAAAATACGTCTGGAAGGTGTCATCGAAGCACTAGAAGAAGTCTATTGACAAGCTGCGATCTTCATCCAAGGCGGTAATGGTGTGATTATTCGTATCCTGACACCAGGGCTGCATATGGGATGGTTTCTCCCCCCCCAAGGATCTGATCCGAGCCGGTCATCCGGAGTCTACATAGGACGTACGGAAGTACTATACATGGGGTGCAACGAGGAGCAGCGGCCCTGAGACAGCCATCACATGATTGAGATTGAGAGAAGCATTCGTGAAGACAACCAAAGCCCGTGACACTACGGTGCGAGGACCTGCAACGCGGGCGTTACGTCAAGATCGGTGCGGACAAGGGTAAAGCCAAACCTTATCAGGCGCGGCAGGCACTTTCCTCACGTATTTCACGAGGCCAAAACGAACGGGCAGGCAAATCAGGCCGAACTATGTTACCCAAGGCAGGGAGATGACAACGCATTGCGCATGAACGACAACAAACATACGCCAACACGGAGCGCTGAAGCGTGGAGGAATGCTCAGACCGCACGGATGGGGCAGGCACACTCGCATCTCCAGTCCCCCCAGGCAAACACACAAAGCAGCCCCAAAACTTGACCTCAGGCTCTCATGCGAGCTTCCATCTCAGCCCGGAGCCCACAGGCAGGGGAACCTCCTGACGCTGGGCACAACAGGGGGGTTAACCTGCTCTCAGATCACAGCAGGGAGTAAGGAATCGGGACTACTTACTGCTATGGTATGCATGCTGCGAGGTTAGGCCTGCCCCTTGTTAAACTTCAGGACCCAGCGCGACCCTAACCAGATGGAAAATCTTGGCATCAATCAGGGTCGCAAGCATCAACATCTTCAGCAAATTTTCAGCTTCGATCTAAACTCAAGCCAAGCAGGCGAGCCAGCCAAACCAGCCAGAACAGGAGAGAATCTCGCGGTGTCCGGAGCCTCTCCCAATAGGGATCCAGAGCCTAGGTGAGCCGCAAAAGCTGAAAATTTGCCATTGACAGTGAGTAGTATGTAATATTAGTACTATCGTAGTAATAATCCTGTACTAATATGTACTAAGTATAGACAGGTATACCTAGTGACCAGGGGCCCAGGTGCGGATCCGAAGCTGGAGATGAGCAAAAGATCGGATGGGGCTTGCCACAGCTCCGAATTTGCACCGCCAAAACCCCCGCAAACAGAATAAGGCAAGGCGTTGCGAGAAGGTGGAAAGGGGCGCTGTGGGTCTTACACACACATACAAGTACACACTTCTCGAAATTGGCACGGTTTGACGTTCGGGGTTTGGTTGCTGGGTGGGAACGCCAGTGCTAGACAAGACGGGGGGGAGGGGGGAGCGATTTGGCGGCTGTGGCGGTGGTGAGACCCGCAAATGACAGATACCACGATGATACATAGTATGTACCGCGTACTGTATGCGCAAGTGCGGGACGTACCTGCCCCCCTCCCCCCCAATCCGAGCCAGTCGGCAAGGTTACCCACATCCCGCTGGGCTCGAAATTTTTTCTTTCGTGAGAGACACACACACACACACCAAATAAAAAGATGGTCAGCCTTCCCGAACTTGTCAGCCTTGGTGATTGCGGCGTCGCTACAAGATTATGCAGATGAACGCCCACACCATCCTGTTCGTGAGACCTCCCTCGGTCGGAGACATCGGTCTTTGCGCAAACGACGGAGAGACACCACATCTCGCACTAAATCATCTAGATCCCTTCGGTGCGTTCTTCTAGAAGAATGCTACCATCTGATCGATTGGATCAGGGTCCGTCCTGACCTTAGCTTGATAATTTCACGCCATCTCGAACACCTAAATCTGCAGACTTGCTCCTAGAGGGTGGAAGGGGGCCTGCTCCCAGTCATCGGCCAAATGCCGAGGGGGGAGGAGGAGACGAGCACTAGGGGCGACACACAGTGTACGAAGTTTACCTTGGCCGCCGAAGCCCTGGGCTGCCTGAAGCCCCGTCGTCACTCTGCATCTGCCTGCATGTTTTCGGAAAGATGTGAGAGCCATTCAGAGAGCTCAGAATGCTAGGCCATCTCCCCACCGCATGTTGCAGATCCTCCCAGCCCTGTCTGTCACAGGACCCCCCTTCTGAAGAGAAGAGGGGTCCTTGGTGTCTCTCTCTCTCTCACACACACACAGAGAGAGGTCGAAGCACTTGCCCATGTGTCTACGAAGCTTTTACTTATGTACTATAAGCGGATCCGAGCGCCCGTCTGGGATCACATGCAACGCACGTCCCTAACACACGCTCTAAACGTGGTTTTCGGATGCTGCGATGGCGTGTCTATGCCTTTGTTCTTCTTTCTTCCCTTTGGAGCGCCCGGCGGGGGGAGGTCAGGCAGACCCTGATCTTCGCCATCGCGACCCCTGTGCAGCTGTGCTCGAGACGAGGACAACAACAACTCGTCTCGACCAGATGAAAAGAAAACGAGGCCACCTGTTTCCCCCTCACCCCTCTCCCTTTTCTCTTGGCCGCTCGTGCCATAATACTACTATGATGGCGCTATGACGGATCTTCTACCTGACAGGACAAGTCGCATTCCGGGCTTAGCGGTGTGTTATGTATAATACCTTTATTGCTCTCTGTTTTGGTTTCTCGTGTTTGTATATGGCCCCTAAGCCGGCCACACCGAAGACAGCGATATTCAGAAGACAAAGCCAACCTGCCATACATACCAGCACCACGCACACGTCAGGGTCTAACGTTTGCAATGACGCAAAGTTAGAGTTTAACATATTTACGGAGGCAGACCCGAGCGGCTCGGGAGTCGCACTCGCCCAAAAAAAAAGCTGACAGAAGCTTTCATCCTGTCCGTACGTATATGCCACGGCGGCCCCCCCCCCCGGCCGCACTGCCGAGACACTTGCGGGAATGATCATCGTGAGGAGACAACATCCGCACATGGCTCGGTCGAATTTGCCACTTCGGAGAGGAATTCCGAAGCCTTTTGTACCATGTGTCGGAAAAGGGACAACCAATAGAGAGAGACAACATTCTGTTAGGCCTCCTCTAGCAATTTGGGATATCAGTTTCGGTCCTCTTTGATCTCCCCTTCCTCAACGACAACAACAACAACAACTGCTGTTTTGACCCAAGGACCCCTTGTGGGGTCTCGGTGGCCCAAGCCCAACCAACCCCTGTTCAATTGTTTCCCTCTCTTTTTTGGGCTCCAGCAGAGAAGAAGGGTGGGTGGGTGGGGGAAAAGGGCCCAATTGAAAAGGATTTAACCATCTTCCCACCGCCTGTTCGGGGTCTATGTTGCGCGCCACTGCCTTGGGACGACGCCGGGCCCAAACTACTGCATCCTTCCCGCAGGGCCCCTTCTTCTTGCCCTTTATTTTCTTATCCCTCCGATGGCGCTAAGAGGGACAGGCTAGATCTTAGGCCCAGCTCACTACCAATGCAAGGTATCGATACCCGACGCGCGAAAATGGAAGGGAAAGAGGTTCAAGAAAAATGAAAAATCATAATGATGCCTAAATGACGATGCCCTATTTCTCTTTTGGCTCCTTCCGGGTTCCTCTCCTCCCCCACCCCAAATTTCCTCGCCGTACCGGGGCGGCCGGGCAGGCAGGCTGGTGGGCACTGGCACGAAATGGAAATGGACCTAGACTGGCAGGCAACATCCGCCCCTCCCACCCCACCTGCTGGATGTATATTTTTCCCCTTCTCTTCTTTTTTTTTCCTTTTTTTTTTTTTTTTTTTTTCCCCCCTTCCTTCAATACTGCGGCTGCCACGGCAATAATATGGCATTGATCGCGATCGTCGTATACTATGGTGTATCTTTCTTTTTTTAGTGTGAAGCGCCAACGTTGCAAGAGCGTGATGCGGTGATCATGTCTCATTCCTTTGATATGATCTGTCATCCCGGATCCGGACACGCGTGGCGTAGCGCTCCCTCCTCACCTGCTCTCCTCAGGCCTCTCTCTCTATATCTCTCCGCCAAGGTGAAGAGGCTGAAGTGAACGAAGACCGAACCCTCACCGGTCCACCCCCATCATTTTGTTCCTGTTTCCTTTTACTCCCCCGCCTGGGGATGGGCTGGTTTGGTGATTCAGAAGAGCCGTGTGTGTGTGTGTGTGTGTGTGTGCGCCCTCATATGTGTTTGGAAGAATTTGTGTAAGCTGGTGGGTGTGGGTGGCTACTGTGTGTCATGGGCTCTTAGTTCGACGTGCCAAGACTTGTCGGTCAGCATCTTGGATCTTGGGCGTTTCTGGACGCAAGGGGAGCGAAAGGAGACACGCAGAGAGAGAATTTGTGTGGGTGAGTTGCGACAGAGAGTAGAAGCCACAAAGAGACACACACAGAGAGAGGGCGCAGCAGGTTCGTTTGAGCCGACGGAGTTACGCGTGGTGTGGCAGCTGTGGTATGGCAAGCCCATTCTGCATCCGTCTTCGTTGCACCGCCACCATCGGTGAGACAGCAGCTTCTACATAGTACATGTCACCATAGGGGTTTTTTTTGATGGAGGTGTGGAACAGACCGAGTGATGTGTACGTGTTCAGTGAGAATTTTTTGGATCAATTTTTCACATAGCCAGTCTATAACGTACCGCACCAGAGAAAGGAAGGGAAAGAAGAAAGAAACGCCATTCGTCCATGGTCCCTGGAAATGTATCCATCCAATCCATCCCACCTCCATACTCCCTTCTCCAGAGAATGATAGAATATATAAAAATTCAAAAAAAAAAAAAAACAAAAAAAAAACTTCACCTCATCCTTGAGGTATGATGCATGGGTATCTATCTCCCCTTTCCGTCCAAGTGTACCTACCAATTTTCCTACTACGCCTTCCATTCATGTTCAAAAGGGGGTGGTGGTCAAGTACCTCATGCTTTCCTATCCTCATAGTCGTATACTCCTTTGCGTGTGTGGGAGAGGTGTGTGTGTGTGCCTGTGTGTGTGTATGGGTTTGCTTGTCCATTCATGATCTATACATGTACGTGTTTGTTATGGGTGATGAGATGTGAAGAGAATAAGATCGCGTGGCTAGAGGAAGAGAGAAGACCGTGTCGACAGTAAGAGAGGCCACACCTTGTCAACAACACAAGCTACCCGGCGTGAGGGTATGCTGCTGGGACATCTCCCCTTGAACTGGACCCGGGCCGCGCATCTGTCGTCTTTGGCTGTTGTCGAAGACCATGAAGGGCGACTCAGGACTCTACATGGTGTGGCGGCCTATGGTAGAGATCATCTTCGAATGTGCTTCCATGCAGGCTTCCATGCAGGCCCCCGGGGGGAGGGGGGTGACATGACAGTTGCCAACACGACGCTTCTGACTCGACAAGACTTGTCGGGGATGAAACCCGGTCAGAGTAGGAGGTGCTGCCGTGGCGCGAGAGCTTGCCGGTCACGAGGGGTAGCTTGCCAGCCGCAAGACGAGGAGGGGAGTGTGGGGGAGGGAAGCTTGCCCGCGCGGTGCGTTTGAGACAGGGCTGGGGGTTTTTTTCTTTTCTTTTCTTCTTAAGCTGTCGAGTCGGTCGGATCCTGGGGTTCGGGCGCGTGAAAGATGACGTCGTAATCCCAATGAAATAAACTCTGCTTGTTATCTCGTAGTCAAGCTTGGAAGTAAAGGCAGGCCGGACAGGGTGTTTCCAGTGGCTGGAGACCAGATAAGGTTCGCCAAGCCTGACATCGCCGGCTGAATCGCTCACCCCTGATACCGACAAGGGGGGGGAGCAGCATGTATCATCACCCCGCAGGTGCTGCAGACACGGATAGTATGTGCCGCGGTAGCATTTCTCAGTATCTGCTGCGGCGCATCGCACGAGACTCTGTATAGCAAGCTTCCCAGATGCATCTCTCCCCGAATCGTTCGGTCTTTTTTTTCTTTTTTTTCTTTTTTCTTTCGTGTTTTCTGGTTTGTTGCCGAGATTCATCCAGGGATTGATAGAGTTGTCTTGCGCAGATCACGGCAGGTTGGGATACGGTGCTTGCGAAACCCCATACATTGTCGAGTATGCTGCTTGGTTCCATGGTTGCTGCGCGCTTTGATGCATCGAGTACTGCTGGGACCCTGGACCGTGCTGGTGGCCTGATGTTGGTCGAGACTGGAAGCTATGCTCTGTTGCTGTTGTTCACGACTCATGTTAATTTAAGACATCGAAGACTCGTGTGAAAAGAGGAGGGTGGTGGCGCAGTATAGGGCTGCTGCTGCTGAGAGTCTGTGCTTACCTGAGTCGACACCCGCCTCAAACTCCACCTGGCTGCCGCTATGATATGGGACGCTGGTTGGCGCGGCGATAGAGTCGATTAGAGGAGCTGAGACAGCCGCCGTAGTCATGAACCTGCCGTACTCCTCAGGGGCGCACGACGCAGGGCTCGACACAGAAGTAGGCACGGTGACAGGAATCGTGCTGTCCCAGGCCTCTGGCGCAGGCGTTGGCATATGAGGGTAGCTGCTGTATGGGTCCGAGGTGGCACGGATGCCATGTCCATAGGCGCTGGAGCGGCCAACGACCGGGCTGCTGTGCAGTGAGGAGTGCGCATCATCGTAAACTGTATTCCCAGTTAGTGGTCTGATGGTCTGATCCTGTCGGCGCTAGAAGGGGGGCTCGAGAGGAGAAAGAAGGTTGGAGAAGGCGTGTAGGGGTGGTGGGATCGACACTTCGAGTGAATGTGACTGTGATAGTGGTGCGCAACGGGGCGGGAAGGCTGGTATCTCTCTTGGGACTCATTGCTTACCACCGTAGGGCTCAGAAGGCGCGACAGGCACGCCCGATCTCAACGCCTTGTTCTCATCCTCAAGAGCTTGGATCCTGCGGATGAGGCGCTGGTACTCCTGGTCGCGGTCCGCAATACTCCTCAGGCGGGCCACCTCGGTCTCAAGTTTCTCGATGTGCTCCTTGGTCCTGGCCCTGATGGCGCGCTGGGCCTCACGGTCGTTGGCCCTCTTTCGTGCGAGCTGAGAAGGCGTGAGAGTAGAGACACTTCGTGTTCCTGTGTCATGTGGAAGAAAAAAAGGAAGGTCGAGTCAGTCACAATATTCAGCCGTTCCGCATTGCTTGTCTTTCCTCTCGGGGGGGTTTTTTTTTTCAGGAGGAGGGGGGGGGGGGAAGGAGAACAAGAAAAATGGATCCTTACCCTTCCTCTTGGTGGACTTGTGCTCACCCGAGGACGTGGACGAGGTTCGCGGCGAGTCTCTGTCCATATCGATGTTGGTATCAATAGGCGCGGGAATTGGTGCTGTTGTCCGAACGTGAGAAGTTGTCGCGTAAGTCATGGTGGTTGACGATGAATGTACTGGTGGCTGTCTTGTACCTTGAGGCTTGAGGAGAGGGTTTATGGTAACGATGAAGGTGTAGGAGGGAATTGTCGCGCAACCAAAAGAGAAGAACGTTGCTGGATACACTTGATATCAGCTGAGTGTGTACTGTGAGAGTATCCTCCCAAAGATCCACACTGTCTCCATTTCTGGGGTGGCTAGTCTTATTTATACAGGCTGGGTGAGGTATTGAGGGAGAGGGAGTGTGTTCGCAGCGGCAGGCACGAGCAACCAAGATCCCAGCGGCCCAAATGATCCCTGTGCTTGAGACTACTATAGTATCCGGCAAAGGGCCACTGAGGGCCCAGACTTTCAGAAGCCCGCATGCACGGGAAGGTGGGCGGATGACTTTTGACTTACATAGTAGTGGTACTGTGGGCGATTGATTTCTCTCGATCTTTCTCACACACTACTTCGTACTGGGGTCGCCGAGACACCTAGGCTCTGTGTGGTTTTTCCTTTTTCCCCTTCCCTTTGCTCCCCTCTTCCTTCTCTACTCCACGATAGGGCGGATTTGCTCGCGAGAGGTGGGACGTGTTGGCAGGACCCTCTTGTTGCTGGGGCTGAATCTGGCCACAGATGAAGGGAGGGAGGAAGAAAAAAAAGATGTCCTTAGGGGGGGGGGGGCGCGCGCGGAACAGCGGTGCACTCGATGGTGGAGAGTATATTATGTATTTTCTACCCCGACAGCGGGCATGGTTGTAGGTGTGTCTGCCTCTCCCTCTCTTTTCATTCCCCTCTCGCCCTCTTTCTCTCCCTCTTTTGGCCCTGCAAGAAGCGACGAATCCCAGACGACAGCAGGAGGGTAGCGAGAGCCAAGGCCCACCAGAGGGCGCTGGGATACCCAGTGCGGCTGCGACAGGACCTACTTGTAAATTGCGAAGTTTGTGGTATCATCAGCAAGGCAAAAAAGCCCCAAATTTTAAGGTTCAGACCAGCAAGACGAGCCTGGGGTCTACCTTGCCGTCTTCGACATGTACCTGCGGATCCTCTCTCCAGGGACGGATAGGGTAAGTCCCGTTGAAAGCACACCCTGGTCAAGAGAAACCTTTTTTCGCTTCCCTCGGAACGGGGGGGGGGGGTTATTGAAGACGTCAGAGCAGGACGCAGACTCTTTCTCTTTTCTCTTGGGGTCTGGTGTGTATGTGTTTTGGCGTGGCGTGTGTGCCACACACGCATCGCGGATCCGCGATATCAGAGTATGAAGCGGGGGAAAAAAGGGAAAAAAAAAAAAAAAGGAAAAATAAGAGAGCCATCGACAAGCCTTACTTTGTACTTTGATCAACCTTTGATCAGCCAACGTATCCGTATCCCCGTTCTCGTCGCAACGGCATATGCAGCCCCTGCAGCGTTTTCTGCGATCCTGCCAGCTTTTCATGTGTCTCGGATGTATGAGTTACCCACATTGACGTGCGACTGCAGGACACTGCCTTGATTTCGACTTGGTATTGACCCGGTCATTTGACCCTCTCTAAAAGATAAAATTCGTCTCGAAAGCCAAAAGAGAGAGGAAGGGAAGAAGAGAAGACGCGCAAGTGTACGCCAGAACGGGTACGAGCTGTCTCTCTGGTCGGGAATAATTGGGCCTGCGGGTATGCTGTACATACCATGCTGTACATAGCAGTCAGTAGAACAGCAAACCATGGACAAAACAGGGCAATCGGTCCCAGTTGTTGCCTTGTCTTGTCCAAGTCTCCAATCCAAAATTGCCTATTGAAGTGGGTTTTGACCTGGCACAAAGCGCTAAGTGTATCTAGGACCATCGCATTGAGCCAGGACACATCGATTCTGGAAAGGCTTACCCCATATACACCTGAAGCTTGGCGGATGTACCTCGTGGCGCGGCGACGTGGTAACCGGTAATATCAGCAATAGACGAGAGGGGAGAGGCTTGTTAGACGCAGGCCACATGACCGAAGCCGCGCGCAACAGCATGATGGTTGCGTTATTTGATCGTCAGATATTCCACCGCCCCTCCATGCGCCCCAAAAAAGATGCAACGCCTGTTTTTACCTTCTCACCTCCTTCTTTCCCCTCCCCTCCCTTTTGTCTCGTTCTGTAGGCAAATGACTGACTATCAGCCGACGAAATCCATCTCGGACAATCTTGCGATACTCGTCTTCTTGCCACCCTGCTTTGGCTTGGTGTCGCCCTCCTGAGGCGGCTAGCCCAAAAAACAAAAAAACAAAAAAAGGTTTCTTTTTAGAGACGCCAAGGTAGTGCATCCGATGGCGGTGACGAAGGCATGAAATAAAATCTTACAGCGGCACTCCGCCACGAATTTCAACCCAGGGTCATTGCTCAACCATCCGTCCAGCACGCTAGATTAGTGGCATGAAAGACCTGTTGGAACAGAACCTCGAGATCCTTTTCTCTTTCCTCTTTGCTGACCCCGTGACGGATGGATCGTTTCTTTAGTCCTCGAGCGCGGGAAAAATAAAGCAACCAAGAGGTAACGAAATCATCTCGCTCGATCATGGTCGTCGACTGAAATACAACGCCCGTTTGATTTTATCTTCTCCCCCCCCCTTTTCTCCCTCTACAAAAACAATTGCTAAGCCCCTCCTGTCGCTTGGCGACCACACCAAACCGGGCCGGGACAACACGGTGGTGGGGCTGCATTGTGATTAGCCGGCAGGTTTGATTGGTGAGATGGCCTAGTCGGGTCGTCAAAACAAGCTGTTTTTTCCTAGGACCGTCAATTTTGCAAGCTATATCGAGCCGATCGGCTCTCTCTGCACCAGCCCCTGCCCAGCGAACTGGTGCACGGGATCCGAGGGGTTGGATTTCGCTCGGATAGTGAAACATGACATTTGCAAGCGATGTGTCAAGGTCACGTAAGGCTTAACCTTGTGACTATTAGGCCTGCGTAAGCAGCTGGTCAGGGTTAGAAAGCCTGCCTCGTGGTTGCGCCAGGTCGTACTGTGCACACAAAGGGGCTGAAGCAATCCATGGAGCAAATGAGGTTTTTTTCTTAAGGTAAAAAAAAAAAAAAGAGCCAAAGGACGAGAGGATTGAGTTATATTCAGGAGCCTTGGCCTTTGTTGGTCTCAGATGCTCCGCAGTGGCTGCTGACGAACGGCGATCTCGAGTTGGTCATTTCGATATTGGCCCAGTGATCGCCACAGCAATTGTGAGCAAGGTACCGTGATGAAATGAGTCTGTGGAGGCGGGCGACCCTTAGCTTTGCTAAATGACAAGATTCTGTTTTGAAGATGGGTCTGTATCGAAGCTCCGGCCACCCTCTTCCCGTACTAGAATAGCCCGTCATAGGCTAGGGTTGCAGACCCGGTTTCTAGCATTGCCAAGGATGAATGCACGAGGGGATCGTCTGTTTCTTGGTCGATTGTGACGGGCGCTGTGGGCATCAGAACGCAAACAGCGTTAGATCGACGATCGGTTCAACAAACCTTCTTCCTTCCCTCTTTTGTGATATCTCTGTCTAGCTCAACGCAAGCGAGCTTAGTATATGCGCCGACGAAGCGCTGCCTGCCGCCTGCGCGCTGGATGCGTGCGAATACGCTGCTGCGAATACGGCTCGGTTCCCACGCAGTCGATCCTATGTAGCATCACGAATGTCTGATCGGTGGATGGAGATGTCGCAACACCCCACGTCGATCACTGCTCTGCCTCCTCGTCCTCGGGACTGACGTCCTTGACAGCTGCTTCCACCAGGGCCCCCATATCCCCAACCTCTGTCGGTCCGCTGAAACCTTCGGGAGGAAGAGCCCACGTGGGCAGGGGGCTCACATACCTCCAGGCGCCATCCTTATCTTCGTATCTCAGACTGTGCAGCCACAGCGACAGTTCATGAGTGCCCGGATCGGTGTACAGTGGAGTCTGACATATGTCACAAATCTGCCCAGACATCTTCTCGGCCCGACGCTTCTCGTAATCATTCACCATCTCGTCATAATATGCAACGGCTGAGGCCACATCCTCCTTTCCCATTCGAGAAAGCCGGCTGATGATATCCTCGTCGCTGTTGAGGCTGGCGTCGGCGTCGTTACAGCCGAGATCAAATCCCCAAACCTTCTGGTTGGCGTAAATTGGGTCGTTCTGGATAGGGTGGCCCAGGAATTGGAGGTGGACACGCAATTGATGCGTGCGCCCCGTAACCGGCATGCACCGGACGATGGAGTACCCCTCCTTTTGCTGCCACGCGCGCCCGTCCCCACTTGGGGTCCCTGCAGACAAGTCTGCCTCGCCCTTGGCGGTGGGCTCGTCTTCCTTCTCGCGGGGCGGGTAATATGCTAAGCGTTGGAAGACAGTGCGGGCGTGTTTTCCGTTGGCCCTGACGCGATTCAGGCCAAGTTTAGGCGAGATTGCCAGAATTGGCTGGTTGCACACCACCTCTCCGTCTGGAAACCTGCCCTTCACACGGGCAATGTACTCCTTCCGCACAGTCCGGTCAGCGATCTGGCTGCCCAGCTTTACAGCCGCCTTGGGGTTCTTGGCGATGAACATGATGCCGCTGGTGAGCCTGTCGAGACGGTTGCACGGGTAGGCGAGCCAGGAGGGGCCCCGCTCCGATTTCATGATCTCCGTCACTGAGTTGTAGTTGTAGCGGCCTGAGGGGTGGACGGGTACGCCCGAGGGTTTATTGAGGACAATCATGTCGTTGTCTTCATGCAGGATGCCAATGGGGTCAGCCGTGACCGGAGGTTCGTGTCGGTGAAGTGTATGAGTGATGCAGTCTCCATTCTTCAGCACGTAGTGGGGGCCCACGGTCTTGCCGTTCACTGCCACTTCCCCACCTTCCATGGCACGCCGGTAGTACTCGAGTGGGCGGTCCCGGAACTCGGAGTCGAAAATATCGATAAGCTGCCTCCCTCGCCAGCGTTCTTTGCACCAGGTGGTGTAGGTAAAATGGTACGGAGCCACCCTCCGAAGGCCGTCCTCCAAGTAGTATGGCCTGGGCCACGGGTCGGCAGGCGTTGTCATAACTTTGGGCAGAGAAGGCTCTTCCTTCTTGGGTCGTTTGTTTGCTTGCTCTGGTGCTTGTTGATCAGGGAGCTTGCTGTCGAGCACGCACCCCTGGGTTCTCTCAAACGCCACTTTCTCGTCGGCCGTCTTCCCAGAAGGATGAACGGAAAGTGAGGGAGAAGAAGGAATCGCAACGAGGCTCATTCGTCTGCTGCTGGTGGTGGTGGTCATGGCGCGGCTCACACGCCGGGTGAACAGCGCAGAAATGTGAATCCGCGCCAGCGTCGATAGAAGAGCGCCCGAGAGCACCTGGTGAGGGATTCCCGAAATTGCTCCTTGCGATTTCAAGAGAGGCGACTCCTCAGGTCTCTGAAAAGGCGAGGAAGAGAGGCAAGGTTGGAATTATTCAAGTCACTGAAGAAAGTCGTTGAATTTTGACCTGGGTGATTACCTAAGGCGCTGCAGGTTTGTGCGGGCAGAACGTGAGTGGACAGTCCAGAGAGTGAGCTCCAGGCGGTTGTAATGCTGGTTAGGCCCAGCTGTCGGGGTGGTAACAGCGGTACTGATTGGCTTACAGGGTATTACTCGACTGCTGCTGTAGTGGGGCGGCGGCACTAGGCTAGGCCAGGCTCTGGGGGAACATCACCAATTGCCAAGGAGCATATCGCCTCGGCACGGAATTGGCCTCGGGAACATCTGGCATCTATCTGCCTGAGAGAACCGCTCCCCCAGGTACAACCGTCTCGGGCAGATTTGGTGCCACAGAGATCTGGATCTAGAATCCGGGGAAAGCTCATTCATCATCTGGATAGGAAGCGGGAAGCTGAGTCAAGTTCCCAGTCCCCCCTACCCACGACGAACAAGACCCACGAGACGTCCTCAGCCCTGCCAGGCCCCTCTTGACACGAGTCGCATCCATCATCGCGAGCCGCCCAAACACAATCCCCGGCCTATTCCCAGTGTATCCCGTGAGGGCTCGTTAGGAGAAACACACAGTGACACACAGAACGAACGCCCGGCCTGCCCTGGCGAAGGACCCGACTGTCTGGACCAGGATCCACGGGGGCAAAAAGAAAAAGAACCTCTTCGCCGGCACTTGATCTTCGACGCGGATCTTGCCGAAATTCCCCATCACAGGCGACACGGATATAGGCCCCTTTTCTATCTCGTTTTCTCTTGGACCCATCCAAAAATAGATCACTCTTTTTCACAGATGGCCAAGTACGAACAGCTCAAGACCCGCCAGCGGAAGGACTATCCCTTCATCCTAGACTACCGGACAAGGTGGTCAGACAATGACCAGTAAGTGCCGCTCTCCGGGAGGCATCAAGTGCCGCGTCTAACGTGCAGGTGCTGCAGGTATGCGCATATGAACAACACGATTTATATACAGCTGTTCGATGCCGTTGTCAACACATATCTAATCCAGCACTGCGGGCTGCGCCCCACAGATGGAGAGCAGTTTGGCATGGTCGGTGAGTGAGACCACAATACTCCGGCGTCTGACCCGCGTTTGTATCAATCAGCCTTGTTATTGAGACAGATGCACGCCCTCCCTAGTACATTCTCACACCGACTACTTCGAGTCCCTCTCTTTTCCGGCTGTGGCTGAGCTTGCCATGAGGGTAAACAAGCTGGGCAAATCGTCCGTCACGTACGAGATTGCCGTGTTCGAGAAGGGGTTCGACAAGGTTCGGGCCGTGGGAGAATTTGTACAGGTCCTCGTCGATCGCTCGACCAGCAGGCCCAATGTCAACGGGATGAACGAGACAATGAGGAAGGGTCTGGAGCGCATTTCTACAGAGGCGGGTCCGAGCAAGCTATAGACTTTCCCTTCAGGTTTCGAATTTAAAAGCTCAAGACATCGAGTCGCTCGGAAAGTACTGGGCACTTCACGATATGGAGTCCACATATCGACGGAATGTAGCTCATGAGGCGGGCTTACTGAAGCTGCAACGTCTTCGCCGCGCCGTCCTCGTCGGCGCTCTTCAACATCTGCTCCAGCAACTCTAAGTCGCCTAGGGTGACCTCTGGCGTGAGCAGCGGGTCCTCCTTGCCTCCGGCCATAGCAAGCCCCCAGGCATGCACCTCCTCCCTGACGCCAGCCCCAACCGTGAACGGAAAGTCCTTCTCCTCCTTCCGTCCATCCTTGTATACTACCCAGCCCTTGTCGCCGTCGATTGTTACGCTGCCATTCTCACAGGCCACCTGGTACTCGGCTTGCCGGGGTATCGTCGTTCCCCAGCTGCAGCTGAAGGAGCCAACAGCGCCTGATTTGGTCTTGATGATTGCTCCCAACGTATCGACCGGTGCAAGGTGTTTCTGCGCAAGAAAACTGTAGCCAACCACGCTCGCAGGCTTTTCGTCACCCAAGAACATGCGAATGGCGGCAGTGCTGTGCACGCCACCGTCAAGCAGGAAGCCGTAGCTATGTGTGGGGTTCTTCCTCCAAGCGGTCTGGAAGTACTTGTTATCTTGTCACCACGTCTCACGTTAGCAAGCCCTCGCCCCCTGGCCGGAGACTTAGTTATCTACACTTACCCTCTTTACAGAGCTGAAACACCTTAAAGTGGAAGCCGATCACTTTGCCCAGCCCTCTTGCCTGCTCCGCTGCCCACACGAATTTGGGCAGGAACCTAAACTGCTCTGCGATACTCCACATCGGCGCCGAGACGCCCTGCTCCTTTACGACGGCCCGGTACGCCTGCACAAGCTTCTTTGCGCCTTCGACATCGGGCCCCACCGGCTTCTCGGACAGAACATGCTTGCCGGCCTTTAACGCCGCCTCCACATATGAAGGCTGGCTTGCGATAGGGAGTGCGATAATTACGCCAAGTATGTCTTTCCGCGCCAGAACATCTGCGAAGGTCCTGCCGGGCTCAGAGTCCTCTGAGTACACCTCAACCGGACTGTGGCCGAGGGGCAGGAGCTTGTGCGTCTCTTTGGCTGAGGCGAGGCTTCGGGAGTAGATGATCTTGAGGTGGAGGAGGGAGGTGGCGAGGACGGCGGGCTAAGGGCGACGTCAGTGAATATCAACTACGCAAACGAATGGGACACAGCCATGAGTGACGAACCAAGTGTTGCTCCTTCACGAAGATGCCGCCTCCTATGATCGCAATAGGCACAGGTTGGGACGACATTGTTGCCTCGGGGTGCATGTACTTGTTTGGATGACAGTCTTTATTTGGACAGCCAAAGTCCTGGACAGATCACGCTCTTGGAGAACACATCGAGCGGGTAAGTGCGTTAAGCTCCTTGACTTTATGATACCCCTATACCCCTCCTTTGCTCCTCCTCTCCCTTGCTACGGGAATATGTGGGGTCTCAACGCCAAACCCCGGCCGATTTCGCCGCCGACGCAAGGCGCCGGTCACAACGCCGTTTCCCGTTCCACAAGGATGTTGTCACCCTGAGTCACTCCGTGCCTGCGACGTCACCTATCAGCGCTAGAACAAACAACAACTCTAGCTGGCCTCTCCCATCTTTTAACCTCGTCTTTATCGCAGATATCACGCACAGTATTGTATATGCCATTCCACAATCTCCACACCCCCAAGGTAGCAAAGCCCTCAACAAACAAACATGGGATCCTTTTACGAAACAATGCCCCGATCCCTTTTCCAGTGGATCCTGGCCCAGAAAATTTTCTGGGTCGCCACGGCGCCACTATCCGGATCCGGGCATGTCAACATCTCGCCAAAGGGCGGTTCGTACTTTGGCCTGATTGACGACAAGACGTTCTGGTATATGGACCTGACGGGCTCGGGCTCGGAAACCATCGCACATTTGTACGAGAAGGGCAACGGTCGGATTACGGTGCTATTCAATGCCTTTGAGGGCCCGCCGAGGATCCTGCGGCTGTTCGGCCACGGCGAGGTATTCGAAAACGGCACGGGCCCCTTTGAGGAATTTGTAAAGAAGCACGATGTTACGATCCTCCCCGGCACGAGGGCTATTGTGCTTGCCCATATCCACCAGGTTGGCACGAGTTGTGGGTTCTCAGTTCCATTCTACGAATACAAGGAGCATCGGAATACTCTGAATCAGTATTTCGAGAAAAAGGATGCCAAGTTCAGGGCGGGAAACGAGAAAGAGAGCATGCCAAGGTGAGCTGCCGCCCTCCTTTTTGCTAAACAGTCGATACATGGTGGCGGACACTGAAAGCTGACGCCGAACAGGTACTGGGCCCAGAAGAACTCATGGTCCATGGACGGGCTCCCGGCGCTTCACGTGGCCCAGAAGACCATGGTCCAAGAGAAGATCCAGCCTTCAAAGAAGATGGTTGGACCCCGTGCGCCTTCACAATACCAAAACGCCAATCGTTTCGGTCTCGAACATCTGATCCTCGTGGCACTCGCGACGGCCATCCTCACTACCTTCGTGATGAGTTTTGGTGCAGAGACAGCCCGTACTGTGGCGGTCAAATTACACGCAAGCACGAGTCCGTGGGTGGGAACACCATTGAGAACGGCCTCATGACCTCAAGGTGGTCGGACAATTTATGCTTTTGCTGTGTTTCAGAACTAGCCTATAAGAGGCGCCGTGGCCTGCAATTTTTCCCTCTTTAGTCTTGTGTTTGTGTCCTGAAGTGTGGACCATTAGGGTGGTGCAGAAAACCCGTGGTCACAGCCTTGCACGTGTCTGCCGTTGTTATTAAGGCTATTACGTAGGCGCTCCCCAGAAACCCTACGAAACTTCATTAACAGCAAGCGGCGAGGCTTGTTGACTTGGGCAAGGAAGATATCTGACGGATCCCCGAGTTTGCGGTCTGTCTGTAGAGTTGAATAACCAAATGGAACATCAACACATGTGTCCTACATCAATGTCAAGGGCTTCTCCTCAAACCGGTCCCCAACAAGTGATATTGCAGACGCCTTTTCCAAACCTCTCATCATCGCTCCCTAGCGCAGCGATCAAGACTTTCAAGATTGTGTCTTGGCTTTGTATGTTGAGGTCACTGGTGTTACTTCTCACTCCTTGGCACTTTCACGGGGACAGATACCAAATAGATACTCGATTTGCGTTTAGCCGATGTATCTGGCAAATCCCATGTTATTATTCTGCAGCTATGTTGAGTGGGTCACAGATTAGGACTGAGTTCGTTTGAGCCATACCAGTGTCACAACACAATGTACGTTCACACACCATTTTGTCTAGCACCCCTGTAGCACCCTATAACTTTTCCTGTACAATTTTTTTTCCAAGTAGTTTATCTAACCCATCCATGGCCCTCTTCCACAGTCTTCAGCAGGTATGAGTGCCAGGACCATTGATCCCACACTGCTCGGGCCGACTATCGCGAGACCATTCGAGCTGAAGAGTACGGAGGAGGCGGCTCCGTCGAGGAGTGTGTGAGGTGTACCGCAGTAGGAATAGTCGGCCCATTGGTATGGGATTGGTTGATGACGACTGATGTTTGGAAGGTCCGAGGAGGACGTGGACATCTCCAGCTTCCCTGTCTCTCAAGATCTGCCATGACGGTTTCCTGTGCCGCGATGCTTCGCGATGTGGCGACGCATAGGAGGATGATCATGACCCAAACACACAAACCAACTGCAACGCCAATGTATAACCCGGAGGGTGGAGATTGTGATGACATGTCGGAAGCGGGGAAAAGGTTGGCTTTGCTCGTTCAACCGTCGAAAGATGTGAGTTGACAAAGAAGACGAAGTGGAAGTCTCGATTCTGTGTTGCAATGGCTTTTGGACTCAGTCTCGAAACAGAGAGAGAGGCATTCCGGACTCAAATACTGGCAAACACAGAAAGCATAACCTAACCCCAAGTGGCACTGCCTCCTTCCTGGAACCAAAATTTTGATCATGATCTATCGAGAGAAGGGGGAAAACTACTCGTCTCTGACCAGTGCACTGCGCCTTCCATTCAGCCTAACCAGGCTTCCAAGGGCATCGCTGACAGTCACCAAAATAGGGTTTCGAGAAGACCTAATTACTAGGAAACCAAGGTCCAATCAATGATTGCACTTCCAAAAATTCGAATGTAGAAAAAGAAAAGAGATATCGTGTCTGACTGTTGTCCCCCACCCCCCTCCCTTCCTTTTTTTCTTTTTTGATTTTCTTTCTTGTTATTTTCCTTTGATAACTAACGGAAACAAGGCGCCAAGTAGAAGAAGACAGTGCTTGGGGTGATGGCTTGCGATGGCAACTGCTAGTCAGGGGCCGATTCCCATTAGTATGTTCTACCGAAGAACAAGCGTCCTCTTAACAAGTGCTATCAACCCTCCCCCTCCCCCCCCAAAAAAAGCCCTGAGCATTCCACGCCTCAGACTCTAAGTCAGATTTCCACCAATTTCGTCCTGGCGCCAGACTTGATTACACCACAGAAAGCCTACCCAGACCTTGCGCCACATCAAATCCAGCATGGCTCCAGTACACCTCTCCCTTCACGGACTAGAAATCACAGCCACAGCTGATCCTTTGACGCGAGAAGCCTTTTCACCTTTTGGCGAGGTTGTGCAGAATCCACGACGCGATGTGCACCCTTCCAGGTTCGCCGATGCCGGGCCCCTACCGCACGAGGCTATCTCAGCGAACCAGGGTACAGCCATTAAATATCAGCATGTGACGCGCATGGCCAACAGCTACGACCACGCGCCTAGCGGTGTCCCCGGCGTCGCCGTCATGAACATGTTCGTGTGCGCTGCACGGAAGCTGCGCAGTCATCCGCCTGCTCGGCCAGAGAGGACCTCGTCCTCGTCTACCTTCTTCGAAGTCAACATCCTTGAGCGTCATCCGTACACGACTCAGACGTTCACGCCGCTCAGCATATCCGGGCATAGAGGATCAAGAACTCAGAACAGCTACCTGGTCATCGTTGCACCTAATCTTGCGTCTGGCTCGGGACTGCAAGGTCAGCAGGGACGAGGCTCCTCGGTCCCATCGCCGCCTGATCTATCGGGCCTAAGGGCTTTCATTGCCACGATTGACCAGGCTGTGACCTACGGTGCGGGCACATGGCATGCTCCAATGGTCGCCCTGGGGCCTGAAGGATCAGCGGTGGATTTTGTTGTTACCCAGTTCGCAAATGGTGTTGGGAACGAAGACTGCCAGGAGGTCTCGTTTGGCTCGTCTGAGGATGGGTCGGTCTGCGCCGAGGTGCCAGCGTTGTCACAGCCAAGTGCTTCGAAGTTGTAACAACAACAAGAGGCCCATATGTCGTTGTGCCGTCCTGAAACTCGGAAAGCATCGCATCATCTTGATGCTCCCTTTCGGTGTTGCTCGAGGGCGGACTTGGAGAAAGGGCTGGGTTAGGCCTGGCCTGCTGACGAGTGCATTTACAATACCCCTTGCAACCAGGCGAGTGCTGCTTAATATAAGCCACCCCCAAAACAAGTATCTCATCACATGAGATCATCACAGGACATTCCTTGATGCTGGTACTACAACAACTGACCATGGCTCCTGGATTCACTGAATGAATGCTTTGTAATTAGTCAAAGGGTTATAGAGCAAGACACAATACAATTTGACATTCAGATATATTGCTTAAGTTCAAAACTTTAGATTGATAGCTAGAAACACCTGACTCCTCTTTTCCCTCGCCCTTTTCCTCTGGCTCGACACTGCGAATGAATGTATGCTTAAGCAGCCCAGAACCCGGCCTCCTCACCTGCCTTGAGGCAAGGAACAGTTTACATGCTCACAATCATTTGCTAGTGGACAATGTCTTCCGTCTCATTTCACTGCTCTTTCTATCCCTGATGAAATTTTCAACGTAACAAGCTGAGCCAGGGCAGTGCACTAGCTATCAAGCATGTCTATCAGGACACAAAAGACATGTTATTCTAAACCTTTCCAGCTCTGATATTGTCTCCCTGATTATAAGATTCGCAACACCTAATTGTGCTAGATGCTTTCCCACGACCACACACGCATGAATTAACTCCAAACATGGTTGCCAGTTGACCCGAAACCTTTCAGTATGGGTTTTGGAGGCCTGCCGCTACAGGCTTCTGTATCCCTGAAGAACACATCATACAATCACCTGTCGCTTTGCAGGCAATTACTGAATGAAAACGGTCTGTCTTCACCCATCCACATCTCTGAATCTTGTTCATGTTTACTCTCTCTTCTTCGTGACACTACGGTCGAAACCGGTGGTCTTTTAAAGGAGCTGTAGGAAGTTATCACAATCTCCCTTCATATCTGCTCATACATGCCCCCTCCTCCAAGCGTAACTATACACAGGACCTTGCTTCCACAACAACTTTACTCGTCTGTCCAGTCTGACCACTGCTGCTAATATTGACATCAAGACAGTGCCATACCCACCTCGTCTTCGCTTAACTGATGAGTTTCTCGCGAATAGCGAGGACAAAATAGGTCAGTCTTCCAATCCCAGTAGTCCTTCCTACACGCCTTCTCCTGTACAGCGTCGCATTCCTCGTAGAATGCTGCCAGCATGTTGTGGTTTTCGGGGGTCAAACATATACTAGTACTAGTACCTCAGGCTAGTTCGAACTTCTCGCACAGCATCTCTGAGGTGGCTTTTGTCGCTGAGGTCGACGCTGAGTAGAGAATGTCTGCAGTCGACAAGCCAGGAGGGCGGTAGAGTGACTGCCCGAGCCACCTACTACCAGATATAACAACCCAAGACCATTCCTAATCTTGTCACCTCATCGTCATTCATCACCAGTGACATCCTGCCACAGCGGATCTATGAGCAGACCGCTGGTACCAGGCTGTCCTGAGTCTCCTGGAAAAGTCTTGAACAGAATATTTTTGTTTTGCGGTTCGTGAGTCTGCGAGATTCATGATGGACGTTGTCGATATCACGGAGCCCCGAATTTATCTGAATCACAAGTTGGGGATTAGGTGGGGTGGTTTGATTTCTTGGACTCTCGATGGTAGAATAGTTACGGTCAGTCAAGACTCACAATGACGACAGAGGGCCCCCGGCTAATCGTGAAGAGCGACGCTTGGGAGGCCGCCCTGTTAATCATGAGGGTAAAGATGAAGGCAGAAGCAGCCCCACGGCAGCGTCACCATGGTATGCAGGGATTTACCCTCTGCAGGGACCTGCACAGCATGGGCACAATACCGGGCCAGAGGGTCCAGCTGCGACAAGCCGAGGCAGTCACCTTATCCTAGAGGAAGACTGCTTGAAGCTACCGTTCCTAAATTATCCAGTGTGATTAATCCAAGATGAGGTGTGAGTCTAACTTGAACAGAAAGCAAATACCGTTTCTATAGAAGTACTTGTGCTTGCTAGGTCGCTCTTGCTTGTAAAATGTTTGCAATTGTAAACACCCTATCAAGTAGACGACCGGACGAGACATCAAAAAAAGGGAAAAGAATCCATTCATGAAGATGGACTATGTGTACCCTTTGTGCAGATCCTAAAAGGCACTTTCGATGGGGAAAACGATTAGAGTTCATGTTTAGCTGTGAAACCTTCAGTGAAGATATTTCTTAATATGAATTAGTGGAAAAGATGGCTTATCTGCGTCGTTCCCTCCCGTCTATGACCCAAGCCCCGCTAGACAACGGGGAATTCGAAATTGGGTCAGGATGAAGGCGCCTTTCTCATAGATGTGAAAGATGCCTCCAGGCACCAGCCACAAGAACAGTTCTCCGGATTTCGGCATGGGCAGCCCTTTACTATACATTTAAAATGGGTATACTCGTACTTCTTGATTCAGAGCTAGATAGAAGCGAGAGAATCTGAGGCTTGGCTGGCCAACCGACACTCCTTCACCCCCATCCCCTAGTATCTCACAAAATTACAATATATAAAATAGAATAAAAATTCATTTCTTTTGCAGAGTGGGACAGTTTGTATCGAGCAGGTGGTTTATCTATTTTAAGTACCTTCAATGAGGTGGACTGTCACCAATTTTCACAATGATCAAGGGCGGCTGCGGGGCCGGTGCCGCTCTCGGCAGCAGCAAGGGCGCGGACCTCACACCGCAACCAACTTCGAGAGGCGGCCTGTCGAGTCACCGACAGCAACATCTTCTCTGGACCAAATAAACACATAATTCTTTTCCCCCCTCTTTTTGAAAAAAATAAAATAAATAAAATTCAACAATCCCCTTGGTTTGGATAAAGGCTGGCTGTCCAGAGTTACAGCAAAATCCGGGGTTTTGGTCAACATGAGTCCAGCGCTGGAGTCCACCGACGCCAAGAACAAGCTTGAGGACCTCTCAGGCGTCAAGATCGAGCCCGGCGAAAACCCGTACAATGCCTTGATCAAGGCCTGTAACGATGACCAGGTAAGTCTCAGCAGCTCTTGAGTCGGGCCCGAACTTGTAAGGCTGAACGCCTGTGTTGCTTCCGCAGCAGAGGGGAGACTTCGCTGCTGGTTCCAAAAGGTTCCCGCCATCAGGATCAGGCGGGGTCACGCAGTGAGGAGATAGGGGATGAGGTGGCCGATACGACAAAATTGTAGACAAGCCAGATGCTAACAAAGTATGCTAGGCTGAGATTCAATCTCTATACTCTACACATCGAGTGACGAGGAATGGCCAGCAGAAGGCCAAGTTCCTCTCCCAGGACTTCAAGGAGGTCCTCATCGACCCTTTTCTCCTGAGGCTCGAGAACCCGACCCTGGAGCCCGGCTTCTCTGACCCAAGAAATTGCCTGGTTTTCTGGGCACGGCCGCCGGACCATGTGGTCAAGCTGGTTGCTCACCTCCAGGCCTTGCTGAAGAAAGCGGCTCCCAGTATGTTGTGTCTTGTTCCCCCGGGTCAGGGACCCGTAGTTTGCATACTGTGCTAATCCGCCACGTGGTCCAGGTCTTTGGCTCATGCCCACTCATCGCGTGCATCTGACCGCCCTTGAGGTGACACACAGCCGGACACCGCCCGAAGTGACGGCCCTAGTCAACAAGATGCGTCCCACCCTGGCTGATCTCACCAACATTACTCTCACGCATCGCTCGCGCCTTGTCAAGCCCATGCTCTCCTATGACCTCGCCGCCATTGCAGTCTCGTTCCTCCCCGCGTCTGGGGAGCCCGTGGCCTCTCCTCCGCCCTGTGCCACGTCCGTCACTGGAGAACACGACGCCAAGCATCACGGGACCAACGACGCCTACACGTACCATCATCTCCGCAGGGACCTGTTTGACCTCGCCAAGACGACGGGCGTGGACATCGACTCGCGCTATGTTGTCCCCAGCGCACACATCACGCTGGGACGGTATCTGACGCAGGAGGATCATGCGACCCCTGAGATGCGGGAAGGCTGGGTGAGGACGATTGACGAAATCAATGCTTGGCTGGAGAGAGAAGTCTGGGACCAAGTAGATGGAGAGTTTGTCGGGGAGTGGATGGTCGGCCAGGAGAGGGGATTGGACGCAAGATGCGGGAAACTCTGGTATGGAGGTGGCAGGTCGCTCATGCAAGGCGAGGGATTCTAGGTCCAGCCTTTGTGGTTTGAGAGGGCAGAACCGGAAAGGCTCCAGGCAAGGTCATATGTACACACATTCATACATACATAAGTATATAGATCAAGATCGGGCTTCGTTGCTCAAACAAGCTATGGTCACAAATGCATGTCGCATGTGGTGTTGATAGTCCCTGGTATGGTGGCTCGACTCTTTTTTATTGTCTCTTCTCGGTCGCTGGGCTTCAAATCACTGCGTTCTCGTGAACCTGCACATTTGTCTCACAGCACGGTCGGACTTCCATTTCAAATCAAATCAGTACCACATGGAACTGTATTCCATCTTCCCTATGTACTGAAGCCTCCTCACAGCAACCGCGAGGACCCGAAAGCAGGCAATGCACGCATTTTTATCCTTGCGCCGAAGGACCCGTCCGTAATGACCACCGTCTGCCGTTTGATTTGTAGGTAGAAAAGTCGTGAGAATGTTGTGTCGTGGATGCTCGGCCGCAGACCAGAAGATGTGGATGACCCAAGACAAAAAGCAAGTAGCCGTTCGATTACCGCGCTTAGAAAACCAGAGCAGCACCCTTGGTCTTCTTGTCACCACCCAGCTCAAAGTGCTTGCATCGCTTCAGGGCCAGTTGCAGCTTGGTCTTGCACTGGGAGCACTCAAGACGCAGCACAACCTTCTTGGTCGTCTTGGCCTTCTTGTGGAAGACAGGCTTCGTTTGACCACCGTATCCGGACTGCTTCCTATATTCATGAATTATCGTTAGTGGTCATTCCATAGATGCCGTCAAATCGTCGGGGGGTTCGGAGACAACTTGAGGGGTTCGAGGATGGCTGTGTCGGTGGAGGTGGCACGTACCGGTCGTAACGCCTCTTACCCTGGGCGAACAGGGAGGCCTTGCCAGCCTTGTCTATTCGAGGTATCAGCATCTCTAATCGCAATGTCCATTTCCCATCCTAAGCTCGGAGAACTTACACTGCGTGACCTTGTGCAGGGTGTGCTTCTTGCAGTCCTTGCCCTTGCAGTAGCTGTATTCCTCAGTAATCAGCGCATGTTCCCATTTGATCCATGAATGCTCGTGCCGCCGCGCGTAAGGCCGTCTCCTCCATCAACGGTCACAATTCTTCATCCTCCTTTTTCTGCGTAATTTGATACGAGTTCGTCGACAATAGATCGTTGGGATCGTTCGTTGTTCGCATTCACCATCGCAGGACTGGTCGACGTTCGCGGGGCAATGAGACGAATTTTGGCTGGGTGGCACTTACGTCTTTCTGGTCTTGGGAATGTTCACCTGAAAGGGGAAGGTCAGCATAAGTATAGAAGCAAACTTTCTAGGTCGCATATCGTACCATTTTGACGGTATTGACAGGATGCCTGTTGAATTTGCCGTAGGTGGGTGGTGTCGGAAACGAAGTTGACGATTGAAGACGATGGAGTCGGTAGCCCGTCAATTTTCTCAAGGAGCGAGCAGCGGGAGGTGGGAATCTGTGCGTCCAATCAATCGTCCGCATTTGAGGACGCCACTCTCACCAGCCACATTGAGCGCTCGGACCTTCTCATAACTAAGCCAACTATTGTGGCGTCAGACGGCCCCAGCGACATTTCAAATTTGCAGCCTTCACAAGCCCAACCCACCTATCATTCCACTTTAGTTGGGTGTTTTATGATTGTCTAGAATTGCCGTTGCATGAGGCCACGCATGCCAGGTCAACATGGAGATGTCAAGTGCATGCAACTCGGATGCCAGTCGACCAACTCAAGACGCTTCCAAGCATCACTTCTTGTGAGCTGGGGCTCGTGTGCGACCGCTAAAGGCGTTTCAATGTTTAGACGGTTCAACAATGCATTGAGAACTTCCGCGCAGACGCTAGTATTCCAGGATTCTGGGCCGGCAAAATACATTACTGTGTCTATTTGCGTGACGCCTGGCTTGTCCCAGAATGTCATTCTTTACGGAATCCGCGCAATCAATATGTTGCAGGTCCTGTGTCCTCGGCACTCAACCTCCAAAATGCATCGATTCCTGTTGCAGTGGAGCCCATGGTGAGCCGCGCCAACAAGCTGACAGCAAGTGGGAATGAGCTCGGTGTTGGCATCACAAACTCAGATTGATGGATAATTTCTCTTCCTCATCTCGGATTGACCTATCGAGGAGAGATTTCCAATTTCTGAAGGATAGTCCGCTCTGCGGTATCTCAAAGATGCCAGATACCTTCCGCCATCTTCACAGACCTTCTTTCTCGAGCATTTCTGCTATCTGCAGGTAGAATGCGATGGCATTGAAACTTGGAAGAGAAGTTTAGCGGCGATTGTATCCATGGAGCCTAGGCGGATGAGAGGATCAACTTACGGTTCAGGCTCGCCCACCAATCTCCGCATCGCCCATTTGACTCTGTTCGTCCAGTTGATCAGATCAAGATGGCTCACCCCCTCCAATGTCCCTTTGTATGTCCCCCACCTGGCGCTGTCCACACTGACTAACCCATCATTCGGGCCCTCTTCGCCAAGGATGACTCCATACGATCTTCGAAACGGGCTCAGCAGTGGCGGTGTCTGCTTCAACGCCGCTCCGTATGAAAAGTACCTTACATCCGGGTCATCTAGAGTCCTGGGGTTGAAGTCCTTGTTCATGTATTTCCGAGTCAGCTGGGTGAACGCCCCAGTCCCGAGCCCCGTTGTGCTCTTCCAAACATTATACAACCGAGGCAGGTTTTCCTGCCCGATCTGATCAAGCAGGAAATCCGCATACGCCGAGCCGTGATGTGGAGTTGCGACCGTCACCAGCGCCCTCACATTGATGTCGTTCTCGGGCTCATTCTTCTGCTCCTGCGCAGCGCTTCGTGTGCGGCGTGCCTTGCTGATCATGTAACGTGCATCTAATCCACCCATCGAGTGAGCGATGATGTTGACTGGTCTGCCTTTGGAGTTGGCGAGGATGTGTTCGCGCAGCTTGGCGGCCCGCTCCTCGATGCTTCCTGACGGCGGGACCGTGGCCGTGAGAACTTCGTTGCCGTTTGCGATCAAGGCATCCTTGATGCCGTGCCAATAGTGAATCGGAGGCAGGTAAGACCCCGCCAGTTTGAGTTCTGCGAAGCCAAAGAGGCCATGAGCCAGTACGATTGGGTGCTTGGGCATCTAATCTCAGCGTCAGTCGTGGGCTTCGCACGTCGTGGCTGGTAGGCGAGCAATGCGTACTGGCTAAGCAAATGTATGTGACAACCCTCGGGAAAGGTCAGTATGACGGAGTTCCCTTCCACCCGACAGTGCTAAAAGAAATGTAAGGTGACAATTTTATATTATCATGATGACTTTCTGGTTGAATAGTCCCGATTGCGAGCCGGTTGTCTCCGGTAAAGTTCCCGTCGTCTTACCAAGCCTGTTTGTTTTTCCAGTTCTGACGGTGATGTCACTAGCAATGGTAAATAGAAGAATAACCCTAACCCTCTCTCAAAAACCACACACGGAGAGCAACATAATGGATAAGAAATGGTCACTCCAAGCCAGCGACATTTTCGATAGCCGTATATATTGTGAGAGATGTACATTTCAACACATGGCCCCTCCCGCGATGTCTCAAGGGCCAAGGCCTCAAGCTTCTTCAGCGTAGCTGTTTTTTGAATTCTGGGGTGTCATTATGTTTAAGGCTGGGAAGCTTCAAAGTTGGAAGGGCTCTGAGGTATCGCTTTCATTTGGATTCTTATAAGGGAGGAGATGGCAGTAAGGGAGGGAAACTAACTCAAATTGAAGCATTACTTGCCCCAGCTACTTTATGGGGTGTAGCAAAATGCTAATATGCAGCCAGCAGGGCATCAGCTTGATTATGTTAAACCGAGTAAGAAGTCAAAGGGTGCCTCAATCATGTGGGGTAGGAACAATAAGATCTAAAGAAATTTATCTAGGGGTGTTTTGCTGGTGCATTCTCGCGAAAATATATTAGCCAGCTTGAGCGTGACGAGGTTGTGAGTGAGTCAAAAGTGTGCCATTAATTCAGGACAGTTACTTAAGTAGTAATATTCTCAGGAGAGATATCCGATGATCAGGATTCGCTGTAATAATCAGAAAGTCGTGTCTGGTAAAATTTCGTGTCCCCGATAGAAATATGACGAGCCACCCCGCCGGAAAGGTAGCAAAATAGTCGCTGTTCCCCATGCCACTGTGAAGTTCCGTCTTTATCCTCTCTAATCAATTCCGTTGTGTCTTTCCCTCTGCGCACCGTCCAGGTTATATCCCATCACCAGAGGGTATCATCTCTCCTCATGACCTCATCAGCTGCTCTGGGAGAGCATCTTGTCCTCGTCGCTCTTCCGCTCCAAGAACCTGACCCGCCCGTCCTCGACCATTCGCTCCCCGGAGCAAAGACGTGCGACTCCACCACGCGGCCCTGTCCGTACAGCTGGTTCAGGGGCAGAGCCTGCGGCGGCGGCGGCATATAAGCTACTCGAGATATCGCGGGAGACTCATAAGGCAGTGTTTCTGCATTGGCAGAGCTGGCAGAGACCTGTCGTTTGTGTCCTGGCCAGCACCGCGAGCAACACGACTCGCTGGCCGCCAATGCCGTGTTCGTGTCAGTGTTTTGGGGCGAAGGTGTGGATCTTCCGTAGATCGCACATTGAGGCAGCCTGTGGAGTGGTTCTACAGGATGCAGAGATGCAGAGTCACGGTGCGCTGTTGAGTTTCGTGGGGAGGTGGTGGTCCAGGCGTCACCGAATGCCGATGGTGGGTGTGCAATTGTGAGAAGGAACACTGCAAGAAGGACGAGACCACCGTCGAGCACAGGCAGGTAAAATTGTGATTGTGATAGTGAAGAGCTCAGACCGCTCGAAAACTGGACAATGCGGGCGACGGTTCGGACGAGAATGAAAAGCAGGGATAAGTTCAGACCTAATAACAAGTCGGTGTCAGCTCTTGCTAAAGCCAAATGAAGGACAGCTGAGTAGATAAGGAGGGAGAGTAATATGGGAATAGCTAGCATCGAGAACGTACACAACATGGTTGTCTTGAACTTGAGTGACAGGTAGACGTAGGAAAACCGTGGATCAAGAAATTGTCTGCTCTGAGCGACTCGAAACATGAAGCACAAGTACACGCCAAAGAAAACCAGTATGCTCATGATTTGCAAGATCAGACCGGCTACAATGAAGTTGGTGCCTTCTTCGATCTAGTAGTTGTAACTTGTCAGATTCGTGTCATATTAGTGTCCGGCGGCTCAACACAGCTTACCTGCACTTTGTCAAAGCCCTCTGCAGCAAATGCACTCCCGAGTGCCTGCAAAAAGAGTGTGCTGATGTCGAGCAGGAACAGGAAGCAAACGATCCAGCCTGGGCTCAGACCGATGCTCACGTCACTTCCATATAGGGCCATTATGTGAGGGAGAACAGTGTAGATGGCCGCTGTGATGAGAGTGGGTCCCATCGTGGTCCCGAGGAGGAAAACGAGAAAATATGTCTTGCTTGCAAGATCGGACCGGAGGAGCAGTGTTCCCACATAGCCGAGAATGTCTAGTGCCAGGCCCGTTATCAGGATCAAGGAATATGTCGTCGTCTTGGACCTTGTTAATTCCCAGAAAGTGACCACAGCAAACAATGCGAATGCTGCCAAGATCACCACCACACCCGTGAGAGATGGCAACATTATAAAGTAGCCACTGTCGACGGGGCACGTCGCCGTCGTGCAGTCGTTGTCAGACATACTGGCCATGGTTGATCACATTCCGGCGTCGTTTGGCTCCGAAAGAAAAGAAAAACAAAAAAGATGAGGATACAGAGTGCGAAGGATGAATGATGGGGGGCTACTCGCCACATATAACGGCCGATGCTAGGAAAATCACAAGCCGAAAGACTAGACATAGTTTGGCAGGTGAGCCCGACACTCTGGGTCGGCTGTATGAGCGTGTGCTTAGACATGCATGGATGGTTGTGAAGGAACATGATATTTTGTGTCCAACCAGCATGTTGGTTCTCACTTGATGGTGACTGGGTTGCACTGAGTTTTGTGCACATTGACTGGTCACCGCCAGCAGCATACACACTGGCAATTCATAATGCATGGTCATCGGCCTAGATACGGAAGCTGCATAAGAATGGCACAGTTCTCGATCCATGCACGTTTTTCTGTCTCGTGCTACAGGCTTCTCATGGAGCAGTGCCGAGTCTGAAGAAGACTAGAAGCCTAAGGACAAAGGCATCGAGCGTACAGAAAAATGTGCCGAACACTTGAGAGAGTCAAACCTGACGCGTGTCCTGGGCTGAATGGTCGTGGCGATTTCCTCAAGCCTGAGAGGACTGTTGCTGCACGAGCTCACTGGAACAGCTGTACAACCTCATAGCACACCGTGGTTGGTTCAAGCGGCGTAGCATCGAGAGAAAACGCGCAAATTAGGAGCTGACATTCGACCCGATACTCTGGGACCTGTTCATGCCTCTTAGACAAGCGGGGCATCAGATCAATAGAAGTCATCTTCACAAGGGAGATGTGGTGAACTTCCGTAGTGCGCAAGTCCCAGCCTCGATCTAGAATGGCGACTTTCGTCCGTTGGTCTTGCAAGGCAACGGCAAGCCAATAGATAATTGACTGTTGGATGCAACGATGTTGGATCGGCGTGGGGCATGGGCCGACCTCGCCGGTAGTGTGCAGCTTATCGTACTCCAGATCCTGATTCCGCGGCCGTTTTCATAAAATATGCAAGTTGGGGGCGCAGCTCAAAGCACAAGCGCGTCAAAAAGATGCCTGTCTCAAACAACATAACCATGCGTCGGCGACAAGAAGAAATCAAATCGTATTTGGTAATGACAGGTCATTTGGCGCTCTGCGTAGAGCCGTGATGTTGATGATTCCTTGTCTCCCCGCCCGCCTCTTTTGAACATCTCTTTCTACCCTCCTGAGCAGGCAAACAACGGTCTTGTAAAGATGAGTATGACCGACGAAAAGAGGGAGAGGAAGCTAAAAGACCTGTGTCCGCATTGCTTCGATGGAATTGACAAGTATGCGGCCAGGTGAAAAAGACTGGGGGGCCGTATTACAATAAGATGCTGACCATTCGGCATTTGCGGTAAACGCGACGTCTCAAACCAACGCGCTATCGACGAAGAGTCACTCTTTCCCATGTGAAATGCATATGACAGTCATAATTCCTGTAGAGGTGTGTGTATCGTGCCTTCCAAGCCACTGCCAAACCAACCTTCCTTAGAATTCAATGCCGCAATGCGTGACCTATGGAGTGTCAGGCTGATTGCCTATATTTGGAACAGACAGATTGCTTTTTGATTTAGCATCCGACTTCACCGGGTTAAAACTCTTGTAGAGTTTCAATATGCCCGGAGCAGGGCATGTGGAAGTCATGAGTGCTCTTGACTGGGCCGCCATTCGCGATCTTCCTGTAGAGGAAAATTCAGGGCCCTGCTCAACAATGCCAGGCTGCAGGTTGGCAACACCACGGCGCATTTTGTGCTCATCCCCCAATCGTCGCTCGTGTTGGCCTCTCCTGGAACACAACTCGGCCAAATTTAGGGAGTTTCGAACTCCTAGAAACTTTTTTGTTGGAAGAAAACAAAACAAAGAGTTATGACAAACCCTCGATGCCGCATTTTGGTTTTTCGAGGTGTCTTGATAAACTCAAATCACTTATCCATAGAAGAACTAAAGAAGTAAAAAGAAGAAAGTGAGCGTTGGGAAACACATTCCTCCAGCCGTCTGGTAGTTGGTGTTGAATTGCCCACATTGTCACCGGTCACCAACGGACGGAGAGGTGCCTTAGCAGACTTTGAACCCAGTACGTCTCGAAGCCCGCGAGAACAGGAAAGAAGCATCTTCTAGGTTTTTCGGAGTGTACATGGATGCTGATGTTGCAGGAAAAGGAAATTCTCCTGTGACAACAACTCATGCTCAGAGATATTGAGATCGGCAAGGTGTCATTGTCCGCCGGTGACTTCCGCGACCATCCACAGATCAACTGTATCACGTGTACCGTGACCTGACAATAGTTCCTGGTCTCTTGTTTAAGATTTTAATTTGTTTGAGGCTAAAAAGAAGGCCCATTGCTGAAAGTATGCAAAGTATGATTCAACCATGTGACAGAAATGGTTGCTTAACCAGGCATCGGTCTGACACTCTGCTCCAAGTCCGTCTCGTATACGAGAAGGATATCATCTTAGTCTAGCTTCGCACTGTATATCATGACGGCACAATACGAGCGCAATCGGACGCACATTTCACATCGCGCTCTCGGATTGGCTTCATAATTTAGCAGTTGTGCATGATCGGTGCCTGTTATACAGGGTTTTCTGTTCCACCGCAGGCGCACAGACGTGCTTTCGAGATCAAAGCCCTGAACGACGGAGTGCAGGCGTCGCATTTATTTGCCGGAAGTTACGGAAGCTGCATGTACTATCTAGAAGGTCCGGCGTCAACAAGACTTGCTTTTCCGTTTTGTCAAGTGAAAGTCTGTCTATCAATGGGATAAAGTAGCACCCTGACGTATCTACACTCACCACGCGAACAGCAGGATAATACATTTGGGTTGATATGACCAGTGTGCTCACTGAGACGTCTACTAAATTGGAACTACGCTCAAACACTGCAAGGCATACTCTTGGCTTGGCCCCGTGCTGTGGGATGATTGATTTGGATCATCATCATGATGACACCGGTCACTCTTTAAGCGCAATTTGAACCAGAATATCCTGCAGAGAAGGCTTGGCGTGCAACGGATCATGCCCCGGGGAGGAAAACAAGGTACAAAAAAATTCCAGTCCGGTTACGGTCGTCATACAGCTCTACGATGGGCGGCTGCAGTGTGACGAACACGTGGTCGGTTTGCGACATGCATGAAGACGTGTGAGGCTTGGCAACGCCCAAGGCACGGGGGAGAAGAGGGACGGGGGAGAAGAGGGGGGGGGGGGGGGCGGGCGTTGCGATGGCCTTCGCAAGACGATTCTGGAGTTCGCAGCAGCAACAGCAGTCTCGATGATATACCGTCGCGGAGGTAATCAACGGGGGGGTGTTGCGTATCTTGGCCCAAAACCTCCCACAGACTCTTTGAGATCCCATGAGTCCTGTACTCAAGCGAAACACGAAGCTATGCTGCCGACAGTACGACAGAAGAACTTCCTCGAGGCCTCGAGGCACGGTCACATCGAGGCCACCGGGCATCGCGCTTGTGCTTCCGGACCTCGAGGCTCCGGAGATGCTTGGGGGCCGCAACACGCGGGCACCTGCTGTAGCACTGGTGCTGTGACGTCGGAGCTGGGTTGGTAGCCTTATCGAAACGGCCCAGGATAGTCGATGACGAGAAGGGGGAGCTGAATGGCATGAGGCCGTGCATTCAAGCCCCAGACTCCATCATGACAGTTGGTCAACAAGCTATGCCATACGGACTAGTGCCGGGAGCGCACTTGAAAATGGGGATTCTAGTCATGCGACGCATGCCTCTGCCGGTCGGTGGCTCGGGGTTTGACGATGATGCGATGCATGTTGTGGGGGCAAAGTGTGACATAGGCGGCTGGGTTCATTCTAGTCGGTGAACTGACCACCAGTTCATGAGCGTAGTGAGACGTCGAGGCTGCTCGTGGATGGTATCTTACAGTGCTCGCCTCCCTCGACGTGTGCAGGCCGTCACCACCAGCGAAAGCTTGACCACATGTTGGGAAGCTCGCGTGGTCTCGACTTCCGATCTTGCGGCCAGCGAATGTGATGAGCTCGAGATTGGCGGTGGTGTGTTGGCTCCCACGTTGATAGGCGCTATACCGTCATTGCAGCCCATGCGTGACACCTTCGTGGGTAAGGGTTGAAGAGCGGTCAGTACTTAAGCTTGTGATGCTAGTAATTCTAGTCAAGACACCTCTCGTGCATTGTCAGGTGGGACACCGCCTCTCCTTGCCTTCCTGACTGCTGGAGGAGAGGGGGGGGGGAGAGACATGGGAACATGACCACCAGTACTTGTTCGTGCTGACAAGCCCGAATTGCTCTAGTCAGATTCCAAGGTGCGGAGAGTTACTGTTAGCGTAAAGACGTATGGTTATACACAAGGACTATCTGGTGGCTTGCTTGTTAGTAAGTACTTACTTAGGCTTAGGGAACGTTGTCATTTTCCGACGTGGCGCCGCTCGGACGGGAGTGGCTTGCTGTTGAAGTAAAGACCTTGTTTCTCTGCCAGTCGGCACATCTAGCGCCGGCACGTCTGCAGTAGTTTTTCCTTGGCCTCGAGGGGTATGTCCAGATGACCTCGAGATTCTTTACTGGGGGCTTCGCCATGACGCTCGGCGGGTTCACCGATGTAGACTCCGAATGATTGAAGAGAAAGAAAGAAAAAAAAGATTTCAAAGGAAGGGCAGAGTAGACAAAGAGCCAACTGTCGTTAAGAGGGGGTGATCAATTTCATACGACTGCTATAGAGTTAGGTGGGCGCGTGCATTGAAGTATGAGCGTTCTCACTCCGGTAGGACAAAACTACATTGAAGGCTGCCGGCCAAGGATTGGAGCAGAGCCTAGACAGTCAGTTCCATCATTTGGAGAACACCCCTTCTCTGACAGAGTCAGTGGCACGCCCATGTTGCGCCCGATTGGGAGGAGCCGGGGCTTAAGCCAAAGCCATAGGACCCAAGGTTAACGTTGGCCTAATTGTTTGTGGATTCGGGTGATACTGGAGGGGAAATCAATGTACAACTTACCGAGCACAAAGAGAGAAGGAGAGACGGACAAATATTTTCGAATTTGATTATAATCGGGATATGCAGTCGATAGTGTTCGTGAAGTGCGGTCACCATCGCAAACAGCTGCCGGGTTCGGCATCGGCCTTTGTCGACGTTGGCGTCTGGGCTAGGGTCACATACATGTTGAAGACGAGAGGTGAGGAGGCTCGGCTCGTGATTTTCCCTGTGGAGTTGACATTGTGATCAGCAGCAATAATGGATTTAGCGAAGACTGGTTTGGTCAGACGATCAAGGGGCTCTGAGGCCGAGTGAAAGGGTGTAACTATGTGTAATTTCCCGTACGTGGTTTCTATCGACTTCGTGCATCGGTGCGGTAGACATTATCGGCCTGGCGGCACCCAGTTGGCCGGAGGGAGCCGATTGGCGAGTGGTCCATCCTGCTTGCGCGCAATGCGCGCATAAGCTACGGCGATTAGGGACCAGGTTATCCAGGGGGAGGCGAAGCTGGGTGTCAAAGGGCGAATGGTGTGGCCAGGCAGACGTGACCCGGTCAAAAGTCCTGTGATGTGAAAAGACGCGCCGGAGAACTTGCCGATAAATTAGGGCGGTGGCCGAGGGGTATCCTGACTGGCCCCACAGCAGCCCGTTGAGGGCATGAGAGCTCCTGGATCAGGGCGCTATAAGAAATAAGCGACGCGTGGAGACCCGTCTTCCAGCTGCTGGCTGTCGGGGACAGATCCCGTTTGGGTATGTTATGGCCATGTCTGTGCCCCCATGGGCACGGCATATGGTTCACCCAGGATGTGCGCAAGAAAAACAGGTGGTTATCTTGGTCATGCTGAGGATGTCATGGTATGTTCAAGTCACATGAGCGCGACTCAACGAGTCGAGACAGTGGATAGTCTGGCCAGACGGTACCATCCGCCTATCTGAAATCACAAAACCCAGGTGTCTTACCCCCGTGGGGATGGATCTACACAAATTTCAGGAACAGGTAATGTTGAAGGACGATTCATAGGGCATCCCTTGAGGATCTCGGTCCAGATGCTGCAGAAGATGGGACGAGATGGTGAGATCTGATGTGCTGTAGTAGACGTGCTGCACATGAATGCAAGGGACATGCCTACTATTACCCGCCTGCCTTCCTTTCCGGGACGAGGTGTGTGGTATCAAGGCCTGTCGGTGAAGAGATCAGATCCAAGTTCAACTGCTACCCAAAGTCCGTCCATGCAATCAATGGTGGTGAGTATCCCAACAGGAAAGAAGAGAGGGGGGAGAAAGGATGAAAAGGGGAAAGGAGAACAAGGTACCCTGGTGTGTCTAGATTCAGGAGGGAGAGGGGGGGGGAAGGCCTCTGGTTGCGCCTGCTGGACAGAGGAGTGCAAAGATCCCAGATTCGACTTTGGCTTTGCGAGGTCGAAGATGGAGTCTGAGTGGATCGTCACAGCCGAGATCCTTGTGGCGCTAGGGTGTTAGCTGCCGGTAAAAATTTGGGGTAATAGCGCTACTGATCAGGGCCATGACCCTTGTGATGTGCAGGAGAGACCGACAGGGGTGCGGTAAATCCGGGGCTGTACATGTGTACCTCTCGTGTCTTTTCGTTTACTTCCCCTAAGCAACAATACAAATTACACATGACCATCAGCAATGCTGGGGACACAATTGCGTGCTTACAGACTAAACATCCATCCGCATCTCATCTCATCTCCCATCTGTTTCTCCTTAATCCCGACCTCGGCTGTTCGGCCGCCACATCTACCCAACGTCCAACGAGCCTCAAGCCTCTTGCCAGGGCTGTAATCATCATCTTCTGCCATCTACCACGTATTGCTACTGCATAGTACTGCTCGTGTAGTATCAAGTATCATGTACAGTCATCATGTTGCAATGGTGTCCCTCATATCCAGGTGCTTGCCATATACATCCGGTGAGTCCTATACTTAGGCGGTAAGCCATTTCAACGTTGGGTCGCGCTCAGCTCACATGACAATTGTGACTTGACCTGACGACCTTTCTCTTAGCTCATGGCTGCCAAGGACTCGGTACATTCCAGTTCGATCGACCATGTCATCGAAAGAACTAGGATCTCAATTCGCCGTGCTATGACCACCATTTAGAGTCAGACTTGGCCTGTGCTGAAGTAAGGTCGCGTGGGTCCCTTAGCTGGATGTGCTTTTGGCATTTCTCTTGGCCTGCTTGATCTGCTCTTCTGGATTTGTTACCACGCTCACATCAGCAAGGCGTGGCTTCAACGTTGCTCGTCTTTCTCCACCGGCACCGGCCGGCCCCACTGACTTACTAGAACTCAACATGGTGCAGGGCTCAGGAACCTGCTTTCTGTTACGTTTCCTTGTTGGACCCATCGTCAGTTCGCCCGTTGGCTGCCACAGCAGAGCACGCAGCATTTGGGCATCCAGGCTGTGACTTTCTACGCCCTAGAACCCAGTGCCACCATTGGTCTCGTATCATGTCCTTCTCACCGCATAACTATGAGCCTGGACGGGTCACGGCAGCCATGCCAATGTATCTTACAACAGTAGATACTGGGTGTCCTTGCCGTCCCGACCCCAGTCACACGCTTTCATCCCATGCATCTCAAGCTACCAAGATGGCTGTGTCATCCATTACCTCGTCCTCATGCATGCTCCACCCTACGCGCCTTGTCATTTGCAAGCATCACCCCGCCGAGTGGCTGCAAGAATCTGCACGGTCGAGCAAGTTCATCCAACCTCTCTCCGCCTTCTCCTTGGCGGAAATCGCTGCCATGTACAGAAGTCCCAAGTACCTTGGCTGCCGATATAGCAGGATACAGTGGGGCCTGTGCGGGCAAGCCTCGCCCACTCGTGATGTTTCCGTCCCGTCTTGCTGGGGTTGTTGCCCACAAACAGGCACGTTGAGAAATTGTCTCTCCTTCCCCCTTGCCAGATTGCCGACGCTCTCGGTCTATTTCCATGGAAGACTACGCGTCTAAATTAAATTGGCTCTGCAAGTCTGCAAGTCAGTGCGTGCTGCCGTCGTGGGCTCCTAATTGGGTCTTTGCCTGTCCAGCCACACCACCCCAGCCAAAACTATTCCTTGTGTCGGCGTATACGTCCCCCATACTCATCATAATTTCGTTTCTCGCCTAGAATGCACCTGCGTCTGCATGGCGGCCGTCTCGTGAGGCCCAGAGGTCCCTCCTGCTCACACGACCTCCTCTTTGAAGACTGTCGTGCCCCATCGTGTACTAGCACTCTGGGCTACTGATTCACATCCTATACTACCATCCTCATCCGACCAAATAGATCCTCCCCCCTGCTCACGCCCTCATCTTGTGATACATCCGGTTGCCGGCCAGCTCATGACACGGCCTGGGAACCTGAACATATAACACATGGGTGTTTCCACCCTTCGAGATTCCGTCATTCGTTCGTCCCATCCAGTCTCCTCACGATCTTTAGTTTAAAATCAACAGATGTGCATCTGGCCCAGCCCTACCGTGTTGTCTTCTTCTCTGCCTTGTATCTAAGTGCTCCTCTCTGCGTGTGACCCTCTCACGGCTCGACGCCATGCACCCAACACAAGTTGCTGCGACAGCAGCGGCCCTCTTTGGCGGCATATCACAAGCCATCGACTTCAGTCCGGCCAGGCCCCCAGCATGGCCCTTGGCAGTTAGATCACCCTACCTCAGTACATGGCTGGACGGGACCTCAGGAGGATCTCTTGCAGGAAATTGGCCTACATTCTGGAAGTAAGTTATTTTGCCAAGTCCCATATCCACTTTCACCTCGTGCTGACGACCGGTCTTGTACTGTACAGCGGCCAAGTCACGGCACTGCAGGGCTTCGTTGCTGTTGATGGTGAAGTCTTCAACTGGGCTGGTGCGGCAGCCGGACCTAGTCTGGCGAACCAGACATCAGCAACTTACACGTCCACAAGCACTGTGTTCACTTTTGATGTCCTCGGGAAAGTGACCTTGACAGCCACTTTTCTGTCACCCGTCTACCCTAACGACCTAGTGAAGCAGTCATTGCAGTACTCGTACATCGACGTTGCTGTTGTCTCTTCTGACGGCGACTCACACGATGTCCAGATATATGCGGACGTCACCGGAGGTAAGCCCTACCATTCTGGCATCGATTCCCATCCCTTGAGGAGGTGACTGACTTGCAATCACCAGAATGGGCCAGTGGATATGATAACACACTAGACATTGTCTGGAGCCATGGATCTATCAACGGGGTATCCTATCACACCTTCAACTTGACCGACCAGGAGGTCTTTGTAGAGAATGACCAACAGGCCGGTTGGGGAACCTGGTTCTTCTCCACTGCTGACGATGACGGGGTACGTGCAAACTCGACAGTTTAGACAGATACTCGCTGAAGTGATCAATATACTAACACGAATGACAGTTGACGTGGCAAATTGCGGAGGACACAGTGGTCCGCCCTCAGTTTGAGAGCAACCAGACACTCCTCGACACCGAAGATACCAACTACCGAGCGATCGATGATGATTGGTAAGCTTTTCATGCCTCGTATATGCGGACTCCTAAAATTATACAACGGTATCTAATTGTTTACGACAGGCCTACCTTTGGATTCGCCAAGGACCTGGGATCTGTGTCGGACACATCGGCCAGTGTCTTGTTCACCATCGGTCTGTCACAGGAGGCGATCATCAACTTTGCCGAGACCTCATCAACCGGCAACACGATGACGGCGCTCTGGCTGACAGAATACGACTCGGGCGAAGAGGCCATGGCGGCTTTCTATAACGATTACTCGACAGCAGTGACGGACTCCGCCGCTGTGGATAGCCAGGTATCGACGGACTCCAGCGCCGCAGGGGGCTCGAACCTCACCACGATCACAAGCTTGGCTGTCCGTCAGGTTTTCGGCGCCGTCGCTCCTGGCGTCGGCACGGAACAGACCTACCTCTTCATGAAGGAGATCAGCTCTGATGGAGACACCAACACAGCAGATGTCATCTACCCGGCGATGCCCATTCTCCTCTACTTCAACGAGACTCTGCTCAAGCTTCTGTTGGACCCCCTCTATGTCAACCAGGAGAGCGGCCTGTACCCAAACACCTATGCCGAACATGACCTCGGAGTCTGGCCCAACGCACTCGGCTACCCTGAAGGCAACGACGAGGAGATGCCTCTCGAGGAATGTGGCAACATGTTGATCATGACGCTCGCATACGCGCAGCGCTCCGGCGATACCGACTACCTGTCCAAGCATTTCCCCAAGTTGGAGCAGTGGGCTGGGTACCTGGTGAACGAGAGCTTGATTCCGGCCAACCAGATCAGCACTGATGACTTTGCGGGTTCCCTGGCGAACCAGACCAACCTCGCATTGAAGGGCATCATCGCGCTCAAGGCCATGGGGCAGATGGGAGAGCTGATCGGCAACTCCTCTGCCAAGAGCTACTATGGCGGTGTCGCGGACGACTACCTGCCCCAGTGGGTCGTCTATGGTCTCAACAACGACTCGACCCTCCCCCACACCATGCTCAACTACAACAATCAAAGCTCCTGGGGCAACCTGTACAACCTCTACGCAGACAGTCTGCTGGGTCTTGACTTTGTGTACGACTATATCTACACAGACCAGAGCAACTACTACCCGACCGTCGTAGATACGTACGGCCTCCCTCTGGACACGAGGCACGACTGGGTCAAGGGTGACTGGATGATGTTCTCAGCAGCGATTGCCGAGTCGAGCACGCAGTCCCTGTTGATTGACCTGCTGGCTTACTGGATCGAGAACACGTCAGAGACGACAGCCTTTGGAGACCTGTGGGATGGCGAGACGAGTGGGTATGTCACGACCGCTGAGTTCAAGGCGCGGCCGGTTATGGGTGGATCCTTTGCGCTGCTCGTGCTGTCCTCTTCCTAAGGGTATCCTGCTGAAAGACGAGCGAACACGATTGAGCCCAGCTTTGGTCTCTCGTTTCATGCACCCTTCTTCTTTTTCTCTTCCTCTTCTTCTTATTTGTACATATCACACACATGTGCATACACACAAGTTATGCATCGACGCCAATTTCCTTAGCATTGGAAAGGAGTCTTGGGGGGCAGGGCCTGGGGATTAATGCCGTCAATGGCTTGGAAATAATGTGGACAGGGTTATTGGTAATATTCTATGCAGGCACTGTCCTCATGACTTGTAGCCGCAATGAATGCCCGGGGTCGACCGGCGCCCTCAATGATATACTCAAGGATCTCCATCTTGTACCAACCAAAGTTCCTGTTCCACGGCCCTGATTCGCTGCCGCAGGTGACCTGAAAATGAAGATGGACAGGGAGAGAGGGGAGAAAGGAAGAACGAAGCCCATAAATCCATAAGTCATCTTCGTGATCCTGCTAGGAAGTGGCGGTCACAAACACCCTGTCCGACATTAGTAGTCGACTGTCAATGGCTCAAGCAAAATTACGACGACATTCACAGCCCCGTTCATTCCCTCCTCCCTTGCTCCATCACATTCATGCGGTGGAGCCCGCCGTTGCGAAACTCGTCTGCTTTCGACCCACAAGGCACAGCCAAGAAGCCCACTGCTCCCCCTATCTACGATGTAGATCTCCGAATTACGGCTCGTCCCGGCCGCGTCCCGCCGCCTCTTTTTTTCTCCTTTCCTCTTCTTCTCCTCCTCCTTTCGTTCTCGTCGTTGCCTTGGTCCTGACCACCTCAGGCCAGCTGTAATTTTTATTGTATCTAAAGGGTTGTTGGGCTGGCTGAGCCTGCGTGTCGGAACTTTAGAAGGAATTGTTGAGCCCACATCAGTTAGTTGGAGATTTCGATTGCGAAAAGAGGAGGATTCTTTGCTGTTCATATTGGTAATATCGTCACTGAATATTGCTGAGCCAGCTGCAAACCTGATCATCAAGACATTTCCACATAGCGTGGATCTAAATTGCCATATGTTGTCAGTTCGATTCAGGAACAAATATACCAAGCCGGGTCCCCATACCGTAAAGCTGTCTCCGCTGGAGGAAGTACATGGTACTATTAAGTACTTCTTCGTGTGTATGGCTGCAAGGGTGTATATGGGTGAATCTTTCTATGCCAGAAGGGCAGGAAGGAGCAACCAACAGCTCAGCAGTCCTTTGGTGACTTTCAGTGCTAGTATCATCAACATCAACAATGCTTCATTGGTGTATCCACTAGACTAGTGCAGACTAGTGATTCTTGTGTTCCATAGCCGTTGGCCGTGTTGACTGTTGGCTGCTAAGCTCACTCAACCCTAACCCCGACTTTCACCCTACAGTACAATGCCAGCTAGCCTTTCCCAGGCCATGCAACAAACACTGGGCACCTCCACAATCCTAACAACAAGACAAAGAAGACACTACTTCAGTATTGATTAGCGGGATCAGCTTTCTTCGATACAGATACAATGGGTCTCCGAATATTCCATCTTAGGCAGCTTGATTCTCAGCGAGACCCACGCATATTGTGCATAACCAAGGCTTGATGAGTCGAGCAGACGAGAGTCGGCCAAGGCAACATAGGATCAGTCTTCTTGAAAATAGCCAAACCTTCTCTCGTTTTCTCTTTCATTTTCTTCCTTCCTTCCTTTCCTTTCTGGACAAAATTATGGATGACTCCGTTGGCCGCAAGAGACAGTCGTGCTTACCCCACATGTATCCCTACAGTACAGCCAGTTAGTGTATTTGTTCACCCGCGTTATTTCATCTGTAGTGTCGCGGCTTCACTTTTTTAAATGCCCGGTTCAAACACCTTTTCACAACAAAATCAACTGAAACTTTGGCACAGTACAGGCACAGCTGCCCACAGAAGCGATCTCGGACCAAGTTCATTCGTAACTCTTGCCCAGGTGACATGGGCAGCCAGAACCATTGGACGCCACGCCTTGGCATGCAGTTCAGCTGCTCAAAGTCTCGGAGGCCGCTTGACTCTTTTCTAATAATAAGCACATAGATAAGAGAGCAACGTCTGTTGTAGGACTCTCCTTCTTGGGACCTGAAAGCCTAGTCTTATTTGCGGTAAATAGGTCTGATTTTGATAAGTAAGTAAAAGAAGAAGAAGAACAAGAGAGGGGGGAGAAATGTCTCTCTGTCAGTACTGTTCACGTCTCGCCTCGGACTGGCTGATCCCTGATATCTACGACCAGCGAGGCGATGAGAAGCCCAGAGGCAAGGATGACCTGCCCCAGCACAGATGGACGCACTCATCATGGGCCGACCTGCTCGACGCCGCGCGGACGTGCGCCATGTGCCATCTCATCGCTCGGGAATCCAAGCACACGCCCGATGATCCGTTCTGGAAGCCCGATCGGAAAGGGGTCCGGATCCAGGCCTTTTCACTGACACGGCTGGAGGTTGTCTGTGCTGAGGAGCACCGGGTGACGAGACTCAGTTTCGGTTTCGACCAGGGTAAGTTAACGATGTATAACCAACCAGCCGTCTGCCCCCTTTGGGTATGCAAGAGCACGGACAGACAACCGATGCTGATCACACCTTCCGCCGTCTAGCTGAGGCAGAGAGGGCACCCAAGGATGCGCAGAAGATCCTCCACGCACGGCTGCCTGGTAAATACGCCGGAGGTCTACAGGCTGTGAATGCAATGAATCGCTGGATCTCGGTCTGCCGTTCGGAACATGGGAAATGCTCTGCCTGGTCCTCTTCCCACGAGGGCGAGCGCCACATGCCGGCCCGAGTTCTAGACGTCGCTAATGATGCTATCCGCTTGTATCTGCCCGAGGACTCAGCCCGGGATGAGTACATCGCCCTCAGCTACTGCTGGGGAAGCGGAAACCCCTACAAAACAACCACATCCAATATAGAGGAGCATTTGAAAGAAATTTCCATCTCGGCGCTCCCTCTTTCTCTCCAGGATGTAGTCCGGTTGACGCGGAAGGTCGGATTCAGGTACCTCTGGATTGACGCCTTATGTATCATTCAAGACGACTATGACGATTGGCTCCGAGAGGCGTCCAAGATGAAGGCGGTATACAGCCAGGCATTCCTCACCATATCGACGGATATGCTCGCAGATACGACCGCCCTATTTCTGGACGTACACCGGTCGGCTAGACATGAGCTGAGGGTCAAGCTGCCGTGGGTCCGCCCTGGCGACAATGCTGGAGGTAGCCAGACGGACCAAGAAATCCAGGCCAAGACCCAGGAAGACAACACTGATCCTGAGAAAGACAGCAACCTCCAGCTTCTCAGTAATCTTGAGCGTATGTGCCGGCCTTCCTCGAGCGAAGAGCCAGAAAACATCTACGTGGTCCCGACGTTTCGCACCTTCGGAGACCAGATCAAGATGAGCCCCCTCGCCAAACGAGGCTGGACCTTTCAAGAGCGGGCATTGAGCTCAAGAATCCTCCACATCGGGCAGGAGTCCAATTACTGGGAGTGCAAAGAGGCGTGTAACGGCGAAGACATGTCCATAGGACAATATAGCCTACAAGACAAGTTCTTCAACCTCAAAGATATGATGCTTCACGAGGGAAGTGAGGGAGGAGAAGCAATCACTGCTATGAAACTGCATGCCAAATGGGCGTGGGTGATCGAGGAGTTCACGCATCGCGCCTTGACAAAACAACTCGACCTGTTTCCGGCTTTAGAGGGCGTGACGAGCCTTTTCGCGGACAAATACACGCTGGGGAGATACCATCACGGCCTCTGGGAAGATGAGTTTCTTCGGGGCCTTCTCTGGCACTGCAGCCGCACCAATGCCTCGTCGAAACACAACCGATGTCAGTTCTACCGCGCTCCGACTTGGTCATGGGCCTCGATCTGTGGGCCTATCAAGAACCGTTCCCTCGAGACAGCTTTCATCAGAACGCCTGACGGTGGCATACGAAGTAAGCCTGTTTCCCCGCCCCCCCCCCCCCCCCCCCAGGCGCCCGAGTCTCCGAGCATACTGCAGATCTGGGACATACTCACTGACTCGGGCTGTGCAACCAAGTGCTTGACGAACTGGGAGATGACGGTAAGATGGGCGGCACTGGCAGGCTGACGCACAAGTTGCTGGTACTACATGCTATCAAAAGCGGACACACAGAGAGTGATTCCAGCGGCGTCCTGAAGAGGGGCAGCGCGACTTTCACAGCGACGGCTTTGTTGACACCTGTGAAGAGAGTGCAAATCGACAAAGTGGGCTGTAGCTTTTACGCGATCACATCAAGTTCTGGAGACGGTATTGGAATTGCTAATTGGGATGACGATGACGATCAGCCGACGGGGGCTGACCCTGGCTTTTGGTTGTGCCCGGTATACCAACTCAGACAAATGACGGATGGATGGGCCATGAGTGATTGTTTGATCCTCCGGAAAGCAGACAGTCTGCCTGAGGGAACCTTTGAGAGGGTTGCATGGGCGAGAGTGCGCAATAGCTTCGTTGAGGGAACTGTGAAGAAGAAGATTGCTGTGGTTTAAAGAATGCTTTGTCAAAACCGCTGGTGAGCTGGCAAAGCTGATTTTTGTCTCAGACTGTTCTTTCTTTTCTCTTCTTGGAGGGATGGCTTGAGAGAGATCTGAGTGTAAAAGAAGTGTCAAGAAGTTTCGAAGAATACTCTGAACAACCGACGGGGTTATCTTGCCCCTTTTGTTGCCTGACTTACTCCCATCATCCATACGGTGTTAAACGGCGGGGGCTCGGGCCAAGTGCCCAAAGACATCGTCGCACTTGAAGCAACAGTACAAATGATTCCACATTGCCAATCAAGAGGGTCTGGCCACGGTACGGTCTGTACGCAGTCGGACAAGTTCCTTCACGGGAAGCGGCACCTGCATTGAGTACAAACCAGCGAGACCTTGACGTCAACGCCTTGGATGGTGACGATCGTCGAGGCCATCTACACCAGTTGTTGCCCATCATGGTCCCGATCTGAGCCACCCAAATAATTGGTCTCTTGCTTCTGTCTCTGATAATCAACCACCATTGGCATGAAGGTCCCGTGATGCTGCAAGACCTGTCGATCCGATTTTCGGAGCTGTAAAAAACAAATAGCTGTGCGTAAGCTCTTTTATCGTTGATTCAGATTTCCTTATTATGAGTTGTCGCAGAGGGGAACCAGGAATCCAATGGTTGAGAATTGGTTTTAGATCTGTCGGCATTTTCTCGCGAATGGAAGGCATGACGTCTGAGTTTAGCGCATCGATAAGATCCAATGCGATAAGCCCCTGGGCTGCTGGTTGGTGGCGGTGGACTCCTTCCTGGGATGGCCTATTTGCTGTACCAGCGGAGGAGGCGAGCGGGTATTGATGGTAAGCACCACAGTAAACTTGGAAGAGGACCAAAGTTTCTGGAAAATTACTGTCTTTCTTTTTGTGTTCTCCAAAGAGGGGCAGGAAAAGAATAAAGATCGCTAGGCTTGTCACCAGCACCATCAGACTCCAAGAATCCACCAGTCAATTGGTGCCCAAAGCCTACCTGTGAATTTAGGTAGTTTAGATTATGTAGTACCTTGGCTGTAGGGCCTTTATTGGAGACAGCCCATAGTCCCACAGAAACGGAAATGGGTGGGGTCCCTGCAACCCAAGCCTTAGCAAACAAGCAAGCAAAAGCAAGCAAGCAAGACAGCTGGAAGCACCCACTGCCCGCCTTGCTGCTGAAGAGGGGTCACTAAGTGTGTGCTCGGGTGACCTTATTGGAATCTGAAAGACAACCTCAACGCTCTCCTACACACCTCCTCAACCTTCCGCCCTTCCAAGCATCTCTCTCAAGCAATCCAAGCATTCGATCAATCCGTCAAGACATCAGGAGTACTCTGCAGACCCATTCCGTTTTCCCAAGCTATCTCTCAGGTCCTGCGGCCTACGCCTCCCACACTCCTCCATTGGAAACCAGTCGACACACTAAATCGACCAAACCAAGACTTGCCCACTATGAATCCTCACCAGAAGAACAAGATTGACGTGAGCGTAAGTTGGAATACTGCCCCCTCTCCCAGCTGCTAACCGCCGTGCTGTCAATCTTTTTACCCTGTGTCATCACCTTCCTCTTCGCCAGACCAACTTCCCCATTCAAACCGCTGACGTCTTCTTCCCCCCCCCCCCCTCTTTCCTGCAGTCCCTCTCCCCCGAGGAGCAGCGTCTCTTTCGCCTCTACGGCAAGCTCCCCTCCCAGAAGGACCGCTTCATGAAGAACAAGCTGGGCGAGCGCAAGTACTTCGACAGCGGCGACTACGCGATGAACAAGGCGGGCAAGGGCGACGGCATGGAGACAGGCCACGTCGGCAGCGAGCACCCGGACCCAGAGAGCATCCGCCACGGCAGCGTCGTGTCGCCCGTAACCGCTGGCGCCGGCGGCGCCTCCCCTGTTGTCCCCACCCTCACCAAGAGCGGCAGTGTCTCTGGTCCCAGCACCGCCGGCTTCATCCCCGTGGGCAGCCCCGCTAAGGAGAGCGGCCTGCAGAGGGAGACGAGTGTCGAGGACACCGAGGACGCGGCGGGCGAGAATAAGGAAAACAATGCTGCAGCTGGCGGAGACGGCGCTGCGCAGCAGGGGATCCCCATCCGGTCATGAGCTGGAGGTACCCGTCAGCTTGGCAAAGCCCCAGGCTGCGTCCCTCCCCTTATTGGGTTCTGTTTGCGCTTCGTCTTTGGAGTGGGAAGGCTTGTCTTTTTGGAGATGGGGATTCGCCTCGGGCCACATGTGTGAGGTGATCGTTTCGGGTTGAGAAGCAACGAGAAAGAAACAAAAGCGATATATCATGCGGGTAGGCGTTTGGAGGATAGGGCAGGGAGCAAGTGGTCGTCGGGTTGGACTGGTTCTCCTGCGGATAAGTCGCATGTTGCATTCGTTACAGCATTTCTTTTTTTGCCTCTTGTTGTCTTCAATTCATCTGTTCTTTCTACTTTCAACCGTCACTGGCGAGGATCATCCCAAAGGAGGAAACTTCCCAGTGGACAAAGTCTTTTCAAGAAATGGCCTCTAGTGTCGCTGGGCGGACCGGAGAAGCAACTTGATCGTGACCTTTCTCTTCGTGGGCACTTGCTGGTACACGTCCCTTTGACTGAGGAATGTAGGCCCCCCAGAATCGTGGCGGGGATGGCTTTTAACTTGAGGCGCAATTCGAGGGCTTGTTTTTATTTTTACTTTTTTATGTACGCAAAGTATCGTGAATCAGAAATGTCTTGCCATTGCTAAAATTCCAGCAGACCATGTATCCTTTTATGAGTGCCGCCTGCCTCAGAACAGCCATACTTTTGTTGGGTGAAGGCAATAACGTATCCCTAGTCAAACGCCGGAAGAAGAACCATGCTGGTATCTATTCATCCACTCGGTGGTGGCGGCCCGTAAAACCCCTTTTAACTCAAATGTCCAGCGCCTTCAACGCGAGCTCGAGGGCGCCATCAAAGGTCTTGTTCCCACCGATGAACCCAGCCGCATGAACAAAAACGCAGCCTGGAACGCCAGACACCTTGTCAAGCTCCTCATCCCTGACGCCCCTCCACTCCTTGGGCAGCGCCTTGCGGCTCTCAAAGGAGTCCTTGGTGACAGGTACGGTCTGCACCCTCCACTTTGCGCCTGGAGTCGGCTTCTCGGGGTACAGCACGTAGAGAACCCTTCCGGCCTCCTTGGCCTCCTCCTCCAGCATATAGAGGTGGTCCTTCCAGGGGCACGACTGACCCGACAGCACCATGATTCGGCCCTGTGGGTCGTACTGGCCCCTCTCGCCAAAGGCCTTCTCTACCAGAGAGCGCGCGGGCAGCCAGCTCGTGACGTAGTAGTCCAGGTCCCGGTCAAACTCCTCGCCTATGCGCTGGCTGGCAACCTCAAACTTCTGATCCTCAAGTGCCTGCGCCTCCACGGGGTCGCTCGGCGTGGGATCGTTCCAATTGGGGTTCAGCCTGCTCACCATCGCACCCAGGGTGAACCCGCCGTCCGAGAACTTCTTCTTCAGACCGGCGGCCTCCACGCCCTGCGGGTCGTATACGCTGATGCCGTTGTCGTTGGCGTCGACGGCCTCCACAAAGCTCTCGTAGATCTTCTTGTACAGCAGCTCCACGGTGCTGAAGTCGCTGTCCGTACCCTCGCTCGCAGCGCCGCGCCTGCTGGTAATGATCTCCTTCCCGAAGTGCATGTAGGCCAGTCCCGCGGAGCTCAGCTTCGTGTCACGGCCGGGGAAGGTGGTCGTGAAGCCACGCTGGTGGTGGTCGAACCGGTTGCGGGCGGCGTCGTACTCGCCGCCGACGTCGAGCACGGTGTCGCAGGTCGCTAGCACGGCTGGGTCGCGGGTACGGATGAGCTGGGCGCCTTGGTACCGCGGGACGTGTGTCCGCAGCATGTACACGGCGAGGGCCTCGTCGGCATGGAAGTGGCCGTTGTGGGTGCCGATCGTCACGGCGGAGGTCGCGTCTGTCTTGAGACGCTTAGCTGCTGATTCTGCCATCTTGTAGAGCGGCAGGTTGCAACGGAGCATGGAACGAAACGAAGCTCTTGGGGTAAGGTGATGATCTTGCTGCTTGTCCTGCAAGAAATTGGTTTCAAGAAAATAATGTAGCAAGAAGTAGGGCAGAACAGAACTCTCCTTCACTCAGGTGGACAATCAAAAATTGGAATGTTGCCCATTGGCCCCGCGGGAGAGGTCAAGACAGCACTGTGGGGACCTTCCCAAGGTGGTGGTGGAGCTTCCATAGCCCACCTCCAGTGCTGTCCATTTTCTCACAGGGCCCCCTGGCTGGAGCTTGGACCACCTCAGGGCAGGCAGGGAAGTCACAGGGGTGCCTTGTGAGTACTATGTACCCGTGTACTATGTACTATGGCAATTTATGGCAAAGGCTGAATGAGGTCTTTGCAGTGGCAGGCCTAGCCCGGCTGGGCTGTCTGCGATGCTGATGCACGAAGGGCCCAGAAACGCGACGCCAACCTCTTTCCCCTTGCCGCGGATTTCCTTTCCAGCTTCCCATTGTGTAGGCTCTACCCAAGCCCAAACACCCGCCATCCATTCCTCCCTTTAGCTGGCCCATCATTCTGCCACGGAACTCGTATTCCTGAAGCATCCCCCAACATCGGCCCATTCATCAATTCAGCACATCCTACACGTAATCTGCAGCTGCATTCTCTTTCTCGGACCAGCACTCTCCTACAGCAACCCTTTCTAGACCGTAATGTCGTCCATTGCCAGGGACAGTCCCCTCAACGAGGACGCCGACCGAGTTGGCAACAAAGGCAAAAGTCGTCCGTCTATCGATGATGACCGAACTCGGAGCCCATCTGTCATTGATGATGAGGACCTGAAGCACGAGGATGGTGGTTCTGACATCCGCATGGGCGACGCGAGGCCAACCTACAAGTCGTGGAAGAAGAAGTACCGGAAGATGCGCATCAAGTTTGATCAACTGCAAGCACAGAACGAGGAGCTATATCAGCTGGAACAGAAGGCGCTGAGGAAGACAAAACAGCTCGCCAGCTATAATGAGTACGCTACGTCGGCTCCCGTCCCAGATGCCCTTCCTGCGCCGACTCTAAGAGAGAGAGGTGGTACTGACCCAATTCCCATCTTGTACAGCCGCATGCTGGATGTCCTCTTAGACATCAACAATCGCCCACAAATCCCAACAGAGAAGCGCTTCGACCTCAGCCTCCCTGTACCTCCAGACGCGGAGGATGACTACGTTCTGCCCATCGACACAGAGCCACCATCGGACCCTCGGCCGTCGAAGTCGCTTCGTGAGCTGGTGAAAGATATACCACACATGGATTTCACTGCTACGACGGAGCGATCACCTGACCTTGCGCAGGAGCTTATCACTGGCATCGACTCACCGGCCCTCGATGCCAATCATCAACAATACCCCCCGACGTTCCTAACCGCCGACGACATCGACAATTACCTGTGGGAGATTGATGTCAAGACCTCTGCCGACCCTGATGCGTACGGCGAGCTGCCCGGGATGCTGCCCACGCTGGCGCCGCTCGCGCGGGAACAGAACAGTGCGAGCAATGGCACAGGCAGAGGGGCAACACCGTCCTCAGCTGCGCCTTCCGCCAAGGATGCATCAGCTGCAGGTGCTAGCCGCGCCAGCATGTCGAGCCGGGACTTCGCCTTGCGCAATCCCACAAGTGTCTACAACTGGCTCAGGAAACACGCACCCAAGACGTTTCTGCAAGACCACGAGAGCGATGAGAAGAATGTGAAGACGGCAGAGAAGGCATCCCGCAAGGCACACCGGCTGGAGGAGGATCCCGACGAGGAGGAGGCTCGACCCACGCCCCGGAGGCAGACTGGTGGAAGCACCCGCAAACCGAGCGGTGAAGCGCGCGCAAGCACCGGAGCAGCGCGTGCTAATGCAAAGAGCGAACGGGGCTCTAAGCGATCCTCAGCTGCACACACCAAGGACAAGCGGAAGTCCGCGGACGAGACGATGCTCAACGTGGATGACGAGGCTGGCGCCAGCAAGGCAGCCGCTACGAGCAAGGGCAAACGGAAGCGGGCTGTGGAAGACGATACTGGGTACCGGCCTAAGGGAGGGTCTAGCCGGCGCCCGGCGAAGAAGCGGACCAAAAACAACTCCGTTGGCGGAGGTGCAGGCAGCGATGACAAGACTGCGGGTCCCACGCATGGTGAGACTGCAGCAACCAAGAAGAAGGAGGCCGCCAAGGAGGTGTCAGACGGGGCAAAAGCTGGGGCTGGGGCAGAGGACTGAGGCACCTTGAGAGCTTTTTGGCGCATGGTTTAATGGCGCATAGCTCCAGGAGTTAGATATCAGGTATCAGCAATCGATGAGGACGTCACCTGAACCGGTTATTTCCCCTGTAATTTTGCCTTTTTTTTTCTTTTCTTTCTTCTTCTTCTGGCTACCGGCAATTGAGTACACACACTGCCTCTCTGCCTTTGCGTGTTGTGTCGGTAGCATAATTCTACCAAACCGGGGCCTTGTCACACCAAACCCCCGCATTCCAGCATGCCCATCAGCTGATCTCACCTCTGAAGTCGTCCTTTTAATTTATCTGGACTCTTGCTGGCTCTTCTCCTGAAGTTGTCCCTTTCTGTCCGGATTCGAAAGACATACGTAACTGTGTTCTTATATACTGTATATACATGTGGGTATATATAGCCGATTGGACGAACTGAACAGGTAAGAAGAAAAAAGTACATTTCGTATACCCCCAGGACTGCACAGAACACACTCTATATATGCAACAGGTACAGGCATGGAATCAAGAATCAGCAAGCTAGCGCATCTATGAATATGGGATATGTAGGTAGATGATGTTCTTTCCTTCTAGATCAAGTTCTACTTTGCGTTCGTCTTTTCTTTGTCTTTCACTTTCTCATCTAGTGTCTCTCCCGTCTCTTCTCGTCTTTCAGCAATCACATCTTTGCGGCCTGCGGTACCACCAAAGTCAAGGAGCAAGACAAAAGAAGAAGCAGAAAAGCAAGGCAAGAATGGCCAGACATGGATAGTCGAGGAGGGTGTCAGGAGATTCCTTCCATCCCCCACCGAAGCACGCACAAGTCAAAGCAGACAGGGCATGGTGCACGCCTGCCCATAATTGACGACCGCAGAGGCAAGAAAAGACGTGCCGCTTGTTGAATACATGAGGAGCTTCACACCCCGAGCCTCCCAACTCCTTCCCAAGTACACATCCTTCTCATTTCTCTCATCTTTCTCTCTCTCTCTCTCTCTCTCTCATACACGCGCGCATTCTCTATATACACATCCTCCGGCTCAGTCCCATGGATGGGATGGCGGACTTTACAACTTCTCCTTCAGCAGTCCCTTCATCTTTCTCTCGACGGCATCCAGGTACTCGGTGGTGGTGACATAGGGCTGGTCCTTGCCGCACGCGAGGGCCAGATCCTTGGTCATGATGCCGTCCTGGTCGACAGTGTCGATACAGGCCTTCTCGAGGCTCTCGGCAAAGGCGACCAGCTCGGGGGTGTCGTCGAGCTGGCCTCGCTTGGCCAGGCCGCGGGTCCAGGCGAAGATGGAGGCGATGGGGTTGGTGGAGGTGGGGTTGCCCTTCTGGTGCTCGCGGTAGTGGCGGGTGACGGTACCGTGGGCGGCCTCGGACTCAAAGGTCTTGCCGTCCGGGGTGATGAGGACCGAGGTCATGAGGCCAAGGGAGCCGAAACCCTGGGCGACGATGTCGGACTGGACGTCGCCGTCGTAGTCTAAGTGGATGGAAAGATTGTCAGTCTATCTAGAATTCCTCTCTTGTCTCACGAATTTTTTTCTTCTTCTTTTTCCTTCCTGTCTCTCTCATATCACCTAGAAAAAATGGGGGGCCGGAGAGAATTCTACTCACTCTTGAGGGCCATGACATAGCCGCCCTTGCTCTTCATCATCTGAGCGACCATGTCGTCGATCAGGCGGTGCTCGTACCAGGTGCCCAGCTTCTCGAACTCCTTCTTGTACTGGGTGTCGTACAGCTCCTGGAAGATGTCCTTGAAGCGGCCGTCGTACTTCTTAAGGATGGTGTTCTTAGTGCTCATGTACAGGGGCAGGCCGCGGTCGAGGGCCATCTTGAAGCTGGCGTGGGCGAAGCCTGTGATGCTCTCGTCGGTGTTGTACTGGGTCTGGGCGACACCGCCACCGCTCTTGAAGTCATAGACCTCGATCTCCTCTGGCTTGCCGCCCTCAGGGGTGTAGACCATAGAGAGCTTGCCGGGGCCGGGAATGACGCGGTCCTTGGCGCGGTACTGGTCGCCAAAGGCGTGACGACCGATGATGATGGGCTCGACCCAGCCGGGTACCAGGCGGGGAATGCGGGGCACGATGATGGCCTCGCGGAAAACGGTACCGCCGAGAATGTTACGGATGGTGCCGTTGGGGGAGAGCCACACTGTTTTTTGGGGGGTGCCGTTGTTAGCAAGCCATGCGCCACCTTATTTTGTGTGTGTGTGTGTGTGTGTGTGTGTGTGCGTGTAGACCACCACTCACTCTTCTTCAGCTTAAACTCCTCCACGCGAGCCTCATCAGGGGTGATGGTGGCACACTTGACGCCCACGCTATACTTCTGGATAGCCTCAGCAGCGTCGACGGTGACCTTGTCGTCGGTCTTGTCACGGTACTCGAGCCCCAGGTCGTAGTACTTGAGGTCGATGTCGAGGTAAGGGTGGATGAACTTCTTCTTGATGTCCTCCCAGATGATGCGGGTCATCTCGTCGCCGTCGAGCTCGACGACGGGGTTCTTGACCTTGATCTTCTTGACGGTCGCCATGGTGCGGACAAAGGCTGCGGCGCGCAGTGCCTGTGGTGCTGCTGCTGCTGCTCGTTGTGAGAGAGCCGGTCGGAGGGCGGGCGTGGGACGGCAGAGAGGGCGGGCACTGAGGGCTGCTGTGCGACGCAGGGTCGAGGCTGCGGAGGCGTGCATGATGGGCTGTCTCGTGCCGAGGTCGAGGGAAGAGAGGGGCTGCTGGCCTATAGGGCACTATACTACGATCTGCTGCAGGGACGAATGGCGCACGCTGTTGGCTTGGGTGTGGCGCGTTACGACAACAAGCAGCTCCTCGGTGTGATGGCCTCGAGTAGGAATGTGAAGCCGCAGAGGACAAGGAGGGAGGTGCGAGATATGCAGGCTGGTCTGGAGGAGAGGAACCTTGCTTCCTTTGTCTTCCTTTTTTTTCTTTCTTTCAAATCCCTTCTGAGCACCGTCTTGTCTTTTTCCCTTTCCTGGTTGAGCAGCAATGGGAGAAAAAGAGCAGCGGTTCCGTTTCCAAAAAGGTTGCGCAGGGCCAAAGATTCGGTCGGCGTTACGACCGGCCAAAAATGTGGAGCCGAGGCGTGCTCCAAGAGCTCCTGTGGATACCAGCCGACTCCGAGTCCGGAAGTTTTGTGCCGCTGAACGGAGAGGAATTGATGTTATGTGTGAGTCTTTGCGGTTGAGCGTTTGACTCAGAAATTACAGAGAGGGGCAGAGAGTTGTTGAAGGAGGAGGAAGGAAGAGAGAAGAAGATTTTGGGATGGAAACTTGCAAAACGAAGGAGTTTCTGCGTGACCTTTTCTCTTCTCCTCACCACGTCGGACGATGGATGGCGTGGATGGGTGCGGTTACAGGCGGACAGATGGAACCAGGACCACCTGAGACCTGCCCTTGGAAACGGTTTCAATATTTTATTTTGGAGAAGGCACATGCACTTTGGGAGGCTTGCAGCTCGGTACAAGATACGCCGCTGCGCATAGATCCCATGTGCGGAATTGTATGTACCCTGTACTGTACAGGGGGTTAGAGGGTTACTGTAAGTGCATACTATGGCACTGTAGGACATGTCCTGTGGCATCATAGTACACCCACGCAATCTCCTACTATTTCAAGGATCTGTGATAGTTGCTGCCATGTTTTTTCTACTCTCCACCTTGTTCTGCCTCTTCTCATCTTCCTCTCCTTTCCATGCTTGCCTGTTTCCAACCAAAATATCATGTCTTCTTTAGTACGGTAGGTCGAGAGTACAGGGTTCTGATTTACGTATCCTGCAAATGCCACAGCATGTAGGCACTGTAGATAGTAATACGTAGTGAGTGGTAAATGTAGTACAGGATGTGTTTTATTACTGTGTATGGTACCACTTGACCTTCCCCGCACTTGCACTAGAACCCTGAAAAAGGCGGGGAGGGGGGGCCACGGACCCCGGCAGAGGGAAGTTTACAACAAGCCTGAACAGGGGGTCTTGAGCTAAAACCTTCAGCAGGATTCCAGGCCACCAATAAGCTAGTATTATTCAAGTCTCTCTCTTTTGGCAACCCTCATCAACTTGTCCAGATACTCAACCTCCCAACAACCTCACGCGTGGTCGATAGGAGAGGGCCCAACCCCGATGTCTATCGTGTATACATACAGCGGCTTCACGATCCAGCTCACACCCCCAGGGCTGAAGGGCGCGCCCCGGTTCAGCTGCGCCGCGGGCATCCACAGCAACCCCGCCGAGTCGATCCACATGGCGTCCACCCACAGCAGCCTGTCGTCCTGCACCAGCGTCGTCCTGGTCCCGTTGGCGTACACTTTCTCGATGGCCTGCCGGTCCACGTCGCTGACGTAGATGCTCCCCTCGGCGTCCACGGCTGTGCCTCCCGTGCCCGGCGTCAGCGCGAACGGCTCCACGTAGTCCGCCAGCGTCACCGCCAGCGATGAGTTCCACAGCGCCGCGTCGAGGAGCTGCGTCGGCACCCTGTGCATGCCCCCGCTCGCCGGCTGGAAGTGCAGCCACGCCCCGTCTGGCGACACCTCCAGCTGGTCCGCCGCGATGTATTCGGGCTGGCCCGTCTGTGCCGACCGGAGCAGCTGGCCCTCGCCAGACGGGGGCATCAACGCCGCTGTCGACGACGCCCCGTCCAGCATCCGTACTGCCCGCCCCGTCGCCAGGTCCAGCACCATCAGCGCCCCGACCCCGGCGTCTGTCAGGTACGCCGTCCCCGCCGCCGGGTGGAACCTGATGTCGTCCAGCAGGCTGTCGGTCATCGTCACGTTGCCCATCGGGTACACCCGCTGCACCTGGTTCGTCTGCAGGTCCACCACCACCAGCTTGGGACCCTCGGGCAGGAGCACCGGGCTGCCGAACCCAGGGCTGCCCGTGTCCACGAGCCAGAGATTGCCGTCGGGCCCGATCCGCTGCGAGTTGACCCGCATCAGCGTCGTTGCCGGGTCCGACGCCGACGACACCCCTGCGTACGAGTTCCACGCTGCATCTGGGTACGGCACGCCCGTGCCGTTGACCCACTCCACCACCTCCGGCTGCCCATCCGCCTGTGTGCCGTCCACCCGCGCGTACACCAGAAAGAGTCGTCCTGCTGGCGTTGTCGAGACGCCGTTGCAAGGTGTCTCGAGCGTCAGTGCCACCTGGACCCTAGGATCTATGGCTGCGCTCGCGAGCCGGACGATACCGAATGCCACTGCGAATCGATGTAGATGCATCTTGTCTTGATATGGATGCAGTTTCGTAGGTGAGAGAGCTTGTGAAGGAAAAAGAACAAGCTTTTTGTGTGTGTGTGTGTGTGTGTGGGTGTGTCTGTCCTGATCCTGCACAAGTCGTAAAGACTTACTACACTCAACTCCAAAGAAGACGACTAGCTGCCAGGAAACACCAAACAAATATCTCTCCAACCAAACCAGCACGCCATCCTATATATATATACACACATACAAAGTATATGAGCATGCTCCAACAACTGATGACATGGATTAGACCAAATGACGTCTGAGAAATTTCCCCTTCTCGATCCCAAAAAAGTTGGAGCTGGGCAATAACATGTGTTGCATCGCAGGATGGTGATGTTGTACTACAGTTGAACCTTCCTTCCCTTGATTTGTAATGGTGATGTTGTACTGCAGTTGCTTTTGCCCTTCTTTCGACTTGTAATTGGCACGGCAGGATCCTGCAGTAACTAGCTTTTTCCTCGGTTGGTGTCTGTTGTTTTTCCAGCCTTCGTCGTCCGTGCATAACCCCTCACCAAGCCCGGACTTCACATTGCACCCTCTCGAGTTCTTGGCCTGGGCCTTTTGTGAGTCGCATTGACTGCCCGTGATCGTCATGCTAGTTCCAGAACCAGCCGAGAAATTGTGTTCTCATGCATGCATGCACACACTGACCGACTTTTGGTTGCGTACCTTTGTTGAGCACGCCAGGTCGGGTTCATGGCTGTGGACGGAGGACGGTGGGGATGCTTTTAACTCCGGCCTGCGGTGAGCATCACAAAAGGACATGTGGACTGCCTTTTGGTTTTGAAGAATATCTCTTTGAGTTCACAGGGACTGAAATCGGGTGATTGGGGATTCACGCCCACGACCACATTCTCCGAATCTCCGCCAAGGGACAGTATTAATGTACAAGCAATGCCTCTAAAACCCCCCCCATGTCCAATATTAGAATAGATGCCATCAAAGAAAGAGAAAAGAGAACGGAACGTGAATCCGATACTTCCAGATCGACATCTACCTTTCGGAAAATGCAACCAGATTCAACGCCTCAACCATGTGACCAATGTACAGTAACCCACGCCACGAAGATGTCAATTGACAACCCATGCTGTCTAACATTTTCCTTGGCTCTTGATGCTTAGCCTCATACGCCTTTAAATACGCTGATCATCCTGCCTCGTAACGCCTCGTCCGCATATCGCAGAGTCGTGGAAAACGTATCGTACCAAACAAAGACGCCGTAATCATGAAGTGAATAGCAAGCAGAAAAGAATTAAGTGATGATGCAGTATAAGGCCGATCAAAAACAAATACAAGTGAAGTCAAAAAAAGAAGAAAGAAAAAGAAAGAAAAAAAAAGGAGAAGAAGAAGAAGAAGAAGAAGAAGAAGAAGAAAGAAGAAAAAGCAAACAAAAACAAAGTATAAAAGGTCGACTTCGTCGGCCATGTGACCACCTAAACTTGTAGGGGGGGAGAATGGAATATGTTCGGAAAGACAGTCATTGAAAGCCGACAACTGCAGAAGGCCAAGACCCATGGCACGAGGAATAATATAGCAGAAATCTGAAGCAGATTGAAAAGAGAAAGAAAAAAAGTAAAGAAGTAAAATACACCTCGCGAAAACGATGGTTTGATGCCACAGCCTCGATCAAGGGCGACTTGTTTCCTCCATCCCGATCGAGGAAGTGCAGTCAGGCCATCCAGCGGTGAGGAAATGATAAAGTGCCAAATAGACAAGATGCGTGCGGGCGATGATGTGCCCCCGATGGAGAAAGTTCGTAATTGAGTAACCTCACTTCAGTTAGTGTCTGAGGCTAAGGGTGCCCATTTGGCTTGTGTGGCGCCTGACTGGTTTGAATCTTGGGGGGCGGCAGCGGCGGCGGTGGTGGTGCGATCGGCGCGGAGTTTCATTTCGAGGTTTTCGTTAGGTTCGGGCTGCGATCGGCGCGGAAGTTCCATCTCGAGGTCTTCGTCAGGTTCGGGCTGCGATCCATCGAGGCTCCGGCCCGCGCGCTGCGACGTAAACTGGGTGGAAGCCCCGGTAAGACAGACTACAGGCACGTTGGAGCCGACACTGCACGGCACTACTACCAGTGGGATCTCGCGGGAGAACTTGGACCAAAAAGCCTGCGCCTCTCGTTCTGGATCTCCGGGTCCAATTCGGTACCGCAATTGCAAACGTACTTCGGACTGCCTTCTAAGAGCCAGTTTCTCTTCAGGCACCTGACGCAGCGCCACCACGTTCTTTTCAATTGCTTTTCTGTCGCCCAGTCTGGATCATCCTTGGCGCTGCGCTTTGGCAGAGCTTCCAGGTGAAAATCGCGAAGGTGGGCCTTGTAATGGTCCTTGCGTGTGAAAGGGATCACCTGGTCCTCGTCCCTGGCGGAAGGCGACTGGCGGGTTTTGGAGCGCCGGCAGCTCTTGTAGTCACAATAATATTGTTTGAGTTGGGATTTTGGGGCGTGCACGTGCCTGTAATGCCGAACAAGGTCCGCGTGTCTTGAGAAGGGTTCGGCTTCGCAGCCTTGATTCAAGCATTGGTATTGATCCTTACAGCTAGCCAAGCTCGTCAGCCTTTCATTGTATCCACTATTTTGGTATGGCCTAGGAAATAGATACTGGAACGGCAAGCCGCAAAGAGCAATCTTCGAGACAAGGAATCTAAAACTTACTTGGCTTGCGCGACGGGCGACAGCGAGTCGGCCACCACATTGGGGGGATGCGGAGGCTGACCTGCATAAAGGAGGGCGCTCTCCTGTATGAGGTTGAATATTTTATAACAGGCCAGATCCCCGGGCGACAGCGAGTCGGCCACCACATTGGGGGGATGCAGAGGCTGGCTTGTATACGGGAGAGCGCTCTTCTGTATGAGTATGAATATTTCATAACAGGCCAGATCTCCGGGCGATAGCGAATCAGCCACCATGTTGGGGGGATGCGGAGGCTGGCCTGTATATGAGAGGGCGCTCTTCTGTATGAGGTTGAATATTTTATAACAGGCTAGATCCCCGGGCAACAGCCAGTCGGCTATCACATTGGGGGGATACAGAAATTGGTCTGTATACGGGAGAGCGCTCTTCTGTATGAGATTGAATATTTCATAACAGGCCAGATCTTCGGGCGATGGCCAGTCAGCCATCACGTTGGGGGGATGCAGAGGCTGGCCTGCATACAGGAGGGCGCTCTTCTGTATGAGGTAGAATATTTTATGACAGGCCAGATCTTCGGGTGATGGCGAGTCGGCTACCACTTGGGGGGGATGCGGAGGCTGGCGTATATCCAGGGTCGCGCTCTTCTGTGTGAGGTCGAATATCTGACTTTGGTCGTAGATAGCTGCCGTTGAGTGACTGTGGCTGTTGTGACCAGCATCAAAATTGTCCTGGCTGCTGCCGGCCAGAGGAGACGAAGCGGGGTCATAGCCGTGGATGGAACCCGAAGTACACGAGCTGCCACTCTGCATGGCTTGTCCCCCCTCGTAGCCGGTGCAGTAGGAATCGTTGGAATAGGTCGAGCTGGTGGTCCGCTCCAACGATGGTGTGCTGGAACTTTCATGACAGGCCAGATCCTCGGGGTCGAAGCGTGGCTGTTTCAAAGCCTGCCGGTCGACCTTGCGGTGATGTTGACATTTGTCCATGTTAATGCGGAAAATGTAGACAGCCGGAGATCACAAGAGGAGAAGAATATATGCAGTACAGGTTGAACGGAGAGGGCGAAGCGATGTAGGGACCTCACAACGATTTAGTAAGAGAGGAGCATGGTGAGCTCATGTTCGGAGGGAGGGGAGTATGCTGGATTTTGGGCTGCTGGTTGGATTCATTCATCTGAATCACCGTCAGGACGTCTTCATCTCCACACAAATACATGTGTGAAGGTCGAGCCAGCGCACCACAGCGATAATCGCAGAACCTCTTCAAAGGCCGGACGAATCTGACCGCGGCAAGGCTTGAGATCCGACACTTTGGGCGGGTGAGGCGTGCGAGGACAGTAGTGAGAGATTTGAGACGACGATGGATATGTGGTTTATTGGCCAATATCTCTCAAGTGTTTGCTCTTGTGGTCATGAATTTATTTGCCGTCTATAGGTAGTCCTGGAGGTGAGGCATAAAACATGCAGCTCTATATGGATATCGACGATCCCATGTCCCCCCAGGCCATAATATGAGACGGAAGCACGCCTGGGGGGAAAGAGGGTGCCATGTGTCGAACATGGATGTGAGCCGGAACGAAGGCTCGGGCTGCAGGTAGAATCCCCTGCTCAGTTCGGTCCTACATATTAGGCATCCAACGCCAACCTCAGCAATACTCAACAGCACGATGCAGATATGCAACAAAAGGACAGAGCCTGATAGAGTTGCGGTTCGGGTCAAGTGGAGAAAGTCAACAAGGGGTCCCAGTTGTCCGCGCTCTTGCATATGGACAGACCAAGATTCGGTGAGTCAGGTCTTCACCCGTGTCTAGAACAGAACAGGGGGCAGTGTAGAAGGGGACCGAGGGAGCAGGAAGGGAGGAGGAGAGGAGAGAAAGGTGGGGGGCGCATTGGATGGCGAGGGGAGGAGAAAGTGCAAAAACAATATGTGGGAACAGGGCTATGCCAACGAACCATCTGCAAACGCCAAAGAAAAGCAGACGAGAATGACAAGCTAGCCATAGCTCGCCTGTAGGCAAGCTGTTTGATGAGGCCGTGCTATCGTGCATATTCCACCCTCATCGATAGGGCTGACAAGCGAAACTGTCCGAGGTCAAATGGATTCATGCCACAATGTGGGACACTATGGCCCTGGACAGTCAGGATCATAGGAGGCATACGGAAGAATGGTGGTGTGCGAGGGTTGCTGTGCGACCCAGATTGGGGCGAGCCAGCTTGGTCATGGCAGAAAAAGTGCATGCGATATTGAGGCGCCGATGTTGAACATGCGCATGTTTGTTTGCGTGGCGCCAGGGCATTTGGGATGAGACAAGGGAATAACCGCTTGGTTATGCGTCTAGCACGCTTGGCTCGACGTCGACGAGGCTGTTCCGGAATGAGATGCGCCATTTTGTTTGCTGGTGCTGGTGCTTCGAGGGTCAGGGAAGAAGGAGGGAGGCTCAGTCACTGCATTGGTCTCGTTGTGTGACTCAGAGGATCGATGAACGCAGGTGATTGTCGCAGAAGAAGAAAAAGAGACGATTGGCGGCGATTGAAGTCTGCATCGCAGGAACGGGGTGCCGATCAGTCCTCCTCAACGAGGTGAGATGCATCTGCAGCCTTAAAGCTGGGATGTAATGGACGAAGGTTGAAAGAATAAACGCATGTCGTAAGGGACCGCTGGATATCGAATTAGCCGTATGCTTGTCATTGGTCGGGTGGAGAACCCAGTGTGAATTGTCAAGTCGAGGCGGTGCATTCAGCCTGGACGCCATAAAGTAAGTGTCATGGGAGTACCTAGCACGCTACAACGTACTTGCCGTTTGTATGTAAAGTATGCGTACTGCGACTGGGAAAGAAGTTGCTCGGTGCAGGCCGCCCGGTCCACTGCGTAGTGCGCCCCAATAGTTCGCCGAAGACGCCTCGTGGAAGAGCAGGGTTGTGTGTTTGCCTGATAATTAATTGAACCGGGGCAGTGCTGCAGCAAGGCTTCTCTTCGTGGATTTGCATCTTTACCGAGGTGGGTTATGGTCAGCAGTGCAAGCCGGCTAGGACTCCGTCTCCCTCCGATTCGACGTTCATTCGTCATCATCATCATCATCATCTGCGCCGCGTAGTAAATTCCCTCGTTGTTCGCCGGGGACTGAACGCACACAAGACCTGACCTCGTGAGCCCTGCCGCAGAATGCATATTTCCCTCAAGCTTGGCCCAAAACATTGATTTTCATGCCAGCTCTCAGGCTTCGACCGAGAGGAGTCTCCATGTTCGGTCGACCTGGCCGCGGGGCTTGCGCGCCTGGTGCCGCATCGTATCGGATAGGGAGATGGCCTGCATCAAAGGCGTCGCACTCTTTGCAAACCCCCACCACCCAACACCTCTTCGGCAACGGCTAGACAACCTTGATGCGGGCTGGACCGGGGACCCGTTCTGGCGACCGAACTGGCGATTGACCCCAATAATCTGCAGAAGCGATATTAGCAACGTTGTAATGCCACAGAGGCTGACGTCTGACATGGCTCGGCTTACCAGGTATATACACTTGCGTACATATAGGTGTATAGCGGTTGAGGCGCTAAATAATACTAGCGTTGTTTAGCAGGCTGTGTGAGAGAACAGAGCATTCAGCCCAAGCCACGCAGGCAAGTCTGGAGGGGGGTCGATCAGTCAATCTTGCGCAGCACACACAGCACGTCACTCCCCACTGCGGCTCAAAGTCAGTCAATTATTTCACTCGCTAACCTATTCTTACCCTTGACCATAGCATATAGCTAGGAAGCCTTGCAACGGCAGATCGGCGCTCCAACGTTGGAGACAACAACAACAGTACCCGAACATCAGACCTCTCTGGCAATCGCTGCACGTCATCTCAGGCGTCGAGGCAGGGCCCGTCGGACCAAAATGCTGTAAGACAGCAGCTGACACAGCCACAATTGCCGCATCTTGTGTGAGAACAAGAAGAGAAAAAATAGCAATAACAACAACGTCAACGTTAATAATAATGAGGCACATAAGGCAGGAACGACGGGACTTGTGCGATTCTGCATGTATACAAGAAAAGGCAACCAGACGCCTAATATACCACCAATCTCCTTCATGCCCAACCCTTCGGGCAGCCATGCATACTGTCATCCTCTCGGGTGCTGTACCTTAGCTATAAGCATACCTCAGGGCTGCCGCGGAGGCATTAACCTCGTGGGCATACATCTGACCATAGCATTTGGAAAGGGCGAACAAGCTATAGACACCCATGTCGTGCGCCGTTGAGACTGTTCACCACCGAGAGGCAGTTCCTTAATACACTCACTAGTACATAGCGCATCCTTATCCAGCAAGCCACAGAAATTACCGTGACCATTGGCTACGAAGCTTTCCCCTATCTGCAATCTCACCTCCGATTGCTGTGACCAGCCGAGATGGTTGCACACTTCGTGTCACCCTCTCAACGAGTGCGTGCTGCAATTCTCTGCCAAGAAATGGGGAAGGAGGGCAGCCCCACGGAGAAGACTTCTCGGCCCACCCGCCCCAAATAAGGAGGAGGAGGAAGAAGAAAAAGAAGAAGAAAGACCACAAGGTATGCAACATTCCTGGATGAATGGACATTTTCTCACAAATGGTAGGAGTACCTAATACAAGGTAGTGCATTCCACGTAAAGAATCCTATGGGTACTGTAAAAATGACCAAGGTATACGCCTTGGTACAGTCGACGTGTGACAGACGACGACCCCGTAGGACCTTCCCCCCCCCCCCCCCTTCTTCTTAAATAGTTATTGCGGAGGCAGTCATGCCACAGCACATACACACGGGCATTAATCCAACAAAGTGGCAATACAACATAAAAAGACGTTGAAAGGGCAGCGAAGGTATGACTCTCCCACTGCAGCATGTCACGGCTGCGGTAAGCAGTCGGAAGAGTATTGCCCTAGAGATGGCCTTATCGTGTCTGTATGATTATACGTATCGCATCGTGATCGTTTGTTGCCATTCCATCTCATCCCAAGAACCGTCCTCTTACACCTCATCCTCCAGAAATTTGTACGCGAACTTGAAGTCAGCCTTCCGACGATTCATCCTATAATGTACGTGAGTAATGGCGTCAAAGACAACGAATGTGTGCAGATCAAAAAGTAGACGGCAAGAAATTGTCAAAATATGGACTCACCAGGTTGACTCGTAGTCAAAGAAGCGGTAGGTGCCCTGCTCAAACTCCTCCGTGATGTTCTTCGGCTCCTCGTGTCTCTGGAACCAGGTCTGGTATTGCTTGTGGAAGCGCCATGCCTGGTCCTTCAGTGCCTTGGCTGACAGGTACTGTTGGTAAGACCCTTGCTTGTAGTAAAACGCGTAGAAGAGTGTGTCGTTCTCCACCTTTGAAGGCTGGTACAGGGCAGGATTGTCGACTAAGGGCAGGCTCTCCTTGGGCCAGGTCGCTGACGTATCCCACCAAGACTCAGGCTGCTGTATTCTGATGGGCTCAGAGTCACCGACATCAGGAGCGGTCTCTCTCGAAGCTGCCACCATTCTCTCTGTAGCCAAGTTCATCGGTGCCTTGACATTGGATTTGGTGGTCTCCCACGCTTCCACCAGGTCGTCAAGGGAGGAGGGGAGGTGGTATATTGACTCGTCTTCTTGTGAGTCCGCAGGTTTCACCCCATTTGTCACCCCATTTGTATGAGTGGCCTTTGCCGCCGCCGCCGCTGCTGTTGAGAGCTCGGCAACAGCAGGAGCTTTGCCTGCAGCGCGTGACGCCTTGACTCTTGCAGCATCTGGCTTGGGGGTGGACGACGCAGGGACCTGTGCACTCGTTGCAGCTGGCGCAGCTGGCGCAGCTGGCGGTGCTGGCCTCTGTTCTCCTGCTGGGGTGGGCGCGGCCGCTGCCATTTGGATTGAAGATATGCTGGGAGAGCTGGTCGAGCTCGCCTTAGACTGGCCCGCAGGGAAAGGAGTGACCCCAACTGCTGGGTGCGCGCTCGGCGGAGGTGGCAGAGGTGCTATGCCAACATTATTCTTGTCCGCGGCTGCAGCTGCCGCAGAGGCATATTTGAGTCCTTCGCCTGGAGGCCGGGTCGGCACTAACGCTGGTTTCATCATGGTTGGCGCGCTGGTGGCCGGTCCACTTCCGCCGGTCGGCAGTGTAGGCGTGTGGAGGGTCGCAAGCGTTGGCAGCGGTGACTTGAGCTGCGACGAGCTCTTGGGTTTCCCGGCACCACTCGCAGCATCTGCTGACGCCCTCTCCTTGCCCCGCGCTGCTGCTGCACTCGAAGATCGTCCGTCCACCTCGGGGGTGTCATCCTGTACCGACTGCGTGTCCTGGCTCGAGACCTTGTCGTTGTCCAGAACCATTCCGAATTGGTCCTCCTCCTCCTCGAGGTTCAGCTCGTCGTACATCGCGTCGTCTTCCACGTAGTCCATAGACTCGCCCTCCTGTACGTAGTATTGTATCGCATCCTTGATGTCGTTGACTTGGTCCGCATCCACGCCGCCATTCACGAGGGATCTCCGTATTAGCTCCAGCTTACCCTGGTGCCACTTGTGCTTCTCGATGGTGTCGTCAATCTCGCCCATTCGGCCCGCGTTGTCCTTGCTCTTCTTGCCCTTTTTTACTGACTGCAGGGCTTCGCGCTCGGCCTCGAGAGCCTCGATGCGCTGCTCCAGCTCATCGATCTGGGTGCCGAGGAAGTCACCAGCCTCGATCTTGGCCTTCTCCTTAGGATCTAAGGTGGCTGCAGCAGACAGCCCCTCCTTGGAAAATGCCTTGGTCTTCATCAGCTTTTCCACAGCCTTGAACTTCTCCATCCTTGACTCGATTAGTTTCCTCTGCTCCATCAGAGGACCCTTGTCCTTGATGTCATTGCTTGCTGCCCATGTCTTAATTTGATCTCGCAGTCTCTGAAGCTTCTTTATCTCCCTCTTGAGGCTGTCCTCAAGCTTCTCCTTCTGCGCCTGGCTGCTGGCCTGCTCGATCTTCTCATAGATCTCGTCAAACTCCTGAATGCCCTCAGTGACTTTCTTGAAGCACTTGTCAACTTCCTGCATCAATTTTCTGGCTGCCATTGTGAATAGGTGCCCTCGAGGGTCTAATCACGATGGTTCGGAGGTTCAAAGGTCCGATCGTGTGGTGGTAGATGGGGTGTTGTACGGGTCGAGGGGTGTGAACTGCGGCAGCCCAACAGCAACAGTGCTAGAGCAATCAATCAGTTGAGAGACTGGTTCAGTAGCCGTCTGCTGATGCAGCAACGACCAATGGTTTGAAGTTCAGCGTGTCCAGATGGGAGGGAATGTGGGACAGCTAACCTTGGGCCACAGACAGCATAAGCAACACGGATGTGGGTATTTGGCAGTTCAGTCTGAACAAACACAGCAGAAGTTGTTGGGGTTTTGTTTGTGGTGGAGGGCGTGGGTATGATGGGCGTAAGATCAATCGGCAAGGCTGCAGATGCTACCACAGCAGGTGAAAGAAGCAATGCTGAAATGCGAGATGGCAGGCAAACTGATGCACGCCAGAGGGGTGTCACGGACCCACCCCATGTTAAATGGCGGGTCCTTATAGGTGCGTCATCTAGCAGCACGCTTCATCAGAATAGGTAAGGCGGCAAGGCGGTACACAACCGGGCCCAGAGGTGAGCTGCACCAGCAAGCATTCCACACCTACAGCCTCCGAATCACACCCACAGCACATTAACAGGTCCTGTAGTCTCACTGTTGGGGCGCTGTGCTGGCTTTTCTCAGTGATATCGGCATCCACTCAGCCTTCTTTTCTCCTAGTTTCAGCTTCCTGGATTCAAGAGCTACCCTTCTATGGAATTCATTCTACCTCTCATATATATCTCTCCCTCCTGAGTGGCAACCTCCTCATCCTCCTTCCTCCTCTGATATCATTCAAACTGGGTAACCGGACCCAACTGTACATGATTTAGAACCTGGCTTGAAGACATAGACCAGTGGTGTCAGCTGTGATAATTCCCTGCAGAGCCTGTTGGTTAAGGTGATACCCTGCCTAAATTCTTGTATTTCCAAGGTCGAGCTGCTACTGTACTGTACATCAGTTACAGCCTACAAACCAAAGATCCCAACGCCACATACACAGCTGCCACCACCATGAAAGGTAAAAGCATCTTTCACTGGTTCTTTGTCGTACCCTCAAATTTCTCATGCAAAATCACAGTCGTCCTCCAGCGAGTGCTCTCTGCCTCTGTCACTGTTGAGAGAGAGCTCGTCTCATCAATAGGCAAAGGTGTCCTGGTGTTTGCAGCCATAGCCCCAGGAGACACAGAGAAGGATGCTGAATCCATGGCTGCTAAGGTCCTCAAGCTGAGGCTATGGGATGATGACAACGGCGGAAGGGTAAATTTATTCATCTCCCCTTGTCCCCCCCCCCCCCCAAACCCGGAGGACCTTTCACGATCCATATGTAGCCCATCACCTCATCTCTCTCCCAGCTGGCATGCAGTTTGATCTGACATTACCAACTCATGTGATAGTGGAAAAAGAATGTGCAGGACATCAGTGGAGAGGTCCTCTGTGTGTCTCAATTCACCCTGCTGGCCTCAACCAAAAAGGGCAACAAACCTGACTTTCATGGTGCACTTGGAGGCAATGAGGCTAAAGAGCTGTACCAATACTTCTTCACCAAGGTGCAGGAGGGCTATGCAGCTGACAAGGTGAAAAATGGGGTCTTTCAGGCCATGATGGAAGTTGCTCTTGTCAATGATGGGCCGGTTTGTCTCCCCCCCCCCCCCTTTTCTCTCTTCTCTCCCTCTTTCTCCCTCTTTCTCTTTCTGTGTGTGTCTGTCTGTCTGTCTGTCTGTCTGTCTGTCTCTTTGTCTAATGCACAGGAGAGGTGTTTGACTAACACCTGTCTTGCTTCTTACAGGTCACACTGGAGCTCACCGCTGGCACCCCGCAAAAGTCTGACAAGCTAGCAGCCACGAGCAACAAACAGATCAAATGATCTCTTTTGAATCAGCATTGGAATGATCTGCAAAGCATAATGGCTTCAAAATCATGTCCTTCCCAAGGCTCAGACCTCTCTACCTGGAACGTGACCTGGTATTAGTGGCACCTGATTAGGGCAGCCTCACAATAATGAAGGCAGCTAGCTTGTTGGGGATGCATATCTGCCGCACCAATAGTAATTGGTTTCTATGCCCAGAGAGACCCAGCAATCATGGTAGATTATAATTTGGCATGGTCTTTTTGTTTTGTTAAATAAATTAGACTCTAGAAAGACAGAACGACCTCAGGTCTCTCCATCATGCACATTATTATTATCTCTCAGCCTAACGGAGAAGATGCTTGGCAGTCAATGAGCTTTCATATTTGCGATCAACAATGATCAAAGAAGTGAGAAGGCATTTTCCAGCTTCGCAAGTATTATATATCACACTTTGTAGTGGTATTTTGGAAAATAGCAGGCTGGGAAAATCAGGGTCCAATGGTGAGGAAGGATTGATCTTGCATGTGCGTTCCTTCCCCTCGCCTAAGGACCAGCCCCACGGTGACAGGGATCCAGGTAAGCGGAATGCCCCGCTCTGTGGGAGCTCTCCATGGAATGTTCACGAAGACGTTTTAGTTGGCTAAGTATCTTGGTCCCAACTCTGCTCAGAAAAAGCAAGCTTCCTGACATGCTACAAATAATTCTAGTAGCCAGCTGACGGACTGACGGACTCTCTTGCCCGGCTATATGATCAACTTGTCAAGCATTTACTTCTGCCACCTGCAGTACGACCTTCCCCCACTCTCTCTCCGATCACTTCTTCTCAGCTCATCAACTTGAGCTCACCTTCGAAAACCACCTTCGTTTCCACTACTTCAATTTCCTCACTGCTCTCCAAAACGCAACCATGGCCACTGAAGAGACCAAGGCTGCACCTGCATCTCGCAGTCGTGTGTTCTTTGATGTGCACATCGGTCAGCGAAAGGCTGGGCGCATCATCATGGAGCTGTACAATGATGTAGTGCCCAAGACTGTAGGCTGACCCCCCATTTGGCCCCCGAAGCTGGAAATGCTGTCTTCACCGCATACGTTCTGAATTTACTAATAGCATAACCTGCCAGGCTGAGAACTTCCGCTCTCTCTGCACAGGAGAAAAAGGCATTGGCAAAACCGGCAAGCCCCTTCACTACAAGGGCTCCGAGTTCCACCGTGTCATCAAGCAGTTCATGATCCAGGGCGGCGACTTCACTGCAGGTGATGGCACTGGTGGCGAGAGCATCTATGGCGAGAAATTCGCCGACGAGAACTTCGAGCTGAAGCATGACCGGCCATTCCTCCTGTCGATGGCAAATGCAGGACCTGGTACGTTTCACACGTGCCACCATCTCGAGTCGGGTAGATAAGAGGAAAGAGTAAAGTGTCTCGGCTGGCTGACACGTTCAACAGGCACAAACGGCTCGCAGTTCTTCATCACTACCGTTCCGACCCCTCACTTGGACAACAAGCATGTTGTCTTCGGTGAGGTCCTATCCGGCAAGTCTGTCGTACGGCAGATCGAGAACCTGCGCACAGCAAGCGGCGACAAGCCTGTGCAGCCCGCACGGATTGTCGAGTGCGGTGAGCTAACAGGAGAGGATGCCGTGGCCATCGCCTCGCAGTCGGGAAAGCCTGACGCGCTGGGCGACGCCTACGAGGACTTCCCCGAGGACGAGCTAGAGAACCTGAAGAGGCAGGGCCCCGAGGGTGAGAGCGTGGATGCTATCCCCGCCGCCAAGATTGTGCAAATCGCCACCGAGTGCAAGGACTTTGGTAACAAGGCCTTCAAGGCGGGCGAGTTCGCCTCCGCCCTCGACAAGTACGAGAAAGGCCTGCGGTACCTGAACGAGGACCCAGATCTCCCCGAAGGCGACGAGGGCAAGGAGCTCAAGGCGAAGGTGGACGCGGTGCGGTTCTCACTGAACAACAATGGCGCGCTCATGAACATCAAGCTGAGCAACTGGGACGATGCCGCTAGGATGGCTCAGTCCGCTCTGCTCGTTGCCGGTGTCAAGGATGCCGACAAGGCCAAAGCGCTATACCGCCGGGGTTTTGCGCTGGTCCGCCTCAAGGATGAGGACGCCGCCGTGGACGCCTTGACGGAGGCAAGCAAGCTAGCGCCCGGTGATGCCGCCATCACCAAGGAACTTAGCGATGTCAAGAAAAACATCTCGGCACGTCTTGCAAAGGAGAAGGCTGCGTACAAGAAGTTCTTCACCTGAAAAAGTCATCAATCATAGACACTACTGGGGGTGTCTGACGAGGCAATCTCACCTTGGAGTCAGTGGGTGTTTTTTCTTGCTTCCTATCCTTTATGGAAGGGTGGTTTGCATGACTTTAGGGTGGACACTTGGAAGAAAAAAGAAGGGACTGATACACTAATACCAAAGCCGGTGAGCGCGCCGTCTAGCAAGAAGAATCAATAAAAATCAAAACCGCACATTATCTAGCCAGGTCACAACGAATGCTGTCTATGTCAACTTACACTTCTCCCCAGGTTGGTCTCCAATGCTGCAATACAATCCGGAGGAGAGCCTCTTTCCTGAAATGGCATGACACTTGCCCGTGGGATTTGGCTCTTGTGCGACTGCTCCTCATACATAAAATAGATAGTAGAGAGAAGAGGGGGGGGGGGGGTTCTCAGCGTTGCAAAAGCCTGCAGAAGTCTCCCTCTTAAGACAGATAGCTAGTTACACACACGAAAACGCCACACATCAACACGACTTGCCTGTGTTTTGCCTCAGTTCACCCCCGCTCCTGAAACGCCCAGATCTGTCCCCCCCCCCCCCCATCCACGCAGAGCACTCCATACTTCGTTCCACGCGTTCGTGTGTACTTTGGTCTTCTGACAGATGCTGGCGTACATGGACATGCTAATGAGGAGCACGATCGAGCAGGCCTTCACCTAGCTCAAACGCAAGACAATCTGGCCTCGAAGTACCGTCCCACAGTACAAGAGACATGGGACAAAGGTTTGGTGCCAACGGTTTCTTGAATTCCGTAATGGCAGAGATCTTTATTTTCTTCTTTTCTTTCTATCCATTACAGTAAAGAAATCGAAGGTTTATCGTCATAGTTCGTCTGCAGCATTTGTACATGAAATCCTGTATATAGTACGCGAAGTAGGTATCGTCATGAGAGTAACAATGTCAGTCCGTCGCATCAGCAGTCGAAGTGGCACGGACGGTGAATCCTGAACAAGAACGCCGCCTCTCCAATGCATCATCGTATCCAAAGGACGCAACACCGCCCGATTTTTCCATCCCCTTTCCGTCGCTCCCACCACGTGATTGAATCGTTGAAAATGTAATATAGACAAGGAGAAAGCCGACGGTATTGGTAGCGCGTGCCAGGTAGGAAAAGAAAGAGAAAAAAACAGAGAACAAAGGAAAGGAAAGGGAAGAAAAGAATGAAGGGGGGGGATGACCGCAAAACAGGTAGCACCATCGAGTTGCGTGGCAATTTCTTTGCTCAGAGCCAACTCAGTCGGTCTATCGTAAAAGTCCCAGCAAAGAGTACACGAGTGAATGGTTGCCAGTATAATGTATGAGATCAAACTTCCCACGCGGCTTGATTAATACAGTAGACCCACCGCCATGGTCGTCACAGTGGTCAATGCCGTGAAGACTCGAATTCCTTCCACCCTTCCACAAGGCCTCCAAGACCAAGGGACCTCCCTTTTTCCTTCTCCCGTCTCATCGTGCCTATAGGCGTCGTCGCTCCAGACTTGGCAGTGTCGTCAGCGCCACGGGAGCTGCTTGGGAACTGAGAGCCAGCCTGGTCCCTCGAAAAGGCGTCTGGGCTGCCAAACTTCTCACGGTCGATTTTTCGAAGAATACCCGTAAGAAATCTTTTGGCATTCTTGCCACTACGCAACGACTTGATCATGTTTGGAGATCCATGGCCGGGGCGGTGCGAGCTGCCTTGCGATGGGTTGGGCCAATGGGGCTGCTTGTGATGCCGGCCGTGAGCGCGTCGGTCAGCTACTTTTTGCAGGCGGGAGCCGTGAGTTCGCTCTTCATCAAAGGAGCTACCGCCAGATGAGCCTGGTGGCCTATCGGACTCTGGCCAGGGGGTCATGGTGCTTCCTCGCGAAACGGTGCTGATGTGTGAGTCGGCAAAGCTGATATGGTCCAGGGCGTCAGCAAGAACGAAATCCGAGTCCGTGGGTAAGCTTAAGTTCTCGTTATCGGCTGCGCGGACGGCGTCAATGTGGCTCATGCACACGTCCGCCCGTTGCTGAAGAGCATCACAGTATTGGTGAAATCGGAGAAGGTCCCCATCGTAGCGACCATCACTCGTGGTGCCCTTGTTGTGATCCATCCACAGCCTGACGAGCGAGGCAAAGCTGCGAGCATGGTCAATAAGAAATGGCAGCGAGGGGAACCCTTCTCGGGCCATCGGTGACAGGCGGCCGAGTATGGTGATCGGGGTGGAATACGAGGCCGGCAGGATGACGTTCGAGCGCTCAGCAGGTATCGCACAGACTTCGTCGATGAAGTCTTTTAGGGCCTGTCGGCGAGAGGCTAGGAAGCGATTCATGGGCTCCATCCAGACCTCCTTCTTGCCAATGCTGGAGAGGTTCGCCAGAGCCTGCAAGGCTTTTGCGATGAGCGTCAAAGTCCGCTGAGCCTTGGGGCGCGGGTAGTCTCGCAGGAGGCCGAATAGCTTGGGATTGAGTATGGCTGGACAGATGAAGCGCAGAAAGAGAAACCCAGAAACGCTGGTAAAGGCCACCGTCCGAAGGAAGTCTCCGTACCGATCCTCAGCCACAGCGCGGATGTACTTCAATATGTGCCTAAGCTCAGGTGGGAACTTGGACGCCGACCTGGCGACGCACTCCCATATCTCGTTGGTGAACTGCAGCAGTTGGTCCCAGTGCTGGTTGATATCCTCACCCTGCTGCACTTTGCCGGGGTCCACCTCGCAGTTCGGGTTGATCTCGTTGATCTCAAAGATCTTGTGGCCAAGGACCTCCTCGATGTAATCGCTGCCTAAGCGCCTCATGTAGAACTCAAGAGCTTGGGTGAGCAACGAGTTGCCTCGGAAGAGCAGGTTGGCCTCACCAGCCAGTGTCTTGCCCATGTCCCGGAGCGCCTCTCGTTCATTAGCATTCGCGACATCCAGAGCCTCGCTCGACCTCAGACGCCGGCTAAACCTCATCTTCTTCATCTGAGCCTGTTGTCCGATGCCGTCGATTTCGTCCTCCACAAGAGCCATCAGCCATTCGCTTGAGCTATTTGTAACCTGAAAAATGTTCAAAAAGAGCTCGGCCAGTCGACGAAGCTGTCCAGGCAGGGCCTCGGAGATCTGGCTGGTCAACCCTGCACTGAACTTATGAAGCATCTCGGACATCGGCTGATAATCCCTCGCCATGAAAACGATGAGTTCCTCGTGGCGGACTTTGCAGAGCAACGTCCCGATCAGCTGTTGTCTGTCATCATGAATCTGGCGCCACTCTTCGTAGTCCCTTCCACGGTCTAGTTGTTGTAATGGGATGTCCACAACGCCGCACTTGACTTCAGTCAGGCCCCCTCCCCTCTGTAGACGCTGGGCTGTATAGAGCGGGAGGTTCATGCCATCCAGGTTCCCTTCGTATCGTTTCAAGATGACCTGCAGGATCGGCAGTTCAGCTGAGAGGTCTGCAAATTCGCAATCATCGCGCCAAAAGGGTGTACGAGTGGCTGGTTTCGTGATTGTTCGTGCTCGGATGTCCCCGTCAAGATGGACCTCCGCAAAGTAATTGCCGACAAATGCGTCCTGTTCACTCTTGCCGTACCTGTCTCGCGAGGAACTGCTCTGTGGTGAGGTTGGTCCACCGAGTTTCGCTTCTATTATACGCAAGCTGATCGTCTTCTCGATCCTAAACATGTCAGAAGTGGGCTCCACCTCGAAGTTCGTGACCTCTATAATAGGCTCCTCCTCTGATTCATTCAGCGCATATATCTCGGGCACCGTAAAAGCCCTCAACAGGACGAACCAGACCTCAAAAAGCACACGCTGGTCTAGGGATAAAAAGACGGGCCTGAAGAGGGAGAGCTGTGTGGACGTCGAGGCGTAGGTTGGGACGATCGCTATACAATAGTCCTCATCCAGGACAGATCTGTCGAGCTGTTGTATGGCACATCGCGATAATTGTGATAGCGGGATCACACCCTGGACCTGGCCGTCGCTCTCTGTGATCAGCTTGAGCTCGCCGTTGTCGTAGAGGATGCACGAGACTTTTCTCCATCCCGTCTGCGCTGCCCTCAGGTCGCGGGTTGACGCCCTGCTCACGATCGCACGGGGCGAGTGGGCAACACCTTTGTCCCACATCGCGACCATACTGACCTTGATCACATTCGGGGCGGTCGATGCAGTCGATGAGCCTCGTCTGATCAGTTCTGGCCGCGACTGTGAAGTGGGCGTCGTCGTCTGGCTGTTGCTCCCGGTCCTTACCGCGCCCGGTCGTAGCTGCTGCCAGCTCAGCAACGCGGCCAGCCACAGGTCCACCTCGTCTGCCTTGGAAGGCCACAACAGCACTTCGGCACCTGTCTGTGGGTTGACGATCTCGAGGCACGGCCAAGGCCGATCCGCACCAGACCCCTCGATTGGAAGCACTCGGCATCCTCGCAAGTCTGGTATAATGGCGGCGTGGAACGGGCCAGTGTCGCCCGAGTCAAACATTAAACCACCCCTCTCATCTTCAATATAGCATAGCCCGGTATACCAGGGCCCGTCGGTCTCGGTCTGATACGAGACCTCGCCCCTCATGCGCCCACAGAGGCTCTTCATAAGCCAGAGTACTTTGTTCGCGTCGTCGGTCGGCACGGGGAGGACAAGAGAGTCGGCGGAGGGGGGAGGGGACAGCATTGGTGAGGTCGGCCGCGATGCCCGCTTCATGAGCTTTGCCCTGGTGGGGCCCTTCTTCTCCTTCACGGCGGTTGTGGTCTGGATATGCAGATCGGTGGGCCGAGCTTGGTATACGGACGACGAGTATCCGGGCGACTCGAGCATGGGCGAATGTCTCGGCACGGATGGTCCCCGCAACATCTCCTCGTGCGGAGGCACCGAATTTACGGAACCGGTCGAGGAGACGGACCCGACCCTGTGCCTAGAGCTCTCAATGGGAGGGGTGACAGAGGACTGGCGGTATGGGCCGTCCATGGTGTGGCCCCGAGGTCGGACAGAGGAGGGCCGTGGAGGGGGGCTGGAGGAGACGGTGTCGAGGGAGCTGGGGAAGGCGTCATTAAAGACGACGCCCTGTCTTCGCGAGCTGGCAGGCGTGCTGGCATTTGACATGGTAGTGCCAGGCACAACGGGTATGGACCTGGGAGGTGAGTTTGGCGGTGACATGGACCCAAGCCCGCGGGAGGAGGAGGCGGCGGCGGCGGCGGCGGCAGCAGCAGCAGCACCAGACAGGTCTGCGCCAGGGTTCGTAGAAGCAATGTTGTTGTTTGTGCCTATACCGTCTTGTACGCCGTATCCGGGCGGCTCTGGTGTGACAGCTCGAGGGGTGAATGACTGGAGGCTCGCAGCCACGGCGAAGGAGGACGAGGAGGAGGTTGTGGTGGTGGGACTGGTCACACCAGGGCGATATGCGGTGCTGCTGATGCTGTTACTGCTGCGCAGGTTACCTGCAGAGGTCCTGCGCGGGATGCCAAAGCCTAGGGCTGCGATCTGACCGCCAGGAGGCATACCTCCTAAGGCTGCCGAGGATGGTGATCTAACTTGTCCCCCTCCCTGCCCCAGCGCCTGGGCAAAGGTCGGGTCGATGGTGTGCAGTAGTGGTACGGACGGGAGAGAGCTTGACGGCCGTCGTGGTCGAGGCGGTGGGCGCGAAGCGTCTTGAGATTTTCGGCGGGCATCCATGCCGGCGAGCGGGAGTAGCGCGTTGGCTCGACACCTGCAGCAGGGCTGGACCGGACCACATTTACACGATCATCAGTGCTGATGGTGCGCATTGGAGCCGAGCGTGACCGCCTGTAAGCCAATGTGACTATTACAACGGGGGATCGTCGAGAGAGGAGCGCGCCGGTCGCGAGAGCCAATTGTTGGAGGGAAAGCAGAGCCTCTAGGGCCGCGGAAGGGTCCCCAGCAGGAAGACGAGGAGGAGGACGAGGAGGTGAGGCGTCTCCACAGTCGGACGTTGAGTTCTTGGAGCGGGCGCGGGCGAGGGAGGCGAAGAGAGCTAATACTGTAGAACCTCTCTCTGCCTGCCTATCTGCCAGCACATGCGGTTCTTGGTGCGGGTCCCCCTTCTTCTAATCTCTCTTTCTCTTTCTCTCTCTTTCTATGTATATTTCTCTACCTCTCTTTCTCGCTTTCTTTCTGTCTTTTCTCCCTCCTCTCTTCTGCCGATAGTAACAAAAAACGAAGGGAGTAAGGGAAACAAGAGGAGATAACAAGATAGAAAGAAAAAAATAGAAGAAAAAAAAGTGGCCTCTGATGGTGGACTCCAGGATTCAATCACGAATCACAGGGTCGAGAACGGTAGGATTTGTTCGAGCTAGACCGACTTGTGGTGAAGGAGAGGATCCTTTCGGAGAATTAGCGAGGGCAGTTGAGCCTGGTCTGGTCGTTCTGCATCCGATCTGCCAATACGGAGTCGTAATGCACAATCCTGTGACCCCGGCGACTCCTTGTAGAGGAAGAAGGGTGGAGGAATAGCAAGAAGAAGAGGAGACCAGGCAATCAAATGGTGGTTGAAGCCTGGTGTGCGCTGCGTGCGTGCGTGTGTGTGTGTGTGTGTGTGTGTGTGTGTGTGGAGGCGACGGTGAAGGTCGTCGAATTGAAGGTGAAGCACACCAGGGCAGGTTTGGTAGACCTGGTAGACCGAGCTTGTCGCCCTAGCTATGGATCGCCGCCTGAGCTAACGAGGAGCTTTGCTAGATCCGACCTGGGCCCAGCCTCTGTCTGATACTGTAACGATAATGCGAATGCGATTTACTGCGGTATGTACCATAGTACCATAGTACCTCATAACAGTAGGAAACACTGCTCTATGGAGTAAGTACTGTATATAGGTAGAGAGAGAGAGAGAAAAAAAAAATTAAGTAGACAGTAGATAAGGAGCTCGGGACTTCGATGATGACGAACCATCCCCTCTTTCACTTCGTTATCGTTGCTACTGCTGCTGCTGCTGCTGCTGTTGACGGAAACATGGCACAATGTGCTCTGCTGGTGTGTGTGTGTGTGTGTGTATACATACATATATTTGAAGTAAAATAAAAATACAGGAGAGAGCGAAGATCAACGATCGCGGTGACGAATAGAGCTTGACCAAGACAAGAAAAAGGTGTGAAGGTGTGAAGAGTATAACACGGAGAAGAAATGCGCCAGGCCACAGGCGGTGGGTGGCCGGCAGTCGACAGGGCTGCATGTGTTCTCGCGGTGTGCGGAGTAAGTACTTAGTAAGGATAGATCTTTTAGTACTTAGTAGGCGAGCTTGGGGAAAAGGGTGAGAGAGTCTAGGTCCAGGTCCAGGTCCAGGTCAAGGTCCAGGCAGCGAGGGTCCCACCTCCAACTCCTCCCCCTCCCCAAAGTCCATCCCTGACGTTTGCTGGAGTCGGGAGCCCGGGGGCTTGGCGGTTGGTTTCCTTGGTCAGGGGCCAACCTCAACCTTGGCAGCTCCTGGCAGGCTCCGCCGCGGGCTTGTCGGCACGGGCCTATGTTGTGATCGCTACCACTGGCTACCAAGCTTCCGGGCCAGGCCTACTAGGGGCCTTACAGGGCCTAGCTATGAGTGCGAGCGGGGAAGACGCGAGGGAAGGGGGGCCATACCCCTGGGACCACTGCGCTAAATGCTGTATATTCCCCAGGCTAGCTAGCAACACGCAAGCCAACCTGTTGATGACAAGTGCTGACATACAAGAGAGAAAGACCCAGAGAAGAACCCGAGCAAAAGATCAAAAATCGACGATCCAGGCCATCTGGTGCAAGCGCAGAACAAAATGCGGATCTTGACCCCCGCCTTGGATTCGCTGTGGACACACACCATGGAGAAACATGCCGAATAGGGAGCCTGGCATTGTGATTAAAACTCTCATCCCTTGTTGTTGGGCAGACATCATCTCCAGTGTCTTGCCTCACCGGTCAAGAGCAGCCTCGTCTCCCTCACTCGGCTGGGCCGTACGAGGAATTCTCATCAGCCTCGTTGCAGCGATGCGACCCTGTGCTACATCACCGGGGCATCGGCTCTTCGTGGGCCCTTTGGAAGGCCCGTGATGCTTATTGTTCCTGAGGCTCTACGCAGGGTCGCATTGCTAGACCGAGCATGTTGGGGGCGGCGCTTCATTTCCAACACCCTGGGACTTTGCCCACCTGCGTTTTTTGGTGTGACTCTCTCCTGCGGACCTGCCTGTCCGGGCTATGGCGTCGTCAGTTGGTGGCCCATCAGCAACGCAGGGTTCGAAAGAAGCAACTCCCAAGGGGAGAAAATAAATGCCCATGGACGAAACACAAAAGTGCTGCACTTTGAAATTGTGCAAGCGACAAACGCACTGCTTGCTCGCGTGCTGAAACTGCAACATTCTCTGAGCCCCGGTTTTCTTTCCCAGATATGAGATGACTGGAAGTTTATTGTCTTATGATGAAAAACGACGACGAAAACAACGTTTTGCACATATTACTCTCGTACAGACAGGGCCCCTCTCATTCTTATGACCTGAGCTTTGTGGGGTACTCGAACGCATGAAACGTACATTCCATGCAACTACTGTAGAATTCGTGGGGATCAGCCTTAGTCCCCGTCATGTTCGAGACCGACAGACGGGACGGACGCCGTTGGCTCAAGTAAAGTGATATATGATTACCCCCCAGCCAACCCTCGACGGGGCAGCGAGTCAGCCACTATTATGGCACGAATATGAGCACCCGTGAGGATTTGTGACGAGATTTCGGTGGAGGGAGAGAGAAAGAGGGGCGGGGGCGCTTTGTTGAACTTGGATCATCAATGGTCGCTGCAAAGGAACGTGCTCAGGAGCGCATTCGCATCATTCTCTGGCTCAAGTGGGTATACATTCTGTGAGTATGTAAAGGTGAAGATTGACCCGCCATGACCGCTTACGTTTCAGACTTCAAGGCTGATCTCTCATGACTAGTGCTCTTAGCTGTCAAGGCATGAAATTATGTCACAGCGACTACTTCTGAATCATCTGAAGCAGTGAGAATGACAGGAAACAGCTCAGTGTGGCGAACAACTACCACAAGCTGCCTTGAAGAAGACAAAGACAATGAAAGAGCCGTCTTTACTACTATACTCATGATGCAGACTATTATTCCTGCCAATGCTTCAAAGGCCTCGAGGTCCACCCCGAAAGGAGTTAGTGCCGTGGCTCTTATGTCCGATTCCGAACATGCTGAGATCCTTCTATACTACTGGAGTTAATTACTGTCTTGATCTTCGGACGCACGACATATTGGTCCAGCCACCGCCAAACGGCTGGACCTTTCCAAAAATACGAAAAGGAGGGGGGGAAGAAGGAAAGAGAGAGAATGTGTGTGATACAGCAGACCTGTCCACTTGGCCGCGGACCCGATGATTCCAAAGCTCTCCCTGTTACCCAGACAGAAAATAGTTCCTAATACTGCGCTCCCTGGTCACTAATATGTTCCTTCTGCAACGTCGCTGTGGTATCACTTTCAGCTGTTTACCCACATAGGCATTTCGTCTGCCTCCTCAATGGCTGCCAATATCCCGTGAGCAGTCTCGTACTTAGGCTTGTTGATTTCGCCAGCCGCCATCGTCCCAGAATAGAGGAAGGGATTGAAAAAAGAAAAAGAAAGAAACAAACTTCTTATATAAATCGTGAAACATCTCGGTCGTTCCAGAGTACTGCGAGGTGAATCCTCGCAGGGGCTGAGGCATCTGCACCATGACAGAATACAATGAAAGACCCTCACCCTGCCCTATATTCGCGCCAACATATAATTATTGCCACTATAATTGCTTTCAGCTTGGGCACACTTACTGCGGATGGGTCGGGAACTAAAAGTGAAGCAGGGGAGATAGGGTTGTGTCATATCATTCCTTGCCATATGATAGCTAATACTCTCAGCACGACAACTGGAAGTTTTCGAATCACGTTGCTCTACTTTCATCCTCTCAATTAGGAGCCAATCCAGTCTTCTCGGTGGATTTGAGCAACATATCCAGTACAGCAGCC